GACATGCCAGGTTTGTATTCGTGGCAGCGCCACGGTCGTCTGAAATGGCAAGTCACATGGCGTTGGTTACCGACGCCAGATGTGGTGAGTGCAGCATATGAATATGTGTTGCACATATGTACTATCGATTGCGCCTCCACCTTGCCCTCGGCATCATCTGACTCCTCTGCGAACGCAGGCGCGCCTGAACCTGCAAAAGCCACGACAACTGCACAACCCCCCGCCTGAACCGCAAGGCTAACGGAAAAAAAGGAATAGTTTATGGACAAGGCGAGACTTTCTTGTTCTGCTCTTGCTCTGCTTTGTTTTACAACATTTACCACCGAAGCGCAGAGATCAAGCCTTCGACGCACCAGCGCTTGGCAAAGTGCCAGAGGCTCATTTCCTTGCATTTTCACAGGGACCCAAGACTGGAAGACTCTGCTTGAATCAACGTAGCACACCTGTATGTTTGCAAGCCAATGTCCGAACTTGAGGCCAGTGCTGATGGGCGGAAAAAGGGGCTTTGCAGCAGCTCTTCTACCTGTACTACACTGTGATACACTGTGAGAAGAGTTTAAGTTGCTCTAACCGTTGATCCTGCGACACAGGGAATCGCAAACTAGCAGGACTTTGGGGAAACGATGTCTTTTAAGGCTCTTGCTTGGGAGAGGTCCCAGGACAGCATCGAGAGATGACCGGCGTTCTTCGTAGTCATACGCTCATGCCTCAGCTCGACTGTACATCAATGCGGACCTGTAGCAGTCTGAATGCTGTGCCCTCTTGTCAAGACAGTCAGCAGGCTTCTACGGCTTTTACGTAATTACCTGGGCGGAGCAATGCTGGGCAATGCGAATGATGGTCGCTTCTGTGGCCACGGCTGGCTCAAGATTTCCAGGCCGTAGAGAGAGTGAAGCTTGAAAATCCAAGCCATGGCAACCTCATGAGCAGATGCTCTGAAGCATGGCCAAGCTGTGCGGGGCATGCGTCATCTTCACTCGAGTGTGCAGCCTATCTGTGGGCTCACACACGGATACCGAGTGTGGCATGTCATGGAGCATCGTGAGTGTGCAAGGGTCGGTTGCCTTTTACACAGCCGGAGGCCGTGCTTTAAAGAAAAACCTGCACTGACCTTACATGATGCCTCAGCTAGCAGCAAAGCCGAGCTCCGCACACTTCTGAAGCTCTCCACTGAAGCCTTCCAACACTTCTGTGTCTTCATAAGCTCAGCACAGCTATATTATTGGTACTTTTCTTCAACTAAGAGATTTCCCAACGGTCGAAGTCGGCTGCCGGACCCAGGCCTGGTGTTCCGACAGCCAAGAAGCGTCGCTTGCAGGTTGGCTGCCTTTAACAGAGACGTCTTTTTTCAGTAACGTGTTGCCAAAGGCATTTTTGCACGGCCTCCAACGCTCCAACGCTGGGATGTGTTTTGAACAGAACCCATATGACTACGGTACATCGTGGTATAGTGGGTGCAAGCAGTCCAAGTGCACATCATGAACAACGGCGGCCTGTACATGGAAGCAAAGCCAAAGCCCCGTGAAGCTCCAGCCTCATAGGATCGGTGTTCACATGCCACGATGCCCGCGGACTAGTTGCTATGAAGCCCGGAAACAACCAACATTACCCCCCCCACCCACCTTTGTTCAACCGATCAAGACTTATCTTCTACTCTGCTCAAACAATAGACCACACCCCGTCACTTGCAAGTTTTCAGCGCACGAATGTCTGCGGCTGCAGCTTCGTACGACACCGGCGCGCTGCTCTTGCCGACGCTTGGATCACGACTCCAAGAGCTCCGGGGGCATCTGCGAAGTTGTGGTGTTCACCCCCTGGCAAGGTATCCAGGTTTCCGCGCTGCACTGTGCCCTGCTTTGGGGCTCTGGCTTGGTGTCGTTCTCTAATTTCAATGACTGAGCTAGTGCAACATGCCCAAAAAGCTAGGCCCTATACCCTATGCTTCTGGCACTTCATGCACAGACAGACAGACCGGACAGAGGACAAACAGAGATAAAGAGGGATGGACAGACGGAGGAAGCCAGACAGATGGTGGAGAGAGAGAGAGAGACCGACGCATCGCATCATGTGACGAAGTTCATCAAACCCGGTCATCCTACCAAATCCCACCCGCCCGGGTCCTCTCTTGAGGGCTCAGCAGGAGGCCATTCCTCTAGCCAGGTAGCCAGTGCTGCCTCGCAGTTTAGTCCAGAGTCTAGCCAGGAAACTCAAAACATATGCACATTCGCGAACTGAAGACAGACAACTCGGTGCCCTACGTGTCCCTACTACGTACTTACCCCGCAGGTTCAACAGGGGATCTGTGGATGTCTGTCACTGACTGACGCGGTCGGCCACGTGCAGCGGGCCATTCCAAAAAACTGCCAAACAACAAAGACTGAATTAACGACCGCCCACCTCGAACTGCGACATCAGGTGCCGAAAAACAGGGCAAACCTGCACAACACCGCAGACAACATAACGTCTACAGCAGGAGACAGGAGGGTAGGTGCAAGCTGGACAAGCTTCAGCATGTTCCAGATGTGCGAGCGTCCTCGGGCTGCTCGTCAATTGCCAACTGCATCTTTGTGCAGCATTTAGCCTGGCTGCAGATTCAGCACGCTCGAGGACCGGTCTGTGCCAATACACAATATTACGTGTGCCATAAGTATGTGCCCTTCTCTTGTTCTCGGCTTGGCTTCGTGACTCCGACTTGTGCTTGTTGCAATAGCAATATGGCCGCTATCAGCTGCCACAGATCCCGTGATCCAAGAACGCACACGTGCGCCTCCAATACGATCGCCTTGGCGGCGGGCTTGCTTTTACACTGTTACAGCGACCTCTTGGCCTTGTTTGCCCTTTGTGAGCGTGTGTTGTGGCTGAAGTTGCCAACGCTTGAAATATCTGAATGAGATCTGAATGGCCCGGGAACTCCAGGGTCCTTGCGCCATCTGCTCTGCCACCGTCTAAATACTGCTGAAGCCACGCCTACACATGCGGCAAGTTTGTTTGGCAGTCGACTCAACCGACTCAAGGAACTCGACTCAAGCCCCGGCTTTGGCACTTCTGTCATCTAAACGAAATCCCGGCGAATAGAGACACGGAAGTTCGAGCTTGCCCTCCAATGCGATACAGAACGAATCTCCATCCACCTCCACTGTCGAATCCTCGTGCGGCCTCACCGAAGTGGCATAAGAACAAGTGCCAGCATGCAGCCTAAAACGAACCGCTGCTATGCTTTACTTTCTCTGCCCCCCAACGCAAGATAAAACCACCCACCGGCCTTTGGTCGAAAAGCAACGGTAGTTCCTGGGCGCAACTTTTGTACGAAGTGCGTACTGAGCCGGATTCGGGCCAGGAACTTGGGTCTTCTCAACGATTGGTAATGCACTGCACAGTACTCAAAGAGTGCTTGGAATTCTGGCGGTCTCAACAATGGGCCTGCTTTTCTCGAACGTTGCAGCATCACTGCTTATGGTTGATCTGGCAAGGCTCAAATTCGACCACAGACTCGGCTTGAGTCTTGGACACAAGCCTCAGGCGCAGTTTTGCACGAAGCCGATTCAGTAGGCTGAATTCGCAGGGACACAGCTAGTCGCATGAATTTGCTGTGCGCCGAACGCTACCAGGTCCAGAATCTCTGCATCAAAATAAACTGCCAGACGTTCGCCTTGCTGTGTCGGACTGGTTTTTCATAGACTCGCTGATACTCGCTGCTGTGCAGGACAGCAAACTGATTGAACACGTGCCTGTTCTCAATCCGGGGCCCGCCAGCACATGGAACGGCTGAGGCCTCCAACAGCAAAGGACTCTGCAATGGAGCAATTGAAGCGCAGCCAACTATTAAACTGTGGGCTTCACGTCTACCTCGTAGCCTACGTCTGTTGCTTCCCACAGCCTGAACTCACGGCCCATCAGGATGCAAACGGATGGGAATTGTTTTAACTCACTCGAGCTGGGTGCGTGCTTAGCTTTTTCACATGTGGGGCTATTTTCTGCGTTGTGTGCACTGTACGTCAGAGCCTCAAAAGGCCTCAAATGTAGAATCGTGTGCACCATCCTGGGGTGGCGATATGTGTGGTGCATGAGCCATGTGTGCACTACAAGGGGAAACGGCCTTCCAACATGCAAATCGCAACGACCACCCACAACGATGCAACTTGCCTATTATTCAGATTATTATTCTAATAACTAATAATAAATCAATGATAACAAGAATAATAATAACAACAAACAGCAGCAAAAGTAATCATAGTAATAATTGATATATTTTCATAATGAAATCATCCCGGAGCAAAGGCTACAAGGTGACTGGCATAAACTGATCTACGCAGCTCGGGGCGATCTGAACCCCGCTGCGCAACAAAAAACAAAGCTTACAGCTGGCTGTCGCCTGTCGCAGACCAGCTAGAGGAAATTTCTCTCAAACTCCGTGCATGTTCGCGATGCTGCTGTCCACCTATAGCTATGGTGAAAAGACGGCATGAGGACTGTTCGAAGGCCGGAAAGTGGGGTTGAACTTGAACATGTTGTCTTCTCGGCCATGCTTTCCCTGGGTTGCCAAAACAAGAAACATGTGCGGCAACCTTAGGCTTTTTGCTTGTCTGAAGAATGCTTGCCCTCGCGGGCGCGACATCATAGCTGCGCACATCACCTGCGCAAACGTTGACTCAAGCGACCAGATTCAAACACTTTGAAAGATTTCAAGTTCCAATCGATTTAGAGGGAGACTGCACATATCTGAGTGCGCTGGCTCGAAAACGCTTCCGTGAAGACATCGGCAGATCTCCTGCGACAGTGCCCGGTCTGTGCCATTCAACATTCGAGTTGCCACATCAGTTGAAGACCTTGAATATTGAAGCCTACAGAGATGGACATGCCAGGCACAACAAAAAACAGGCATGGTGGGTCGAGCGCAGTGTAGGGCTCGTGTGACGTATACAGATATCCTGCCTGTGGGTACCCGCAGCAGGCGCCAGATACTCCATCCCTGTATGCAGGGTGCGGATTCCAGAGTACATCTACGCATGACTATCAGCACGAGAATGCCAAGCAGGCATGCCCTCATGACGCAACTGATGCAGCCCAGGCAGGGGAGAAGCCAGCTTGGATCCTTTTTCGTCTCCTTCATCTTCAGGGCAGAGTCTGCGAAGGCTCCGTATCTGATCAAAGGCATCCTTGATCTTCTGGAATGCCGCAGCACACTCCTCAGTACTATGCTGCACTGCAGGTCTCCCCGAACTAAGGCTACCCTGCTAGTTGCAGGTATGTCTCTGTGGCGGCCTCGGGCTTGTCGCTTTTGAGGGCGTGCGCCAGCGTGGTCCAGCGGCGCCGCAGCTGACGGATCGAGACGTCTGTCGGCACGCCCAACCTCATCAGAGACTTACATCACTTGCGCATGACAATCGTGACTGCAGGATGTGCTGAACTAGAGCTCCTTCGGGAGCTCGGGTTCAATTTTCGGCAGAACGTGCAATCCGATAAGCCAGGCAACACCTCGTGAGCCTCGCTAGCTTCAAGGATCCGTCTTGCAACTTGCTCTGGGGATGCCTGGCAGTGGCAAAGGCCAGGATGCCCCAGTCCGCCAACTGAGCGAATTCCGAACCTATCTTTTCCATAAATTTCGCCGACATTCTCAGGACATCCAAGGCTCCAACAGAGCAATACGCATCCAAAGCCTTCAGCCCTTCTGGCAAAGACCCTGATCATGGACACTCCCAGATGGGCCTCCGAGAAAATCTCGGGCGGCGTGGGGCTCTGAGCCGAAAACCGCCGCCGGCCGAAGAGGTAAGTATCCTGAATTGAAAACTGCCCAACGCCGCGAGGGTTTGGGGGCGGGGGTTGGGCTTATTCCGGGGTGTTGAACTGACTCTTGCCAGACCACCTGGTAGTGGCCCTCCACCAGTTCCACATGCAAGCACTCCTTGCCTCAGTCTCAGACCATGGCACGCCAGACTCTGCAAAGCCTGTAGAATTAAACTGATTGGGGGCAGAGAAATCGAGATCGCTCATTCGCCACGCGGAGGCAAGCAGCCGTCAGCAAGTTCAATCTGGCTTAGATTATGCTACTGGTATCTGTTTCTGTGCAGCATCGCAGACTTGTTCTGCATTCTTCCCTCAGCGCCGAACTCTCTGCCAACAGTCCCCGAAATAGGTTGCTCGACCACATGCGAAAGCGAGGTGCCAATGTGGCCTGTCGTGTCACTGAAGACATTACATACTACACTCTTGATGCATCTGCAAGTTCTTGCTTGGCTCCAGGACTCCAACAGCCAGTCTAGATGGAATAATGAATGAAATGCCTCACAGTCTTCCGGTCTGGCTGCGTGCGGCCATCAACCACCCCTCGGAACAATTAAGTCCCAACCACATCTAAGCACCCAGGTGATTTGGGCTTGCACTTGGGGGCCAGCGAGTAATGGTGCACGTTACATTTTTAGACTCAGAGTACATGCCACATGTGTCTCTGGAAATGCATCGGGCTATGAATCCGCGAAAACCCACGCATACTGCCCTGTCAAGCCTTGGCAGGCCCGTTCCACACGTTCTTGTTGTACTTGCCCCACGCGCAGACCTGCCGGTTCTAGATCTGTTCACATCTGTTCCCAAGACTGAGGTTTCTGACTCATCACCTCATTTTGGTCGTAATTTGTCGGCTCTTCAAATCTTCTGTTACTTTAGTTGCCCAGCGTCCCAAGCGTTTGTCAGAGCCTCAGCAGCTCCAAACGTGTGGGTGCCAAGAGTCCAACGAGTCCGGCTCTTCGCCTTCTAAGGGAAATCGGGGGAGAAGCTACTATTCCCTTGCTGCCTCTTGCTTGTGATTCCATTACTGCCAGCGTACATTTGAGAATGCTAACCTGTCGGGCACCATGCGAATGAGTGTGTATGTACACGTGTGCACAGAGCCGTCGAAACGCACACCAAGCCACATACTGCAGTGGCGGAAGGCAGCAAGGCTTCCTTGGATCCATAATGAGCAGGAACCCCATGCATTCTCGCGCCTAGCTGGTAAGAATGATGATCCCCTGTAGGCAAGGGTCAAAGCAAACGCAACACACTTCGGCCCGGCGTTGAAGGTTTCCACAGCTCGAATTGCCAAGATACCTCACTACAACCAGCGTGAGAAAAGCAACGGCAACACGAGCATGGACCAGTCAGTAGCCAGCAGTGCCCAAGAATGCTATGCCGTGAAAAAGGTACTGCCTGGCGGTCCTAGCGAATTGCAGAGGCAGCGCCGCAAAGGTGGATGCCAAGCACGACCACTGGCCCGGGTGCAGGTTCAAGGATGCCTCGCAACAAACTGAACTACAAAGAGCTGTCAAGAGCGCGAAAAACAACTATTACCAACTTCTGCAACGGTGAGAACTGCAATCCACCAGGAAATTGTGTTCTGGGAGAGCAGTTTGAGGGACCTCTACCCCTAATGCAGCACGACCTCTGCGAATCCTTTCGAAACATGTAGGGAGGCTGCAGTGACCTCGTGAAAATCATTGGGGATGCTGGGACCTCACAAGGCCCCCCTACCCTCAGAGACTTTATGCAACGAAATCTATCAGGGACTCGGAGGGGTTTGAGGTGGCCCCGAATGAACACCTCTAGCACTCCCGGCCGAGGCATGCCGCGTAGCGACAAAATCACTTTGGCGAAAGTAGTCTCATCATGTAAGACTCTGTGTGGAGCGTTGGCATGTCAGAGGGCAGAAATATGCTGGCTTATTTCGAGGCCCTGCTGGGGGTCTTATGCAGCACTCTCAGAAGTGCCACCCTACCTGTGAAAGCTAAGGTGCGAGAGAGGATCTGCACTTGGGTCGAGGGAAGTTTCAGATCAGATCTGCGAGTCACCAGTGGAACTGGCCAAGTAAGATTGTATATGTGGTCCCAGTTCCTCAGCAGGCACGCAAGAAGGTTGGTAACCGAAGGTGTATCTCAACTACTTGCTGTGCAAATGCGTCCTGAGCAAACACGGAACTGGTATTGCTGCATATGTCGGACTCTGACCTCTTTTCTTTCGTGTGCAGCCGCCAAGCATGCGATCTGATAAGCACCCGCCATATTTTGTCCGGTACCAATGCCATAAACCTTGCCTGGTCGAGGCGATATGCCGCCTTCCTGTCTCTTGTACACAGTGACACAGTGTTTACAGTAGATTCAAGATCAATCTGTGCTCGATGTTTGTCATATTGCCCATATTGCGTCACGCCTGTGAAGCGCGCAAGCACATAGCCTGGTACAACATTGCAAGTGTGTGTGTGATCCGTCTAAGATTCTAAACGCGAAGGCGTCTTCACACAAGTTTAATTCAGTGCAGTCAAGAACAGCAGCAGATGTCGAACATTGGCGTGTCTCTGCCAACACCCGCATCAAACTGCGCATAAATCACACCGCAGACAAATATGTCTGTGGAAAAGCGAGGTCTGCTAAAGCTGCTAAAGCCAGGCCAAGCGACAGTTGTGTGCGATGCTTCTTGCTTTGCTGTGGTGCCTGGGGGGCACCTGTCGCACAGTTGCCCACAGCATCCCACATCCGACGACATCCAATCTTGAAGGGGCGGCACTGTGTGACTCAGGTTCATTCAGGAGATGCTGCCAACCACTGCGAAGCACAACTGCAGAAAGGCTGACAGCCACAATTGCCTCCTTTCAGTGGCCACGCTTGATCAACCAGAACGCAGCCCTCGGTTCTAGGAGCACGGAAGACACGGAATGTGAGAGAAGGTGAGAGTCCACTGCCTTAGGCTTAGGGCAGGAATTGACTGATTCTTTTTGAATCTCCTAGGGCCTTTGAGTTGGCAGAGGCGCCTCACCAAACCATTTGCCGTCCTCATGCAGTCCTAGCGGCATGCACTCGCTCAGCTGGTAGCAGCTCCGCAAGGAACATCCCGAGAAACCCCAGGCCAGAGCACAAATCCTGAGAACGACAAGCCACGAGATACGGCAGCAGTCCCCGGAGTCCCCGCATACAGCGCGCTACAGAATGGCATTGCAATCGGTTAAATTTGCAGGACAAGTGGCCACAATGGTGATTGGCCCATCGGCTGGATCAAGCTCCTCTCTCGGATCGATGCAAGTCTGAAGAAAGGCCGAAACCCCAAAGATATCAGTCTGACCAGAAACATGAGGAGGAACATGAGGCCATTAGCCAAGATACGGCCAGGCAGTCTTGCACGAAGGCGATAGTTGGCACAGCCTCGCGGGCTTCCTGCCGGCTCAGCAGGGTTGCAGTATCTTACATGCAGCCACTGCCTGAAAAAAATGACTAAGACGACGAATGCCGCCTTTAAAAGAAACACGCAGTTTGACATCTCTGGACACCTACCTGCCTTACACGCGACTTTCAGCCTCGCCAGACTCTACGTTGAAGTCCTTGAGCAGGGTCGAGCAGTTATCCCTTGCGAGCCGTGCCTAGGCTTGGACTTGTGTGTGGACTGGACAGGAGGCCAGAAGGTCAGGAATGATCAAAACAGTAACCAAAACACCAGCGTACGAAATGAACTCAGCGACCCAAAGCGGAGGTGGAAAACGCCGCCTCCACGAGCAAGCAACCTCTCCGCAATGCCGCAATGCAACGGCTCTCACGTTCAGCAGCTGCTGCAACAGCATGCAACAGCCACACTAGTAGAAACTCACCTCCTTCAGCTCCACCAATCACCGGAACTCTCTACTGCACATGCCTGTGAGTGTTGGCCCGTAGCTGTATTTCTGATCCTCATCCTCCAGCTTTCGGAAATATCAACCGATTGATTCTGATTACCACCATGGGGCTAGGCCTCCACCACACTCTGGCAGGTCTGCGGAAACCTCACAAAGCAGCATGCATTCAGGGCCATTCCTCACTGCTCTATTCACATATTCACTTGCTCGAAGTCACAATATAGAGCGAAATGGACATCGTCAAAGTGTGCCCCTCTGCCCCAGCATTCGGACTTCTTCAGGTTGTTTTGTTGTGAAACCTCTCGGGGAGAGAAGCGGGGCGGAAGTCCAGGGATTCTAACTGAATCTCCGCCCCTCACCCTCTTCGGCATGTCGCTGCTTTCCGAGCGCGCCCTCACATAGCCGTCCTTGGAACCAAGTGTCGAAGTCCTGGTGTTTTATGCAACGTTCGCACCCTCTGCGCACACTAGGCGAATCCAGGCGACATTGCAGCCACTCCGATGACTTGGCTCGATACCAGAAGTCTTGACAGAGGAAAGTACAATGAGCTGCGAGCTACGCCTCACAAAGACAGTTCGTGCCTGTGTCTGGCCACGGAATTTTGCATAGAATTACCCATGTTATATAGCCCATGTTACATCCCAAACTGTCAAATTTTGCAATCCGATCCTCCTGATGTCCGGTCCGGCTGGCCCCCTCCGGGTGCTCCAGCCTCACCAAGGAATGTAGGACGGTGTTGGAGATGCCGTGTACGCAAGTTGGAGATGCTACAGCTTTGATGGTGCTGCACCGTCCAATTGGGGCTCCTCGCTCAGGGCCGAATCTTTTCAGAGTCCGGATGCTCCCTGTCGACTTAGCTCTCAATTCAGCTCTCAGGCCAGCCAACCCTGCAACAGGCGATTTTTGCATCTAGCTGGTAGAGAACACGAACAAGAAACAAGACTATGCCCTTTGCAACTTCTGATGCTTCTGCGCAAATTCGATAATGCTGAGGAATTTTCAGTACGAAACTAATCTTGATGCAGACTCAGCCACGAGATAATGCCCAGCTGGGCGAGATAACTCAGCTGCATCAGTTCATGGCTTGCGGACCCTCATGGCAGCGCTGGTACTCTGAAGGAGGCACACCGTAGTTTGCACAGAGTCTGCGTCAATTGTGAAAAGCTGGGTCTTTGCAGATTTGCGTTGTAAGTCCTGTGGTTGCGATTGCCACATTGTTTACAGCTTGTGCCAGGCATTGAGGGTGGGTCGGAAGCACCAGCTCTTGTGCTTAAACTGCTAAGTCGCCGCCACCCTCAACACTGACAGCTTCTTCAGCCTACAGTACATGTCTCTCTATCACAAGCTGAGAACACGAAAGAAATAGGCTCCACAGAGCTGATTGAGAGGTTCGAGATAGACAGCATCCAGTGCAAGACCTCGAAGCGACTTCACTGTGAGCTTCGTGCAGCAAATCGTGAAATCCATGCCAGGACATGCGCATCTTGAAAATAGGAGACGTGCTGGTGATGTGCTGAATGCTCATCAGCGGGGCTGCCTTCGTCTCCTTGCTGCAGCTTACCGCCGTGCCTGCCTGGCCAAGAATGGCCAAGAGATACCCTCAACATGAAAGCCCACATGGCGGACAACTCATTCCCACCACAAACTACCCCTTCCAATGCAGGCCTGAGCTGGTAGACGCTCGGAAGATGGCGCCTCCTGGACATTTGGCTCAAGCTGACTCAAGCTCACACCCTGTGCTGCAGCGATCTCCGGGGAAGAGGACCTGGGCGGCTTCCTCTTCGTGCTCGTGGACTTCGAGTGCTGCTTCTTGCTGCCTTCAGAAAGAAAAGCAGGCCCACTGAACCGAACCAGACTAACTTCCAGGCTAACTTTAACTGTCTTACTACTCACGCTGACAAAATTTGACACTGACCGGCATGCAGGCCTTTTCTGCTTTCTGGTGGCTGCACGTGCAGCTGCGCCCTCGCCACTTTGATTTGACACAACAGCTGCACACGAACTACCAGGAACATGCACATGAACTGCACTCTCGTAGCCTCGCGCGACCAGAATGGAGCACTGGCGGCTTCCGTAGATTTAGGCTTTTCACCTGCAACATGTCCTACATGTCTTGGTTCAGCCTTGTTTTTGCTCGACTCGCAAGGTCGGCATAGCAGGCCCAGAGACAGTCACGAGACTTGCCTTTACGTCCAGTATCTGCAGCTTTTGCAGAATGATATACAGGCTTGTACCTGCGGCAAGTAGCACTGAGCAACTCCCATGGTGATCATCTCACGGAAACTTCTATTGTAACTGTAATCCTGTCTCGCAAACCGTACATCTGTCTGTACATCCCTACATCCCTGTATCAGGCCCTGTGTGCGCGGCACCAGTCTCCAGCGAAGTTCTCTCCCAGAGCAGCCCGCCTCTGCGATGATTCAATGAATAGCAGCAATAAGCTTGAGAATCGTGAGCTCTCGCGATGCTCGGCCGCGCTGGACTCTTGAAGGACGCAGAATAGCGTTGGAAACCAAGACAATTCAGGCGATTTGTACACCCAGACCCTCCGACATCCTCATGCCCTCATGTCTGCGAGCTTCTGAATTCAGCCTGTTGAGCACCCCTTCCAAAACAAAGACACGCCAGCAGCGTTTCTTGCGTGGCACGCCAATGGGGCATCCGGCATCCGTTGAATTAAGGTCTGGCAAGCCAACCAAGAGGTTGCTCCACATCTCCTCCCATTAGAACCAGTCTTGTGTTGGTTGTGCTTGCCGCATAGTCATTCAATTCGCGCAGGGCACTAAATTTCAGCAAACGAACTAAAGAATGGCTGCAGGGAAGACGTGCTAGAGCAACACAACACCAAGCCCCGCTCGTTTCCGAGCAAGCCATTTGATTCATCTGAACGTCTTCCCAGCAAACGTGCCATCAGCCAGGGCTGCCGAGCCTGACAGAAACTGCTATGTCATGTGCCGGTGCACGACCAAACTAGCTTGCCAGTGACATCGCTCTCAATGCAACGATGCAGCCCGACACGACTGTTACATGCTTTTACATCATGCTGCCCAGTCACTTCTTGAGGCACGCTGCAGCTTCTGAGACTCCTTCACAAGCTTTTCGGGCCAAAGCCTTAGTGTGATGTTTGCTGTCATGGTGGACCAGAGTTTGTTCAAGAGGAAGGGAATGTCATCACAGCTCTTGCTGGACCATCTTTGAAGCAAGCAGCAGCGACAGCTGCATGACCAACGTGACCTTTGCCCCTGGTAGCCTGAAGCCAAAATGGTGTTCGGAGTACTGCGAAGCAAGCAGTACAGGCTTAGCGCATGCGCAGCAGATCGCAGCAGCCTCTGCCACATTGCAGAGCAGGCTGAGGGAAGGCTTGCGCACATCTGCATGCCAGTCCGAAGCTGTCAGGGCCAGCCTCAGCTACAGATGAAGCGGCGAAAAAATCGGCACAGGGCTTGGGCGTGGACTCCGCGCCGTTAAGGCGAAATGCAAAACGCACGAGGTCCATGCAGAAAGCTGCATTCACACGTGTTCACACTGCCACAACATGCAGAGAGGTCTTTGCCACTTTGCTCAACGAGCAAATAGAAAACGGGAGACCGGAAAGCCGCCTGGCATGTTGTCCCTTCCATGTGACCCCAACTCATTTGCATTTGCAACTTTACCTGTCAGCTGGCCGATGCAGCAACACATCATAAGAGCAGGGGTTCGGCGAGGATCCGATGAAGGATCGTAAAGCATGATTCATTCCACCGTGCAGCCGGAAGCTTGTGGGGGTTTCACCTCCGGTTTAAGCTAGTATAAAATTGCAACCCAGCTGGGCCAAAGAATGAGTGCTTGTCAAATGAAGGGGCACCCACCGGTATCAAAGGGTGGTTGTAAGCAGCAGTGACAGCCACCGAGTTGTTGTCTGCAGGTGTCCACAAGCAAAGCCCCCGGTAGCACAAGGAAGCACCAGGGTCTTGTGAAAACATGCTGGCCACTTCCTTGAACAACTTCAACGAGTGGGCCACGAGGCTCAAGGTGGGCATGGCTTCATGGTTAGTGGCTAAACTTTCATAGGACCGAGGAGTATCACACATCAAGCACATGCACAGAACATGGAGGAAAGCGAGCTGGGTGCGAGGCGTTGCAAGCATCCCCTCCTCGCAGAACAACAGAATTGGAATGTTTGTAATGGCTAGCTTAGTGACTCGGAAGTGCAAAGGTCTCTGAATTAATCGCTCTTGGCCTGGTCACGCGGAGAGGCACGGCAGGGTTTCCTGAGTAGCTCGGCACCTTGGGTCGGGCAGCAAACTGCTCAAGAGCTGTTTCACCCTGTGGCTGAAGAGCTGCCCGTGGTTGCGAGGGATGAGACAAGACCCTCCTCTCCTCTTCTATGTGGCCCACATCTCCACGGCTGTCTTCTGGCTTGAGGAAGTGGAGAATTCCCCCCTCTCTTCCTTCCTTGCAGCGCTCTTGGCCCGCCCCTTGAAGGGAACGAGCTGCCTGAAGGCGAGCATCCAATCGAGTCTCGGCCCCCTGGGCATTCGGGCCTCACTAGCAGCCTTTCCATATCATGCCCATATCAACCCCCCCCCTTTGTGTAAGTCCCTTTCGCCCTCTGTGAAGGCCTCCCACTCATGCGGCAGGGATTGGGGTGGTTTTGGTCAGACCCTTTCTTTGACAAGACGCCCCCGAGTTAATCCCCCCATGCCACCAATCACGGGCGAGCTTTAGTGACACATGTCCAGGGAGTTTGGGATGAAAGCTACTAGACCGAGCCCAGCCGTGGGGTGAAACGCAGTGGGATCAGGGGTGTTACCAAGACCAAACTCCAGGGCGTCAGAAGAGGCTTCCGGCTTCCGGGCAAAGGAAGGAAGAAGGCCTTGACTTTGCACATCTTTGCACCTTTGCTAGTTGCACTCCATGGGTCGTCGCCCCTGTTGGTGCCCTCCAGCCTCCCGTCCCAGGGTTACATGCAATGGGCCCGGATCTCTGGTCTTGCGGGATGCTGAAGGGTGCATAAAGCCCACAAAGTTCGCATCTCAAGTCCAATCATCTGTATCTGATGGCACTGGCTTTTCAACACAGGGTGAGGCAACAGTCTGTACAAGTAGCGCTGCCTACCAGTAACTTTGTATCAAACTGGGCCCGAGGCCAACAGGCGTCCGCGCTGGGGACCAAGTCGAATTGATCAAGAAAAGAACCAAGCTAAGTGTGCCTGCAACTCTTTGGGCACTCCTTGGGACTCGCACTGACAGTTCTTCTGGCCCAGGCTTCTAGAGGTCTTGAGTTTGTACAACGGATACTGTACCGCTGGTCTGGGACTGCAAGCGTGAACTGACAAAGAAACCCCAAGGAATTGGATGCCCTGCACAGAAACAGTTGAATGTGAGACCTGCCACAGCTCACTATGCACTCTCACTGGTCATCTTCGAGGAACATCTGCGGCGAGGCGGCGCTGAGCCGTGACACATCTCAGCTCACGCAGCTTATACGCAGGACTGTGTACAAAGTCAAATGTCAAAGCATGATGCCAGTCACCTTGCAGTCTCCAGTAATTCCACTTGCAATTGAGGAGCTGCTTTGGTTGACAAGTGCCTTTGCAGGTCTCTGATGGATGGTGGATGCCATGATCAGAGAGGACCGCTCCACTCGTTCTATCGGGTTCACGTTGTCCTGGACGAAGGGCTGGCATAAGCTAATTGAAATGAGATGATCTACTGATTGATGCATTTTCCAGCGACAGACGGGTGCAGGGGACTTGGTGCGCATGTATACATACTGCAGAGAGAGTGATCTATACAATATAAAGATCGAGATATACCTTTTACATATAGATCCATAATGCCATTACTGCTACGATTATTCGTTGTTAATACTTCAATAGCTCAGGTTTGTTTTTTTGAAGCCTGAATGCCTCGCACCTCATGGCTACAGACATAGCAAGCCAGCACCAGTATCGCCCAGAACATGCTGCGCAACAAAAACGTTGCTTCCCCACCAAGGCGTGCGCGACCAAATTTATCTGGCATCACAAGCTCGTGTGTTTGCGGGGAAGCTACCAAAGGTACTCAGTCCCCACAAAGCGCGGGCACGACAACATTTAGTATCACTTAGCTGCTCAGTTAAACATGCACGAGTTGCGGTTTGGCAACAAACCGGGCAGTCTTTGCGAAGTGATTCTTAGAACGACCTTGTCTCAGACCACAACAGAGAATCCAATGATGTTGTCGCTTCGACGCACAAGGCGTCATCTCTTGCATTTCAACGCCTCGCAGCCCTAATCAACCGAACTTTGCCCTAATCAATCGAACTTTGCCAAACCAGAAGCTGGAACAGCGCACTGACTTCCCAGCAGTCCTGGATGGCACACTCCGTAACCGTTTTGTCAAAGCCTTGGTCCACAGAGCACTGCAATGGTAGACTGGAAGACACTTGGCTTGGCATTTGCTCCTGCATTAAAACAAATGTACGTGTTATATAGAAAAAATCTATATACATACGTATGTGTATGTAAATATACTTGCATGTGTACATAAAATGCGGCCGAGCAAATAGGGGGCCATGACTTCAAACGATCGCCCAGCCACAATGCGTCGCCGCGATGACGATGTGGAGTGTGGCGTGGCTGAGCTCCAGAGCTCCCGATCTAGGTGGCAAAAAACTCAATTTACAATGCTTCAAGCTATACCAAGATGTGGACATGATCGAGGATGAACGAGGCTTCGGCACGCTTTGCTACACTTTGCTCAATACAAGAAGAAGAAGAAGAAGAAACGAGTGAAAGTGTCAGGGAACTCCGATATTCTGCTGGTGGAAGTTGCAGACTGAGCTATTTTCAAGCTCGCGGCTTGCTGCTGCTGATTTCGCTTGCGGTCACATCCCAACTGCCAACTTGCCCGGTCAACGATCCGTACTGTGCATTCCAAGCTGCTTCGTTATGGCGTCAAGCAGATCGAAAGCTGCATCCTGCGGCTGCAGGGGCAAATGCAGCCAAGCCGAACTCCTTTCAATTAGCACATTACTCCTTTTAACTGGCACCAGGAGACCTTTTTGGGGTTTCGGAATTCCACTTTCCCCCACATATCCAGCGAAAACAAGAGCTCAATGTCAGCCGGCAGATAACACGCCAACATCCCGGACACATCCGGACCGCAAGACATTCAGGTGGAGCTGCCATCCTTCTCGCGCTTCTGGTCGTCAGTGCTGAGACTCGACGTGGCCGGCTGTGATAGCAAAGACTTCTGAGATGTCTTGCTCCATGTGCTTCCTGTCGGGTTTCAGTGACCGCTGCAAGCTTCACGCGTGCTTCCGCCTGACTGACCCCACGTGCTCACATGGGTGTGTTGGCGAATCTGTCTGAGGCGTTTCGCGTGGCAAAGCGCAAGGTCACAGAAGGCGTCTCTTTGTTTTAGGTTGGGAGCCACCAGATACAAGCGCCTGGGTTGATAATCGTCGGGCGCAGCGCGCTGTCCGGGTCCTGGCAGGTCGCGGGCATGACTTAAACGACTTAAGGAGCTGACGATAAGGGCATCTCATGCAAGCTCACATCCAGGTCGGAAGAATGCAGGAGCAGGAGTCCAGCTTCTCAAACTGCTCGTCCAGCTCCTGAGGAACCTGCACTCTCTGAGCTTGCGCAATGTCTCCGCGCAAAGGACTATGCAAAGCAATCGTACGACTCAATCAGCCTTATCTTGCCAAGTGATACATCGGGGGATGTCAACCGGGGCCTGCGTGTAGTCCCTCGTGGCAGCCCCGTCCGCAGCAGCTCCACCACCTGCAAGCCACAAGGGATGACGGAAAGGCCTGCACAGACAAGCAGATTTCTTATCACCCGTGAAAACCGTGGGTGTGGCCTGAAGCAACACTTCACGGTTTTAATGTCGTAGTTACCTTTTCTAAACCTCTGGGCCATTCCCTCGACACCTCGCAAATTCCTAAGGTGGAAGACCGCAATTGGAACAAATTGCAAGCTGCCCTTCCAGCAACTCAAGCGTGCCTTGGGTCTGCTGGCTCGGATTTTCGGGCCCCTCCTGCAAACCACACTGGTATTTCTGCTGAATGCACCACCGCTATTTAGATTTCTATAGGACGTACTACAGAGGCTTCACGTTTGGAGTCGCTGGTGTCACCATGCGTCCCTGTTTCGCTCTCGGATTGACGGACAAAGCGGAAAGGATCGGAAAAGCTCCTTCGCCTTGGAGTCCGAGGAATCGGCAGCTTCCTGCGGCACAGGGTCGAATCTAAAAGCTGTGCAGAACACACAGAGCTCAGGACAAGTGCGTCATGTCCTGTGAATTGGGTGGCACGGCTTCGCCAGTCATCTCTAGCACAACTTCGCTCGCCCTGTTGAGGCCATCGGAGGGACAAATTTTGGCTCGGGTCACAGGTCCACCATTGGTATCTTGGCTTGTGCCACTATCGTGGAGAAAAGACCCGGGGAATCTTGATGACTTGGCTTGGCTTGGCTACCCAATGCGCGTGGTTTGTGAGGTTCTCTTGCATTCGCTTGCCATCTTCCCGTCACGGCATTGACAGCGGCCGAACCGTGAGAGCTTGCCAAAAAGTTACGAGCTTCGAAATGCCCTGCCTGGCTTCTCTTTGCCTGACAAGCCAAAATGCATGTGTGAACGTATGCCTTGCGATGTTTGACGCATCCCAGTTTGAGGCCCACGCTTGCATTTCTTTCTCTTGATTTTCTTCAAGCCTCAAGGAGACTCAAGGGTCCGAGGATTGAACCAGTCTGGGTCACGGTGCTCTTGATGTGCCTTCTTGTTCCATTTCCTTTTTCTCTTCAATGGCTAGATCCAGCATCATGTCCTGAGCTCATGCAAAGATGCTGGTCGACATTGCATTCCATGCAGCGATGGTGACTGGCAGCATCTCCCGAAACAGTGCAAAGGGTAATCAAAGAGAACTGCTATCGCTGTGGAGCCGTGCGAATCTGCGGGCGTGCTCGTGGCTCTCGTTGTGACTGTGGCTCGTGCACATTCTTATTCACGCACGACCTTCTCGGTGTTTACTTGTGTGTACCACAACGACCCAGACGTCGTTTTCATTAGCAAGCGCAGCAGTTCGCAGCAGTTCGCAGCAGTTCGCAGCAGTTCGCAGCACTTCGCAGTTTTGTTGTCTCATCAGGGTCTTGGCCTCGGAGCGGTCTTGGGCATGCACTTGGAAAGTTCTGGTCTTACGAACTCTGGAATCCTACCAAGCTGTCCCTGGCTTTAGTACAAACAGGTGTTTCGGACCGTTTTTAAGTTCATGCAGCATGCATGTCTACTCATGAGATATGTGGAGACGAAAGTGAAGATCAAATGACAAGCAAGTCGAGGCCGGGAGGCCTCATCAACGGCGCACGCCGTCAAGCACTCCATCACCTTGAGAAGGTGGCAATCCAGTGTCATTTTCTGCTTGTGTTGCTTGTGTTGCTTGTGTTGCTTGTGTTGCTTTTGTTCAGTAATTCTACACTGAGAGGCAGGCTGGTGCTCATTAGACTCATGAGACAATTAGCATCGGAGCATCGGAGAGGGGGACTGGCACTGGCGATTTGTAGACTCGTAGCTACGAGCTATCTGCAGCTTACCAGACGATCCGAGGTGCCTCCTCACGCTCAGCGCGCAACTGCAAGTGCGGGCCTGAGATGGCCATCCCTTTCGTGAAACCTTTTGTGAACACAAGTGCACAGGCACACCTTAATAAGCTCGGCTGCCAATATCCAGACAGCGACAAAAAGGGCAGAGGTATGGAGGCATCGAGCCCCTGACGAAAGTACTCCTCCTCCCGGCGTCGCTCCTCGATTTCCCTCCTCTTCTCCTCATCAATCATGTCGAACATGGCCTTGACCTTGCTGGTTCCGAGATGGTGGGCCAGACAAAGGCTCACATTCTACATTGCTATAATTCGTGTTTCGGATACTTCCGCCGGGACATGTCGTGCCTCTTTTGCAACAAAACTGCTGGCAATGGAAGGCCAAGAGGCGTGGCCCCGCACGGCGGCCACACGCTCCGCAGGCCGTGCCGGTGGTGCGAAAGTGCCAGGTGCAGGGCTGTCATCATAAGAGAGGAGGTCACTCGGAATCTGGTACCTGGCAAATTCTTGCCGTCCTATGCAACTAAGGGCGTTGCTTCGGGAAGGTCTTGGCCAAAATGAAGAAGAGCGTAGCATGCCAAGAGCACGTGAGGAAAAGGTTCAAGAGGTCCTGGGTGAGCTTGATCTCCTGCCGTGTGGATATGAGTGCAGAAGCGCCGACGTTGCAGTGTGCATATGTTTGACAGCATCGCCTTCGTGAGGCTGTCTTCCGCAAGGTTCAACAACTTCTCAAGTTGCGGCTTGATCTGCACCACGGCAACACCAAACAAGGTGCTTTCAAGCTGCATTGCCTCAGTTGGCCATACACATCCTCTCACGGTCTTGCATCGTATGAATAGAATTGCTTACGGAAGCTACATCTACCTAAGCAGGTGTGACCTGTCAGTGCAAGTTGCTCGGAAAGCTTTTGCAAACGCTTGCTGCTCCGGGGATAGGGAGGCGATTGCATCCTTGAACTCCTTCGGCGTAGGAATGACTGACAGCTCCAGCGGTATGGTGAGTTCATCCTTGTTCTGCACGATGGCCGCATAGGTTGGGTCAAAGGTGGTCGCCGAAGTAACTCTGCCTACCAACACGACCATCGAGCTGAACTGTCTGGCCCTGGACGTCAGGAAGAGCTTGCTGCCACTCTGCCCCGAGAAGCTGTGGGATAGCCATCCATGCAGGTGCACATTCCCGGAGAAGTTCACTGTAGTAGAGGCGTTGAGGTCAAACGACATGGTCACCGGCTTGGTGCTGCACTGTGAGATAGTGACCTAGATTCGAGATGGGCTTGAAGTCACACATCTGGTGCTTATCAGGGAAGACTACATCCTATACAGGCTAAAAACCTCGAAAATGCTCCTCGTCTTCGGGTCTACTATCAGATTCCATCATGTCCTCCCATTGCTCCGCATGACAGTCGGCACACTACTGCTGGCCAGGGGCAACAGGCGACCGTATGCTGCCACCGTCTATAAGGCCGACGGCTTCCTCATCTATGCTTACTGTTCCTTCCGGCGAATGATTCTCGGAGCGCCTCACTGAGAAGCAGAACCTTGGCCACTCGAACCCTGCAGAACTTGAGAGAATCTCTTGAGGCCTCTGACCCCAGCATAATCAGTGCAGTTTGCCAGCAGTTCCTGTCCTACAGCACAATGGAAACACAAAGCGAATGTGATGTCACTTCGGCATTTGGCCTCCAAATTCCATTAGACTGCACATCCGAGACCCGGATGTGAGTGCCCGTAGTGGAAGAATGGAGCACTGCGTCAAAGATTCAGCAACATCATGGAGAGTTCCCGCAAGTCTCCAAGGAACCACCACACTCCCATCCAGGGTTTGGGCTTCTTCTGGCTACGGAGGAAACCGTCGCGCACTGGGGCCGACTACCTGATCCTCAACCTATCCCGTACACACACGGAAGCATGTCAGGCAGCGCAGTGGCTGAGCAACCGTCCCTCACAGCTACATGATTAATTCGGCTCCAAGAAGCTGTTTCGGCCGGTAACAGTCCAGAAAGAGCTTCCTTGCAACGGTCATGGTTAGTTACAGTTAGTGATCTTGCCAGGCCACCAGACACGAGAACTTCAAAAATCTCATTCGATGAACGTCACTGTTGACAAGAGGGATCTCTCCAGCAGGTGGGGGGGTGGGGGGGTGGGGGGGGAGTCGGGAAGAAACCGAGACATGAGTCGAGAAAGAAGGCACGAGTCCGGCAAACGGTGGGGGCGTGAATGAACAAAACAAGGGTGTTAGGAGGTAGAAGTGTGAGTCGGAAACCCAGATGCAGGCGCTTGTCAGGAAAATGGGGCCCTTGGACCCGAACATAACTTTGGCGGACTCGGGGTCTAAGCTCTCTTCAAGAAAAATCGCATGTCGTGAGAGGGGCTTTGGTTGCATTGTAGAATCGCACTTCCCTTACAGACTTGACTTGACTTGATCGGACTGTAGTGCCACCTAAGTGGCGGCGTCCCAAAACTCGTGCTGAATTCGGGTTGCATTGTAGAATCACACTTCCCTTACAGAACAGACAAGACGTGCCATGAGACGAGGGCGAGGGACAGGCGTTAAGAGCAATATGGAACTAACCTTTCATTTCAGCAATAAAATCGGGTTTCAAAGTACGATCCTCTGACAAAAAAACATCATGAGATACATGAGGTCCACTTTCCTTGGTTACGGCAATTCAACTAAGATTTCCTTTTCCTTGTGATGCTAAGCATGAAAAGACGCAATGAGAGGGGCGGGTTCGGCGGTAGAAGACAATCTTACAGCCCAACAAATCCCTCGCTGCCCAAACCCGTAAACCCATGCGCAAGGCCCTGATTTAAAAACGATGACTCGCGAATTGTTTTTCCTGACTCGCGTGCCGAGGCTTTTCGCGGACTCGTGCCTGCCGACTGCCCTGACATGTGCCTCAAATTTGTCTGACTCATCTGCCTGGCTCATGATTTCTTTTTCTGATTCCTACTTCTACACCAGCCCGTGGGTCAGAACCACGTTGTGTGCTGGCTACAGTGTTACAGTATTTCTTGTCAAAGGTTCCGGTAGTGGAACTGCATGTATGCAGCAAACTCGGCAGGGCCGATCTCTTTGCCAATCGCAGCCACGAGCTGTTGTCGGAGCATACCTGGCAATCGACAAAGGAAATTGGTCCCAGCCAGCCTCTCAAAGGAACCCAGACACGCCTTCCACGTAATCCACAGTTCTCTTCCACGTTTCACACACATCGCGAGAATGAAGCAATATAGCCACTGCATGAACTTCGACTGCTCGTATAAGTCCTTAGGTTTCTGAGATTCTCTCTGTGGATGGTGCTAAAATGCTAAAATGGGAGCAGCTGTTGAGGGCATGCGTGATATCTCTGGCAAGAGCTTCCGTCATCTCCTGGAAAGGCAAGGTCTGCATTGCTTCGATGCTCCTCCAAAGCAGCGCGGCTAGCTCGCACAGGCTATTGCATGATATTGCATGCTAGGCCTGGTCATCGCCAAGCCTTACGGCCTTTTTTACCACACCCAGAAGCCAAAAGTCAAGTGCGCAACACGGCAGCTCCTCGAGGCATCTGAGCTCCTCTGCAAGGAAGCGATTCCCATCTCCGATGGATAGAACCGGACCTTCGGTGCTCCCATTCGCCAGAAAGAACTACAACTTGCAAACTGAGCATGAGGAAACTGAAGCAGGATTCCACTGCCGCCGTTGTGTCCCGTAAGGCAACCATCACTTGTCTCTCATGGCTCTCTGCCGGCAACTAGCTGTACGAACTCTCATAGTTGCCATGCTGCCAGGACAAGCCCGAACCGTTACCCAGCAATCAGGGCGAACCAAGGCGTAGCATTCGAATTACTCGAAACCCCAATCCCCGAGAGGAAGCGGTAGTCCTATCCGTGTCGTTGACCATGAAGGTACGTTAGGGGGGTGGGGCACGTGGAGCATTCCCGTTTCGTGTGCCTTGCGCCGGCTCGCTCGACTGCAGCACAGCCAGAAGACCTCCAGGCAGCCAAGCGGCTGGGAGCTTGACAGAATCTTACATTGGTTTCTGCTCTCAGCGGCGGCTGACCGCTGGAATCGCGGACCTGCCCTCGACGATGCACACGGACCACACATGACTCTAGGGGTTGTTTGGATCCATTCGGGTCCCTTCCTGGATCTTTGAGGGATGCTCTCAAAGGCTTAGGGCCGGCCTGGAGGTGGGGCTTCCGGCTCAGTGTGTCCGGCACCGTCCTGATTTCGTGACAAGCAGTGAAGGGGTGAAGGTTGCAACTGTTGCTGGAGTCTATGGTGCTACGAAGCTACAGTATGAGCTTTAGAGTTTTAGAGGATACTTGCCAAATCAATTTGGGCATTGACGCTCTGTTGTCAGCCCACCCTGTGCGACGGGGCATGCATGCGAAGCTGCAAGTGGACCTGCTTCCAAGACATGAAATGAACACGCTAGAGGAAGGGGGAAACATGCTGAGATGCGTGAGTATGCATGGCAGGTCATGACTTGTTCCAAGCATCGAACATAAGGGGAAGGACTGGCACAAAGATCGACTCCGGCGAGAAGACGCTGTCATCAGGCTTTCGCGGCTGGACGGTTCGTAGGTGGTGAAAGTAGTCAGCAACATACTGTGTCCAATATGCGAAAGAATTGAAGTGATCCATGGCCAGATTGGTCTCCAGATTTCGACGCGGGGTTTTGCAGTCCGGGCCAGTCCGATTGATTCGAAATTCAGGGGCCACCTGGTCATTGCTCACCAGGCACTTCACCAGCCAGGTGATGTTGACCTCATCAAGATGCTTGGAAAACTGCAAGGCTGCAACTAGACTAGACGTGAAGAGACCCCAGCTTCTTTTCCCAGGGCTACTAAGGGCGGCTAATAAGCCTTTTTAAGGACTCGCCTTCAAGCACTTCCTACCTACCCCCAGCCCAGGCCCCAACACAACTCCAAAAAAGACTCCCCGAAGTTCGTGTTTTTCCAGCGTCTCCTGCCTCTTGGTTGATGGCGGGAACTCTTGCTTCTGGATACGGTGCGGGGGCCTTTGTTGTGGTCTTCAGCTCTGCGACTCCCGTGTGGCTCGCAAGGACCACCCGGCTGGCAGCGTCTGCGCCGACTCCACAGAAAGCTTCCAACGCGTAGGTGGCTTCAAACTTCCAGAAATACTCGGTGATCTTCGTGACAACCTGCCGCAAGGAGCAGATTGCTACTAGAGGGCTCGGAACAGCCAGACTGTTCAGCTCCATTGACATCTTGTGCCGCCCAGAAGTGCGTGAACACTTGACTCTTTTCTTATGTGTCGATGCTTGTTGTTGTGAGCTAGACAGTTTGACAACTGAAAGTACGAGTGCACCCAGCACACGACACCAGTCTAACATCCAGATGTTGATGCTATGCTGCTAAACATGCGAGACAGAAGGCCCACTGCAGTGGAAACGGCTGGCTGCAGGGCCTAGCTCCTAGACAAATGACCAAGTTGCAGGCCTTGCTGGTTATGGTACTCCGCAATACGCCGCCAACGGTCGTCTCTTCCACGTGCTTCCTGTTTCATCCGTATTCATCCGTGCTCGAACGAAGAAGAGGGCAAAGTACCAACCTTCGAACCCATCCTTGCCTCGGGTTCTCCTCCTCTCGCGTCTCCTCTCTGGTGAAGGTGCAAGATTCCTGACAGGGTTAAGCACAACGCAGCCTGGCCAAACACCCCTCACTTTGCTGAACTCTAGAAATTTCCGCACCGATGGCAGTCCTTGGATTTGAACCGCAGCGACACGGAAGATCCTTCCCACGCAGGCACAATCGAAAGCCGTTAGTCGGAGTTCAACGAACTTGAGGAAGTTGGGGGCCTATAGCAGATTGGGAACTTCCGTGGCCGGCTGCGGTTCCCTGCTCCCTCTTCTAGGGCTCCAAGCAGGCGAGTCGCTGACAACTGGTCTTCCTAACATGAAACGAGTCTGAGGCTTCCTGCCTTCAGCCGCCCAGCGTCGCATCGTCTGAAGATGCTCAGCTGTGAGGCCCAGAGCACCAAGACAGCTCCTCAGCATCCAACATGCGCACGGCAGTATACAAGTACAAGTACCTTGCCAGCGCGCACGGCACCCATTCTAAATGTCAACTTGCATCCCCTTTCCCTGACCAGCGGCTGCAGGACTTTTTTGTCAAAATCTGTCAAACCCCTTGAAATCCGATTTGGTGTCAGGGCACAGCTGGGATGCCGCTGCCAAGCACGTAGCCCTTTCTACCAGCAGGTACTTGTCCTCATACTGGTGGTGGACGTCGCCTGCACCAAAAGCAAGGTCCCATGCTGGGCCATCTCCGTCCGGGCATGGCCCGAAGACCACACACTGACCACACCCGCCTGCAAACTGCGGCACTCTCTCTGCATGGAGCAGCCGCTTCACAGTCTCCACTGCCTTCCCGAGCTTGGCCTTCCGCATCGGGGCATGCGGCAACGCAGTCTACAGTGCAACATTTAGAAAGTCGAAAGCAACCTGGGGCAGCCCTGGCAAAACCTGAAGTCCTAGCACCTGCCTAGACCCCAAGCGGCACCTCAACGCTCTTCAACTGGACAGAGACAGCCATGAGCCTAAAAGAAACGGATGCCGGCTGATCTGCACGACTCGGCCCGAGCAATCCACCTATTTCCTGTGGGCATGGACTCAGTTCAACTGTTTCCAGAACAAGCTGGCATCCAGTGCTGTCGCGAAGACTGTGAGTCGTGAAGCGCGCGATTGCGATGCTAGTGCTACAGTGCACAGCTGCTGCTGCGTGTGCTACAGCTACTGCTGCTGCTACAGGCCGGGGCTTTGAGTCGCTAACGGCTGAAGGGATGTCCGCTTGATGGGCATACCATGACCCAGACGACCAAAACATGCCAATCTCGGAGGTCGGTGCACAAGCACCACAAAGAATGAACGCGGCAAACCCCATGCCCCCTTGCTATGCTTGACCTCGCGGACTCCGTATCAGCTTTTGCCACCATACGCTGCCATAACTTTGGTCGACAGGTCCAGGCATCCAGGCCAAAGCAGAACCACACACACACAGTGAAAACGAGCCGTGTTGCAAACATGCCTGCTCGCTTGTGTTCATGCTCCTTCTCGGGGTCCATGCTCCTTCTCGAGCTTCAGCAACGAAGTGTTGCTTTAGCAGACGTGAGCCAGTGGTGACGTGCATGAGGCGCTTGCCTGGAAGGGAAAGTTCAATCACTACCTACGGCACCCCCACCTGAAATGCCATTCCTTGAGCGTTGTGAGCAGGTATCGCACGTCATGGACAGATTCAGATATACCGTGATGTATCAGTTACCGGCTTGGTGACGGATACCGAAAGTATCGTGCGAACAAGGTGCGCAACAAGGCCGTGATGCGAACAGCCAGTCATCACAAAGAATGCCGTATTGGTAGCCCTCGATGTGCACAAGCCTCCTGCAAGCAACTTGAGCTCGGCGTTAACTGCAAGCATCTGCAAGCTTCAACAGCATGCCGGAGCAGGAATTTGTCTGATTCCAGCTGGTAGAACATGGATCGTATGAATCATATGGACAGGCTATGACAAGCTCAATGGGTTGCACTCCTGAGCCTCTGAGTCCCTGGGACGTTCCGTGAGGACGCTGAAGGACTCCGTTGAGTCAGATCTGCCATCCTTGCGTCATTGACAATCCCTCCGCACATGAGGAGCAGTCAACCCGCGCATCCTTGGAAAGCATTTCAAAGCACTGGGGCTCCCACGGCGCGATGCAAGAAACTCAGTCGCCCAGGGCTCGAAAAGTTCATCCACTTGGAAATTCAGACATGCAGTGGACTCTTGGACCTTGGCATTCCCCCTTTGCGCATGGCAGAACTGACAATGACTAGCGGCTTGCAACAGAGACCTCAACAAAAGACAGCTGTAGAAGGCAGGAGGCACCTCACTCTCTACGGAGTCTTTCACCTTGTGCGAAAGCCCAGGCCAAAGCATTGCAAGACAAGTCCTGGAAAGCAGAAGCAGAAGCGCAAAACGTGGAGAGAGAAAGCGAAAGGGAGAGGGGCACAGGCTTCACACACGCCTTAAAAACATGGGAGGTTCACCACAGAACCCTCACCAGCCGAGCTCCTCCATAGTACCGCCCTGATCTTGGAAGAGTGCAGCTTGCTTCCACTTTCCCGCGTTGCCCAGAGCGCTCAGAGCCGCACCTTCACAGCGCAGAATGGAGGCTACGGTCAGCCTTGACAATTGCCTTTATTGTGCGGTTGCACTTTAGGAAGCTTCTAAGCCACCAAGGCTTCAGAAACGGAAGCAGGACGCAACAGTAGAAAGGCCCTTATACTCGAAGGAATAAGGAATATGAATATGTCGTAAGGAACTTCTTCATACTTCTTCCGATCGGTGCAGGCTGGGCGCTATACGTCAGCAGGTCTGTTTGGACCTGCACCACGCAGAAATCCAACACTGCATGTCCACCGTCCGATGCCGAAGCTTCTGTAGAAATGTTTGAGAACTGGTAGGTCTGATCTTTGCTCGTTGCTCGTGTTTTCGACAGCTCTTGCATGTTATTATTGCCGCCTGCACCGCACGCATCTCGCTGCATACACTCGTGGCAACCTGCCACCGATCTGGAGTCCTGAATGGCCATCGAGACATTTGACTCAATTTGACAGTATCTCAAAAATATTTATAAGGCACGTTGGCGCGTTGCTCTATTCCGCGCTTCGAAGCTGGAGGCCATGCCATGACTCCTGCAGGCTGCCACCACCGACCCGAAGCTGAGGACATCAACCTCAGATGCACCGCGACAGCTTGCACTGGCACGTCTTACACTGGCACCTGTCAACTATAGGAGGACGGCTGCTTGTCCGCAGCTTACCAGTCAGCCGTGTCGCCTTCATCCCTCGGGCAGAAGCTTGCAACAAGCATGAGGCGACAGTCCACTGAGAGCCTGATCGCAGCTGAACATAGAAGGTGTCCATGGAAAAGGGCTACTACTGTTCTTCCAACGGCACGCGTGCCTTTCTCGGAAGCACTGCTGGCACTGTTGTGGCTGATTTCATCCAGAAACCTGTCCAAGACGTCACTTGTTGAGCTTGACTGCAAGGAGTGCTCTGGCACTTGCCGTTGGGCCGTTGGGTATCCTTGGGTCGAGCACAGCTGAATACATCCGAACGGCACTCTCAACCCAGGCAGCTCTGCCAGAACCTGCAGCGCCGCTCGCCAGTGTCCATCTTAGCCAGCAGCATGTGGCTTTGGCGCAGAAAGGAACGGACACTCACAGCTGGAAACAGGTGAAGCCCTCAAGCCAGGACACTGTTCTCACAGGCCGATATGAGGGAGTTGCACGTAATACTGGAGGTGGTGCTTGATCGTTGCCTGTCACAGACCCGGGAAGGTCCACTCACACGCGCCGAAAACTGCAGAAAGATGCGGGTGAACTAACTCTCGATGCACCTTTCCTGCCCCCCACCAGAGCAATTCGGCCTCCACCCTCGCAGAAGCTGCAGGGAAAGCAGCCACTGGGCTCCTTCCGCCAAGCTATGCAAAGCGGCGTTGAAGCTGACCAAGCCTGTCAGAGGCCCAGATTCTGCTGCAAGACTGACTCAAGATTAAACCATGTCAAGCAAGGAATGCTCAGAGTCTTCGTGAGATGTCGTGAGAGTGTTGTGGTTCATCGACGAGACCTGCTTCATGCTGGTGGCTGTGTAGATGTCGAAGAACCGCCAAAGCATCTTCCCAAACATGCCGAAGGGCCGTTATGACCTGAAGATGTGGAGCGGATGAGCGGAATGGTCAATTTGCTACCTCTACGGACATCAACGCCTATTTGCTCTTCTGCTGGTTAAGACAGTGGTAAGACTTAAAGGTCAGGCCTAGCTTCCGGATTCAGCCTCAGTTCCGTCTCTCAAGTTACACTGTCTCCGAAGACCCACCCACCTACCCTTCAAACATTTTTGCTACGCGATGCGGAGCCATATCCGTCCAGCCTACCCAATCCCGAAAGAAACCAACTTCCCCGGAGGCGAATGGGGCGGTGGTGGGCTCAGCTAAAGACAACCTAGGGCATACAAGCTACCACCTACTGCTGCCAATCTGTACCTCTGCCTCGAGCAGCAGACCCTACCGAGACCAGATGAACAAAATGAAGCATGCGTCGCTCCGCTCCGCATGCAACCACCTGTTCCTACGTAACGTCGAGATGCTTAAAGTGCAAACGCACGCTAAGCAGACTGCAAAAGCCAGGCGGCGGAGTTGTGTGAGATGACGTCCGGAACTGCGTGCTGAAAGCGCAGCTGGCAAAGAATCCGCAAGGCCTTCTGCCACCGCCCCACTTTCCCCACGGAGCTGATCCTTGCAATTGGCAGCTGATTCTCAACGTGGCTGCTATTGTCGGGACCAAGCACAGGCACAGCTCCGAAACAACAAGTAGCTCACAATAGATCGGCGCTGAAAAGCGCACGAGAAGTTCAAGACTCAAAACGACACCAGAAGACGACAGCTTTCATGCAAACATCTGCCAGACCACAGCCAGAGCCAATGGACGGGGTTGGCATGCGACTGTGCTGAGTCAATTGTGAATTGGGCTAGCCTCGTGATCCTAGTGAGTGATAGAGTGAGTGAGGAGTGAGGAGGGAGTGAGGAGGGGAGGGAGGGGAGGCGACAGAGGGAGGGAGAGGGGGGAGAGGGAGGGAGAGGGAGGGAGAGGGAGGGGAGGGAGGGAGGGGGGAGAGGGAGGGAGGGAGGGAGAGGGAGGGAGAGGGAGGGAGAGGGAGGGAGGGAGTTCAGGTGGCGAATGGAGCTGAGTGTGTGAGTAAATCAGTGAGAGAAGTGGGCTGACAGTTGAGGGAAATGAGCCGGCCGATTTCAACGAGCACCTTTGTCAACGAGCATGCTAAACGAGCGTTGCAAAGGCGATGTTCTCGTAGGTGATCAGCCTTGCAGTTGCTCCTGAACTGCGATGTTTACTGGTTCTCCTGCTTTCTGTTTGCATCTGCTTTGCTCGGGTCTTCTTTCTTCATGTTGCAAGGCGAGTGTTCGACTCTCACGCTGGCACATGCAGGAGAGACTTCAGGAACTTCAAGCAGGACGCTATGCTTGAACCTCTCTTTTGTGGTGGGTTCTCCTCCCTGCCTCTGCTCGCTGAGGAGCAGTTCATGTCAATAATGTGACCCAGTTCTGAGAGCAGCCGAGCATCGCTGTGTTGAGTGTGACCCGCAGGACCTTTGCACACACGGACATTCATTTGGCCGAGCTTACACCAATCTCATGCGTTCGACATTGTTTTGGGAGGACATGCTTCGAACAAAACCTGCTGCAAGACGAAGAACCGCGCATCCCAACTGCCACGCGTGCAAACCACACGAATTGACATGGCAAATGAGAGACTGCGGGAAGAATGCTCTGTGCTCAGTCATGCAAGCAAAGCTGCACGAAACGCAATCCCTCAAGACAGGTGGCTTTCATGGGCTGTAGCCAGGGTGTGCTACAAGTACAAGGCTTGAGGGCTGCAGGATTACTTTGAGGTTTTGGTGTGCAGGACGTGCCGGCACGCAGACAGGTTTTATCAGTATAGGATTCAGTGCGCGCGACAAGATCTGAAACGGATGCATTGTCTTGTGGCTCAAATGGAAGCCACCTGACACCTGTAAACTTCGGCAGCCTCGCATGAGCTCTGAGGTAAGGGAAAGCATCCGCAATCCCTTGACCCTAAACCAGCCCAATAACCTGCCTGACAGTTAGGGGGATTGGGGTCTAGAAGCTTCAGGCCTTGGGGCTGAGGTGTTTAAGGGCGTTGGGTTCCGAAGGCAAGCCGTACATACAATTGAACCTCCCCCCCACCACAATTGCAAATATTTTTGGCCGAACCGCACTGTGAACTGGGAGTCGCACCTCGGCGGGCCGATGCTCAAGCGCCGCCGTAGCCAACGCCATGCACCACGCATCGCCTTGGTGTATCAAGGCGATGCGTCACCTCGTCCTTGATGAACAAGAGCATCGCAGACCCCCCGAAAATCCCGCCCACCTCCTGTCCGTTTAGTGGAAACCCCGGCCACTGGCATGCCCTGTGAACCGTTTTCAGGCCTTATAACAGACAACACAGCCCTAAACCCACGATGATTCCTGCCTCGGCTGCACGCAGCCACTGTGGCCGGAGCTCCAGAGAGGGGAATGCAGAGGCTGCGTTGCCACAACGAAGCCTTGGGGTGTTTCTGCACCACTTAGCTGGGACCTAGCTAAGCTTGTCGTCATAGGCTGACGGAGTTTGAGGCCTTCACGGTGGCTGTTTGTTTTGCCACCCGCCTAGCTGACGCCCCCTGGTGCCGCTCCATTTTGGCTGTGAATCAAGCAACCGAGAAGCTTGGCCACATGCACTGCAAGCGCTGACACCCGCTGCAGCACCTGTTTCGTTTGGCCGTGAACCAAGTTTCTCACAGCTTCTGACCCCCCATTTCATGAGGCACAGTGGTGCATTGTACGGCTCCACTTCCGAGTCCATAGTGTTTCTTTTCAAGGCTTCCCACTATCACTTTCATGACTCACACGGTCATTAAATGCTGCAAGGCACATGGCCGAAGGCCTTCTTCGGTGAGCATCTTAAGCAATGTTAAAGCTTCTGTCCACTGAGTGTTCAGCTCCAAGGCCTGCAAGAAACGACCAGTACGACAAAGATTAGAGGTGAAGCGCACGCGCATTTGCACAATGGCCTTAGATGCCTCTAGATGCCGCTAGATTCCAGGCGACGATCGATGCCCCACCCAAAAAAACAAGGCGCTCCGCTCCTTCGTAGATGTACCGAAGGCGACGGCACCAGCCCGTAGGCTTGCCCCACCGGCCCTACCTAGTGCACGAAGTGTGGTCAGGCATTGCAAGGCCCGACGCCAAGGCTCCTGTAGACTCTGTAGACACCAGGAGTTCGAGTCTCGAGAGTAGGTTCGAACGAAGTGTCGGCTTCAATATCAACTCTGAGTAGGGTGACGCATGTGGATTGGCGAGCGTTGCTCACAGCGTCGGTCCCGGCAGGTACTCATGGCGGCGCAACAGAACACCTGGCATGTGCCGGGATGCTGGATGAAAGTGCCTGCCACTATCTGCCACACATGTCACTGCGCTGCCAGGGGGCGGAATCGGCTCGGAGAGAGATGGTGGCTGTCTCATGGCACATGCGCAGGGCAAGCGTCCATGCGCTGGGCTCCTTTCCGAAAGTAAGTCATGGGCTGAAGATTGCAAGCCACATGCATGTAGCACACTCGGGGTGCTTCGCATGACAGCGTTCGATAACTAGTTCCGCCCGGTCCAGACTGGTGAGGGTGGCCGTGAGGGTACGGATCTCAACCTGCAAATTGCAAATTGAAAAAATGCGCAGGTAGGCTTGCATGAGCTGCCCAGCCAAGTCTGCTACACTTTACAGGTAAAGATTGGCCTCGGACACTCTGCACATACAGAAGCCCCTTTGGATCCCGTTAGGGATGAAGGACATCAAATAATAAAGGAAAATATGAAAGGTCCCGAGGGCCTACCGAGATCACATTCTCAAATATTCAGATTGACGCTGCATGACCACCAGGGAGCAATCAAGCGTGCAGAACAGCCGATATACAAAGAACGCAACAAAAACAGCTGCAAGCAGGGAACTAAGAAGTCGAGTGTGCCACTTGCCCTTCTTGCCGAAAACTCAAGACCCTTCACCCTACACCCTTTCTACAGCGGACTTTAAGGATCCAGGCCCATGGACTCTCACTCTCAAGCGACACCCATCGGCACCCTCACGCTTCCAAACCAGGCGGGTAAAACAGACAAGACGGCGTCTTCAAGTCTGAAGGTCTGTGGGCCAGCGAGGTGGCGGGACTTGCCATATAATGCTCTCATAGTTATACTTATTGGCGTGGCTCTTTTATCCTCTGTGAACTTGCGGCTTGCTGGGCCAGAGGTGAATGAGATACACAAACTATCACAAACCCAGGTTGTTCAAGCAAAGCGTTGCATTGCTTGTCCGTGCAACACTTCAGCCAGTGGCCTCAACGTTTTGGGAGGCGATGCCCTCGACCATCTTCAGAGCATGCTCCCACCGTCTGCCCGCCTGGTGCGAGAGACATGGTCGATGCCACAATCTGGTCGACTGTTCTGCGGGACAAGCAAGCTCCACCAGCAAGCAAAATCTGCACACGCGCACACTCGCACACATTCACGCTCACACTCTCACACACTCACACACTCACGCAGTCACGCAGTCACGCAGTCACGCAGTCACACACTCACACACGCATACCACACACACGCACACACCCCCACACCCCCACACAAACACACACACACACACACACACTCTCACACTCACACTCACACTCACACTCACACTCACACTCACACTCACACTCACACTCACACTCACACTCACACTCACACTCACACTCACACTCACACTCACTCACACACCCCCACACAAACAAACACACACACACACACACACACTCTCACACTCACACTCACTCACACACACACACACACTCACACTCACACTCACACTCACGCTCACGCTCACGCTCACACTCACACCCACCCATCCATCCATCCGTCCCAGCACGCCCGCATGCCCGCCCGCAAGCCCCACACGCCCAAACGCGCGCCAGCATGCCCAAACGCCCGCCTGCACGCCCACAAAAAAACGTCAGCCCGCGATGAGGAGTGACATGTTGCATGAGAACTTCAGACACAGCCTGGAGTTTTGATCCTGATGCAGAAATCCCAGCAGCACTCCAATGCATGCTACTTGCGTCTGCAATTCTGCAACGCTGCAGTACACTCAGTACACAAGTACCACTGTCACAAGGCTCGCAGAGACCAAGGGTAGGCTGCCAGGCCTTGCAGGCTGCCAGTCCAATCGTGCACCTTTGTCAAAGGTTCACCTCTTTCTACAGCAAACTTGCAGCGAATCCAATGATCCGGATCGGAAACTTGAAGCCCATGGATAATTAAGCCCCAACAACTTAAGTTACCTGCTTGCATCGCCGCAGTAGAATCGCATCCATTTTACGAACCTGTTCTTTCCAACTTTGCTCGGCATTGCCAGTCGTTTGTGGGACAGCTGTGTAGCTGTGAGCTGTAATGAATTACCTTTTCCTGCTGTTTTCAAGCACCAACGCGTCTCTCCAGCCCAGCGCTAGGGCATGAATGACCTTGAACGAAGTGGAAACTTGCGACATGGTGTGAGCAAAACTTGTCCAAGTGGCGCTATGTTGTTGGTGCCCAAGCGCCGTGCTCCCGTCTGAGCGAGCAAGTTTATGGCTTGATGCCACGGGCTCGTGGAAGCACACGCCTGCATGACCTGAAGGGTGGAGCACTGCAGACAGTGTCCTTACCACAGCATGTCATTTCTGCACCAGCATGTGCTGTAATAGCATTTTGCAAGCGAGACTCTGTGGCGTAAGATACTAGATCGCCAACCTCGGAGTTCAGGCTTCCTTCTCCGCTTCCCAAACGCATATCTCAAATTGTCTCAAACTTCTTTTAACTTCTCAACTCTCTAGGCTTTGACAGCTCGGGCCCCTTGAATTGCAATTCTCTTGCGGTGCCCACAAGTCCTCTGAAAGAAGCCGCTTCACCGCTTCACCGCTCTGCCCAACAAATCACACAAGCTGCTAAGCTACTATTCCATCTTCCAGCAGCTGCGCGGCCGCGATCCAGCCCCTCCTGCAGAAGCGCAGACAACACATATTGAAACGACCCCCCGACTGCAATAACACAGTTGCAACAGTCCCCGGGGACAACAAAAACAATCGCAACCCTGACACAAGCGTGCCTCACAGAGTCTCCTTCAGGGGTATGATGATGGCCCTTGCTAAAGTTCGTGCCGGTGTTGCTTTGAAAGTTCGGCCGGCTTTAATAACTAGACTGGGGTTGCCCAATCACCTCATCTCCAGATGTCTGGTTCTCAAGCTGGCGCTGCCCAGTCCTTCCCCTCGTCAAGCTGCTCAGGACAACATTCTTGGAATGGGCGTCGGCACGCACTGAGCAATGGCGCAGCCTTTGCATCACCGCAGCGCATTGGCATCAAACTCGAAAGGAACCAGCTGGAGCCAATTTAGTACAACATCGGAGCACGTGACTGTCGTCCAGGAACACAGCACAGTGCTGGCAGTTTACATCTGGCAAAGCACTCTTCGAGTATTTGCAGGGATAAATGCCAGAGTTTCGCCCGCTGGCAAGCACTTCCAGCTGCAGAAAAAGAAACTACCTCGGCGAGGATGGCAATTGCTCAATGGTTCATATTACCATTGACCCTCGTGCTAGAAATCATGAATCTTGTTATGATTCTCGCAGGCAGTTGGGCTCTGCACTACGTTGACAGCCTGGATCCTTGAGGCCCGGACATCGGCCCGTACACGGCCTCTTGCTGAGGCCCGAAGGTGCCGTAGTGCAAGCAGCCAGGAGTTGTCTCCATGGTCCCCGGCCTGCGCAGGGAAAGCCACAGTGTACACATGAAGAAGTTCAATGCCGATGTTGCTATCATATGGTCCCCACGGAGCAGAAGAAGCCTCTTCAGTGCCAAGGTTGCGGCTTCGTGAACTCGCAGTTTTCCGCTGCCGCTGCCGGCCACTCAAGCTGAATGCCGTCGATGATGTGCCCATGGTCGTGCGGTAGAAACCCGTACCCGTACCCTTTAGCAACTTTAGCAGAGCTGGTTCAAGCTCGAACCTGACGGCAATTGAAGAAGCAGTCGGGGCTCGCCCCTTTCAAGCTTCCGAAGTACATCGCCAGATGCAATATGGGCGTCTGCTAGATGAATTTTCTCGGCACCCGCTTTGATGAAGCTGTTGAGGCTGGCAGCCAAGCCTGCCCTGTCTAAGTGAGACAGCACCGAAGCAGCCTGACCGCACCTGCCAACAGATTCTGTGCGGCATCCTGTACTGTGTGCGGTACGGTGCCAAGCATGGTAGACGCACGCCGCAAAACATGTTACCAGCCTGAAGCCCACCTCACAAGCGGCAATGGCAGTGGCGTGGGTGACAACGTCTCGCAGTCCGCAGGTGGAGAAGAGGGACAGGGTCCGCCGCCATCGTTGCTGTGCAACACAGGAGCTCAATACCTGACGGTCAGCATTCTCCGTCGTCACACGCCGTGACAGGAGGTGCAAGCTTGCAGCAAGTGCAGCAACCATCCAAGGCACTGCGTTAAGAGTGATCACATTGGCTGCCTCAAGCTCCACAAAGCTGCACACTTCGCCGCATGCTGCCGCATGTTCCAGAACATGTCTAGAACTACACATGGAACTATTGATGCGTCGCCAGTGCGGGATCTACTTGTGGTGACATGTCCCCTTTGCTGTCGTACCACTTCACAGCATCCACAATAACACAATACTATTGCAACAACGCCGAATGAGTGTCCTTCCATGCCTCAGCCAAAGCACCTCGCCATCCCCGCCTAGTCTTTGCAAGAAGTGGAGGGCCCAAGTCCAACGCCCAGCAGCGTGGGACGCCCCGATGGCGACACCTTAAGGTTCAAAGCGGAGTGGAATCTGCTATAGCCTGGTGCTTAGGTCATCGATTTCATGTTCTCTGCGCATACTTGTCTTTCGTGCTTGTCCATGCTCTGGCAAGACACTGTAGGTAATTGCACTGGCCTGAAGCCGACAGTCCCACAGCTCGTGCAACAGAAGCATCGCCCACTGCCAGAATTCCTCCCTTTGGCATGCGCTGATGGCAACGTTGTAGGCAATGACATCCGGCAGCAGCCTCTCCAGGCCTGCACTGCAACTACCGGACAATCTGCAACCTCGCTACATCCTGACACTGAGCCCGCCGCGTTGGTCCGCAAATAAGAGAAGCGCCCGTTCCCAGCAACTACTTTTCTCACAGGCAGCAGCAGCCTGCAGCCAGGTGCTGCTCAAGCACAGGGCCACTGATAAAGGTTAAGACTCAAGTTAAGACCCTGTGAGAAGCCAAACAAACGATGGCACACGGAAATTTCCCGGCTTGGGCAAAACGGGAGCCGAGCTGCTGTGTTGTGAGCCACCCGGCTGGGCGGCAAAGTGTTGCTGAACACGGACAGCAAATGTAAGGCTGCATTCCACTCCTAGCGGCAGAAGCTTTAACACCAACACCGACTTTCCCAGTTTGGGAGCTCTTACGTGATGCCGACTCATCCATGTCATTCGTCAGTGAATCATTCGTGGTTCTGACTGTCCTGCTGGCATGCGCTGATGGCAGCACAGATGGACACTTCGTCGCTCTGCAGCTGCCTGGTCGACCGGCATGACCGATGAGTTCAAGAGATCTTCTGAAACTTGGAATTTGAAAAAGACTTCCAGACGTTTCCGGGCAGTGAAATCGAAGGTCCAGGCTGGTCCGGGCTGCTTCCGCTGGACGCTCCAAAGCAGACGCGTGGCAGCCAGCCAGCTGCGACCCTCGGCGCAGGCAGACGACGCAGCGTTGCAGGTGACCAGGTCCTGCGCGACCGGAGGAGGTTGCGAAGATTCAAGAAGTATTCAAGACATCTCAAGACTCAAGGCTGGGCATGGGCTGAAAAGGCTGTGAGCTACCCAGGGTCCATGCACACATGACTTTGGCGAAGGTCAGCAAGCAGGCGCACTGCCATCTGCCAGCTGTCACCCGAGCAGGCACTTACCAAGGCACTGTAGGCAACCACATCGAACCTCAAGACGCAGCTCAGGACTTGAAGGCTTACGCGCTCAGTGAAGCCTGAGCTGTGCGAGCTTAATTGACGTGCTCAAACTTGCTGAACTCAGGCAAGGAGCTGCAGCTTCCTTTCCTTGCCAGTGCTCAGAAGCAGCATGGCCTGCAGCCATACACTGCCTGGGCTTGAAGCGCACATGGAACTGCCTAGGGCCTAGCGTTCACAACTTCACAACAGAACGGCAGCAAGAAGGAACAGGCATGTCGGGAGCATCCAAGCGGCCCTTCTCACAGGCACTCAACGCAGCACTGTAAGAGACAACAGACGCTTGCAGCCGGTTCCGACCCTCAGTTTCAGCCGTGCTGCAAGCTTGGCATGCTTGGCTGGCCGCGACTACTTACAGGGCCTACAGAATTTACAGAATCAGAGACCCTCACCACGGAGCACCACACATTGCTCTGAAATCTGCCGAGGCTCAAGCTGTCTCAGGAGCTCAAGAGCCCACTGCCACTGGCCTGCTTTCTCGCAGGCGCTGATGGCGGAATTAAAGCTGATTTGGTCAGGCTGCCGTGACTGGGATGCCAAGAGGTCGGATAGAAGGAGCAGGGCGGCTTGCCACTCTGCTGCCTTCTCACAAGCACTGATGGCTGTGTTGACAATGATCAGGTTGACCAGGCTCTCGGCCTCCACCGTCAATAGATCGAGTGCTTCCTGCCAGCGTGAACTGGCCTCACATGCGCTGAGCAATGCACCATAAATCACGTTGTTCAGCTTCATGCCCAGCAGGGGCAAGTCTTGGTACAAGCGCAAAGCCCGCTGCCAACGCCCTGCCCTTCCCCACGCACTGATAACGGTACTGTGCGAAACGATGGTTGGCTCTAAAGTCCGGCTGACCAACATATGACAGAGCTGAACTGCTCGATGCCAGTCGCTTCCCTTCTGGCATGCACTACAGACGGCGTTGTACATGATCACGTCCGCTTCTACTGCAGCATGTTCAGCCTGTTGCAGGAGAACCAATGCGTTCCGCCATTCTGAGGCCCTCTCACAGGCACTGATGGCTGAAGTGTATGCCACAACATTTGGTCTTTGAGTGATCTCCTGCAAGGCTGCAAAGAGTAGCAACGCTCGCTGCCACTCTTCTGCACGACCACATGCAGTGATCCCGGCGCTGTAGGCATTCACTGCACCATTGCATCGGCTCTTCTTGAACTCATCCAACACATGCATGCCGTTCTGCCATTCAAGCTGCTTACCAAGCTGCTGGATGGACTTGGTAAACGCTTTCGCTTGAGAAGTGCCGGTACTACAGCACATGCCATTCCTCAGGCTGTTCTTTGCGGGGTAGCAAACCAATGACGTTATGTCATGACAAGCAAGGAGCAACACCGGGCTCGGTGGTTAGCCCACACGCCCTCAGCCGCATCGTGCAACTTGAATCGCTTTGCAGCGGAAGCCCAGGTAGATAGTTCCTAGAGACGAGTGACGAGCCCTCGAAAAAACATGGCATGTTCATAGCGTTCTCCAACGGGCCCCAGATACGTTCAACGTCAAAAGTTGTGCGGCAGCATTGCAAACTAGCCATGTCTCCTTTGAGATTTGTTCAATTCCTGGCTGGGCTTTGTTGAAACCGTATCCGTGCATCTTTCTACATCTCGTACGGCATGCATGCTGAAAGATCTCTGTCTGGGATAACGAAGCATTCACAAAAAAAACAATCGAAACTGCAACAGTACAGTGAAGCACTTGTATGCGAAAGCGCTGTGTGGTCAAATTGGATGCTGCCTTAAGAAGTCCGGGGGGGAGGGACCTGAAAAATGAGCCCATGTGAGTCCCCACTGCTAGATTAGGTGCTTTATAGGTTGGGGCACCAAAAAGGGATCCAAATGCAAACGGGTTGGATGACTATCCACAGCGACTTGGGAAAATGGAAGCGTAAGAAACTGGGACACCCTACTGGCTGGAGAACCTGTTTCTTATGCAATGTTTCCATTGCACTCATGTCGAACTTCACAAGCTCACTTTGTGTTGGACGTCCAGAACGATATCTCTCTATTGAAGTGAAAGCTGCATGTCAAGTAGATCCCTATGACCTGTTTTTGCACTGCGAACAGTTGAGCAGGAGTTCAGTTGAATTTCTCTCATCCTTTGGCGGGAGGCCAGCTCGAACACTGCGTGTTCATGCAGGCGTGCGTTTTTCAATTCTCTCGGCTTTCGCTTTGGTTTTTGCTGTAGCTGTAGCAGTTTTGGCTTTGATTTGGATGGCTGGGCCTCGCTGACGGGAGGTATACAAGCATATATGCAAATGTACAAAACGGTTCCAACTTTGTCTCGGCTCGATTCGTGTTCATTCCTTCCATTCCATCTTAACTGCCTTCCTACCCAGCCATCCTTCTTGCCTTTGTTCGTTCCTCCCTCCTCCCTTTCTTGCATACTTCTTGCGAAGAACAACCCGGGCGGTTGTCCTTTTCAGCTGCGTTGATCCATAGGCCATAGGTTGCTCTTGGCGATTTTGTACTGCATTTCAAGCCTATGTCGCTCTGCGACACCTGCATCTACCTCTGGAACGCATCGGTGTGATGCAGAAGTCAACTGTTAACTCGCAAAACATCGTGGTCGAATCTTTGCCAATGCAAGCCGTAGGAGCCAATGCCATGCTGTAGGCTCCAGCAAAAAGAACGCGCAGCTATGGACCAGCAGGGCAAGCGCCACCAGCACGGACCTGGTTTCGCTGCATTGAGCTGCCTGCACTCGATTCCGAAATGCATCGGCGTTACATGGCAAAGCCGGAGGCTGCCGTGGCAGCCAAAAAACTACTTCAACTGTAACGAATCAGAATGCTGCATGAGTTTCTGTTAATCTTCTTGGCTTGGCTTTGAGCGCATGCAACATGATGCTTGAGAAAGCGGCCGTTTTCACGATGGGGTGACATGATCTGCAGGCAAAGCGCGCGCTTGGGACGGAAGCATGTCTGCACTTGTTAGAAGCTGGTTACGATTCCGCAACCTGGACATGAAAGAAATCGATCTGGGATACACGAAAATGGAGCTAATTAGGCCAGAAACCCTCGGTGCGCGTAAGAAATAACATTTTCCGCCAGCAGCATCAGGTCCGACCACCCCGCCATTTGCACCTCACGGAAAAATGTCTGGAACAAAAGACAGCGCCGACAGCGAAAAGAAGTGAGCGCAGTACATAGATGCAGAACTGTCAAGATGTTAACATTGATGGGCGCAAGACAGCTGCAACCTTCCGACAAGCGCGCCAAAATGCGGCAACACGCAATTGCCTATCCAGCATGCCCGAAAGCATTCATCTGAAAGCAAACTCTCGAAGACGGAAGGTGAGTAATTAGCACATCCTAGCTCCAGGAATGCTCCTTCAGCACCTCATAGAGAAGGTTGGCTAAACGATCGCCCAACTCAAAGTCCTCGCACAAGCCTCACAGGCTGAATCTGTTCACAGCTTTACTTCCACAGCTGCAACTCAATTTCTGGCAAACCCCCTGGCAAACGTGCCTGTCATCACTTCGAGCGTGATGGTGTCTGGCTGCAGAATGGCACGGCGCAGCTCTCCCAAGAGCGCCAAGGAATGCTGCCACTGACTGGAGAGCTCCTTGGCTTCATCGTTTCTCACTTCAGCACCGCGGGCCATCTTGCAAGTTCAACGCGCCGACATTACAGATCATACAGGTGAGGTGTCGCATGGCAGGATACTAGTGCCACACACCCCAGAGTCCAGGGTAAACCGCTTCAACCAAGCCCAAAATCTGCCTCCCAAGCAAGCAGAACAGTCTTTTCACACAAGGGCAAAGCTTCGCAGGCACTGATGGCTGCATTGAAGGTAACAATGTTTGGCTGCATCCAAGACCATTCCATGTCTTGAAGAAGGCGGAGTACATGCTGCCATCTCCCACCTTCGAACTCAAGGCATCTTACACAAAAACTTCTTCGTCCCTATCCCAGGTTAGGCTCCCTTCCTGAGAGTCTGTGCCAGCAGTCCTACCAGCAAGAAGCCAGCCTTTCTCACAGGCGCTGATGGTTGCAGACAGTGTGACTACCTGCTCTCGCTTGTCTGTGTTGGGGCTTGTCACAAACTAGTCCAGTCAAGAAATGCTTCTATGACGCTCTGTGACGCGCATGGCTCTCAAACAGAAACCATGGGGCAGTGGTCGGGTGTCTCAAGCTCACGAGGCTGGGGTACACTTCTCAAGCCGAGAGGACGTTCAGCTCCAGCTGCTGGGTTTTGGCATCCTCGTAGAGACACAGCGCCAGTGCCCACTGCTCCTTGCACGGAATGAAGCGGATTGATGATGCGCTTAAAGAATTGCCCCATAAGTAACGGGATTCACTTAGCCACGTACAACAAAGGGAGCCTCATCATCATCCTGAGCCGGCACAGCTCACAATGGAGCCTGCAGTTTAGCTGGCAATTCAACCTGCAACTGAGCCCGAAATTGAATGCAGCAAAGCCGTTCGGCCAGCCCAGAATTGAGCCAATTCAGCTTGCAATCAGGCCAATTGACCTCCCCACTGAGACTGAAAGTGAGCTAGTCGGTCGTTGAGCCTGCAATTGAGCCCGCAATTGCCCTGCCTGCAATTGATCACACCTGAACCCTGCTACAAGCCTTCAGTCGAACACACAACCGAGCCTGCCACGGAGCTTGAACTAGAACACAAACTTGCACTTGAGCAGGTATTGAGAGTGCAATTGAGCTTACACTGGAGACTGCCGTCGCGCTTGCAAAAATAGCTTGCACTTGAGCTTGCCATGGAGTGCAACTGGCAATATTCTACGATATTTGCACAAACTCGAATCCTTTTCGCAGGCACTGATGGCGGCATTGTAGATGATGGCATCGGCCTTCCAGAGGGCTGCAGGGCTCTACTGGGACGAGACCAGGCGAAATGTGGGGAACACATGGCTGAAGCACAGTCGCTCTTGTTTTTCTGCGGATGGGAAGTGCGGTACATATGTGCAGCATAGCATACGCAAGCGTAACTTATCGTCAGTTATAAGAAGCATGTCAGTGACTAACGGCGCGCAACACGTCGCGGGGTGGACATGAGTGGGACGCACAAAACACAACAGTGGCCCAGAAGCTGGCACACTCAAACTGCCGACACACCGGCCAAAAACAAGCTACAGTTGCACTAGGGAGAAGCATACTCCTGCAACCATTAAACCCGAACTCCTGCAGACCTCCAAGCCGTCAAAGCCCCCCTCTTACGATGGACAAGTCCACTCCGCGAATCTCCGCGGTCGCAGGGTTGCCATGGCCCCTTTTGTTGACCATTTGCCTCCAAGCCCGAGTTCAACGTCGATTCCAAGAGGAGGGCTGCCACGGCCCACCTGAGCTCGATTGCAATACGCGAGGGGCCTTGCAAACCCACTGCTCTCACAATCCCTCGACATGAGCAATCAGACGGCGTTGTCAGCTGGCAGCGCATGGCTCCCTCCCTTCAAAATGCCGTTACGGGCAGAAAGCAGCTAATTGTCATCTCGCTATTCAATGCATGAATCTTTTGCATCCTTGCAACTTGCTTCGCTTCTCACAGGCGCTGATAGCAGATGAGATGAGGATCAAATCGGCACGCTGGCCTGTTTCCTCCAGCTCCTTGGGTAACCCATGGCAAAACTGGTCGAATGCCCAGGCAATGCTCATGCGTTCGAGTTCCTGTAGAAAGGCAAGAGCTTGTCTGGAAAAATCAACAGGGCGCAAGGAGACGTGGCTGGCATCGCCACCATAGCTTTGACGCAGCTTTGACGGCGCTGCAAACTAATTTGGTGGCATTTTGACCTGCTGAGGACTGCAAGCCCGCGCAGGCAAATTTGGATACGCCATTCTCGCCGCGGCACCTTTAGAAGGAGCAGCGCGGTTTGCCATTCCCCACGCTTCTCACAGGCACTGACAGCAGCACTGTACCTAAAAATGCAAGAAACCGTTCGCACAGATTCCCGCAAGATGGAACTAACAAACGAAACGCATGGCAACCCCTGTCTTAACGTCAGCATGCTTCCTGGGCGTTTGCAGGATGTATTGTTCGGCTTCTCTTCATGTACATCTTCCAACTCTGGTCAAATAGAACTAGACTCGACGCCATTACGTGGCTTTCTTTGGAACCCGTCACGGGAGCAAAGCTCTCTTTCACCTTGTTAGGTGTTCATGATGCTGTTTGCATTGTGTCCATCCTTGTATTGGGTTGCAAGTGAAGGTGAAGTGAACCGACAAAAGATGAAAGAACCTTGTGCAAGCAACTGAGGAAACAGAGTGGACGAGCCATGCTGCGTGACCACACTCAGCTGCAAATTCTTCCGCCACATCATCTCCATAATTCGCAAAGCCCGTTGCCATTGTCCACCTTTCCTTAATCCAGAACCCGTGAAAGTGCACGATCAGCTTCCAAACAAGACTGAGAAAGCACTCTCCAGTGCGGTGTACAGGTGCGGTCCCTTCACACTCAGTGACTCAATAGGCACGCAAAGACGAAGCCCAGTAAGTATTCAGGAATTTTGTGTCAAACAGTGCCAGAGCACCTAAGGTGCATGAGATGCTGCGTTGCCATCTCGATCTGCAAAGCAAAAGCACTCCAAAATATCCCGAAGACATTGAAGCTAAGAGTCTCACACGCGCTGATTGCGGAGTTGTAAGTTATCTCATCAGGCTCCAGGCTCCAGCTTGCTAACCTTGACAACAATAGTACCACCTGCCTCCACTGTCCAGCTTTCTCACACGCGCCCAGGGCTGCATTGAACCTTAGGCACAATTGGAAACCCAGTGGCAAGTGTGGGCCCATGGTACTATGGTGGCTGTCTCGCGACTTGTTCTGAGTCGTTTCGCGACGGCTTCGGTTAGCATAAGTCTGAAAGAAACCATTACAGTGTAGCTGCTTGCTGCTGCGCTTTTGCTCGGTGCTTTCTTGCCTCGGCACGCAATCAAGTTGGGCGCCCTGCGGCGAGGGTCGCCGAGGAGGAGTAAGGCTCGCGCCCACGCAGCACTATGAGCGCCTTGGCGCGAAAGGAAAAGCAAAGCGACTATAGTTGCTGCGGCTTTCATCTGAGCAGGCGGCAGGCCGTAATGGCAGCGCCCACCCCAACCATGTTCAGTTGCAGACGGCGGCCTGCACGGAAGTGTTGGCCAGGGCATAGCATGCTGCCAACCGCTGCAAGCCGTGAGGAAAAGAGAGTACAATCTTGCATTGTGATTGTTGCTTCGTCATCTTGCTTTGGTTTCTGCAGCTAGGTCTGGAGCACTGGCTTGTGCAACCCTCCCTGTTGCTCACTGTAAACGACTGAGTGATTTGGGCCTCGCCTCCGTCCCCGACCGGCTCCCCCCTTGGGGTACCTAATTAATCAGGAAGCAGTCGCCCTCCTCCCGCCCAGTGTAACCTGGCTTTTGCCCCAGCACAAGAAGAACTCCAGCAAGCTCCAATCAGCTAGCTTTCGTGACTAAGTAAGGCCACCATCCCTATATTGCAGGTCAGAAGCTTCTTGCCTTCAGCAATTGCCAATCATTATCAACTCGTGGAGCCAGGAGTTTACCAGTGCTCACAAGCCATTCGTGACTCTGCTAGACAGTATGACCTTTGCAGCCGCGACATTCCGCCATAAGACCCGCAACGCTAGAGTGCGGGCACAACTGTTCCTGCGTTTGAACAATGCAACGAACAAGCCACTATAAAGCACAGCGTCGGGTCATCTAGCAAAGGCGTCAGTTCTTTAAACTTAATATGGCTTTTGAGATCTTCTGAGCCGAGGCTGAACGCTGAAACACGAAACTTGAGAGCCTGAGCTGAGCCTGAGCAAAGCTAACCTGCCTTCTGAAAACGTAGTCTTGGGCCTTAGGCTGCCCGGCATCAAGATCTCAAGTTTTTGAGGCCAGCCCTAAAGCTAATATTCCCGCTTCTGGGATTTTTCTGAGATCCTTCTGACATTCCTCTAGACTCTAGATACAGCTGACTGAGCTCATGAGCCAGTGACACCGCCCCGCCTGCAAATTGCACGGTACAGTACCCATTTGTTGAGGCTGGGGGCGAGGGCCTACACAATTCAGGTTTCAACACCATGCTCGCTTACGACAGCGGCTACCTGTGACAGGCTGGGTCTCCCTTTGGGTACCCATGTAGATTGCAACAAGTCTCCCTCTCTGACCGCGCCGTCTCCGTGTCCCTGGTCCTCTTTCTCTTCTTGCTTCTGCTGCTTCTGCTTCTTCTTCTTATTCTTCTTCTTCTTCTTCTTCTTCTTCTTCTTCTTCTTCTTCTTCTTCTTCTTCTTCTTCTTCTTCTTCTTCTTCTTCTTCTTCTTCTTCTTCTTCTGCTTCTGCTTCTGGTACTTTCCGTGTGTTCGCTCCTCTTGCTGGCACTAGCGCAGCTGCTGTTTGCACATTCGTTTGCGTTTGTCGAGTTCCGGGCCTGGCAACTGGGCCAAGAGAATCAAAGCCTCCGGCCAGCGATCGTTCTTTCCAGACATGCCTTGCATACTCTCGTACAAGGAAGCTGACTAAAAGAAGGAAAAACAGCTGGTCCCATCATTTGTCCCAGGCACAAACAGCTGTGCTGTACGTGACGATGGTCGGCTGCAGGGATGCGGGAGACAGGAAGCTTTGAGCAAGCTCCCATGTCGACAGTTCCTGGAACGAGTTGAGAACCTCGGGGCGTGACGGCTCCGTACTCCGATCTGCCTTTGGCTTAGCCGCGGGGCCCCAACAATTCACCATGATTTTGCGGATTCCCTCCCCCACACCCCTGAGCGATCAGCAAAGCTGGGCTTAGACGAAGCTCCTGGAAGGGAGCTTCCGTAACATGTGACCCAACAATATGCACGTGCGTCACGAATCATCTAGCTACACACTTGGCGAACGCCTCATACTTGCACGAACCTACATCAGCGATGTGAATGAATCAGGCATCAATGCGTATTATGTTTGCTGAGAAGCGGAGTTGTGCAGGATGATGTCCGGCTGAGCAGCGCCCTCCTTGACCTTCTCATGGATGTTCACGGCCAGCTCCCACTGTGACCCGGACAAGGCGCTGACCTAGTACTCAGCACTTCTAACCGATTCTAACCCCCGCTTTCTGTTTCCTTTGCGCTGACCACTCCTGCGCTTGAGCTTTTTGTTTTGCCACCCGCCTAGCCTGAGTTCTTTCAAACTAGCGGGAAGTGCTGCAGCAAGAACTTACATGCCGAAGGACAGCTGCCCACCCCTCGACATGGGAGCGCTTTTCAAGGCTTCGTGCGCGAATGGCGCAGCATGAGGAGAATCCGGAACATATTTCGCAGCGGACCAATCAAGACCCCAAACCCTCAACAACGTTGGGGAACATAGCCTACAGCTTCAAGACAAGATAACTCTGTCACACTTGAAACTTGAAACTCCCGCGCGCCCAACCTCAGCCGAATAAAGAGAAAAACCCAGACCAAACCAAGGAGCCATTGAACTGAAAGTGATGACATTTGGCTCCAAGTCAAGGTGGGCAAAACCAGACAGAAGGTCGAGCGCTGCCAGCCAGTGCGCTGTCTTGCCACAATGGGTAATGACCGCTGTATTACTCCGCACTTCACTGATCCTCTCAGGTTGCACCTTGCACTTCACAAACTGCACTTCGCAAACTTGCAACAAAACGAACCCGCAGTTCAGCAGCAACTTAGGTGCCCCTCTAAGACCCAAATCAGGCAATCCTAGTGCTTTTCGTGGTTCAACCCTGTTCAACCTGTTCGACCCCGCCCTCGGTGGTCCTGTTCCGTCGGAGCTTATTAAGGTCTGCCAGAGCCTTCTGCCAACCACTGGGTTGCAGAAGGCGAGCGCCGGCCACTTGCAACCTTCAAGACTTTCACAACGAGGCTGCTGTTCCAGGCAGACGTGCTATGTGCCACTCATGTCGGGCACGAGGCCGGATTCTATTCCTGCTCCGATGACATGCTTGTTGTTTGCGTGCCTCGCCTTTCACCGGCAGCCTGGCCCATGCTGCGTGCAGACCAGCCGGCATGCTGCCACCCCTCATCGCGAGGTCGCGATGCTGCAGGGATGGTCGGGCAGTTGGTCAGCTCACAAGATGCTGCAGCCACAGCGACATGACAGTCCAGTACATGGCACTCCACACTGGCCGCTAGCTGGACCACTGACCCGTAGTGGACTGAGGCAATACTGAATCCTGCACAATAGCACTGAATGAGTACTGTAATCGTCGGCTTGACCTGTGAGCCCGTGTGTATGTCAGTCGATAGACATGTCAACATGAAAAACTCCGCCGGCAATGGCCGACCTGAGGCACATGCCGATGGCTTTGGTCGCCGCCACCTTGCAGTCTTCTTCGGAAGCTGATGCGCTAAGCGACTAGACACACGGCCGCCTGTTGGCCTATACACGACTGCGAGGAACAAGGAAAGAACCGAGCCTTCACAGCAAGCTCAGATGGCCGGGCAGAGTCTGTTTGGAGCGCGGCACGGACCTCAAGTCAACGCTGCATGGTACTGCAACAGCAGAATTTGCAGCTACAGTGCTGTACCTGGCAAGGCTGCAGCTTTCACAAGCAAGGGCCGCGAACGGTCTACAGAGGGTACAGTTTTCCGGGCACCCAGACCAAGGCGCCAAGCGCCTGGCGCCAGGTGGGCGAAGCGTCGTCTCGCCTTTAGTACGAGCACGACAGAAAACACGCTGCAAACACGTTGCGCAGCGAAGCATGGCCTTCCCAGTCATGAGCTGTCTGTATGGGCCCATGCATGATACAAGAATCTCGGCCGCCCCTATTAAAATACATGATGAGTTGCATGCGGAATCAAAACAGGTGCCCCCGCTAGTACATGCCTTGTCACGGCTCTAGTTTCTCATACCATTGTACCTCTCGTCGCTGTTTGGGTTAATGGACTGTCAAACGAGAGCGTCGTAAGGAGAACGCTTCTTTGAAAAGGAATGATCGGGCCTCATCGAAGCTCTGCTTTCTTGGTCCATGCCCCCAAAAACAGCGCATGTCGCCAAAAAGAACAAAAGCCTCGTCCTCCGCCTCCCTTCCCCCTTCCCCCTCCCCTGCGTGTATATAGGCATGCGGTTTGCAAGATGGAAAGCCGAAAGGCCCACCAAGTGCCCAGCCCCTGCCCAAATACAAGACGGTATGGGAAGATATAGAATCTGAAAAACCTACGGGCATGAGTGTGGCCCCGGCTCGAGAGCGGTCAAGAGGGCCACCAGCCCAGCACGGTCACCACACAGGGCACGTGCACCGAAGGCCTTTGCAAAGGAAAGCGCCAAAAAACGGGAGCGAGACATGCCGTTCAAGGTTTTCCGGGTTGCGGGAGGTGCCCAGGAAAGAACATAAAGTCGTTGCATCGCAAACCCCATCTGACGTGCAGGTCGTTGAGGGAAACTTTCCGTTCCATGCCGGTCTGCTTTGCAGGGCTTGGGAGGCTGCATGAGTTCTGTATGCCACCGCAACCTAAACTGGGGATGTGCGAACAAAGCGAAAGCCCCTTCGCTCTTGAAAGTGGCCTCGATGGCTGTGGAGGCTGCTGGGTCTGAGCCGCCCTCGTGCGAGACTCAATGTTTCGCGATTTCTGTAAATTTCTGCAGCATGCCGACACTACGGGACTAGATTCGTGCTGAATCGGAAAGACTGCCTTGCCCACGAACTTTTGCAGGCTGCTTGTGGCAGCTTTCTGAACAGCCGCGTGCCAGTCCTCGCGCACTCATGCCCGACTTGACATCTCTTGGCAACTTTGGGTGGCGTCTCTCTCGTCGGGGCTGCGAACACGCATTCCCCGGGCCCGCCCCCAGTCTTCAAATGTCTTCAATCGACCCCGTTCCTTGACAACCATTCTCTTCATCCGCAACTTGCCACCCTGTCCTCGAGGCAGCTTCCCAAGGCGGCCGCTGCCAAGGCGGCATCTGGGGCCTCGGCCAAAGCCTGCATTCCAGCAGCGAGAAGAGTAAAGAGATGCTGTAGGAGTTTCGAGAAAGAAGCGTTTGGAAGGCCTTCACGGCTGTAAGACGCGCAGAGAGCTGCCCAACGTCTACGCCTGAGTTTCTCCGACTCTTCTTTAAACTGAGTACCGGGCAGGCCACCGCCTGCTGGGGCTTGGCATGGTCTGTTGTGACGGATGTGGCCGGCTGCTGACAAGTGGCTGTCGCCCTCCTCGGCAATCTTGGCCAAGACCTCAACAAAACTGATGCCACAGTTTATTTGTCACTGTTGGCGCAACTCCACGTGACACTCCATACACCATCAATATCCATCAAGCTACCTTGTAGAATTGCTTTAAAGGCCAATATTCTGTGCTGCGCGCTTTGTGTTGAGGTTGCACCCTGCACACCAGGTTGTTGCCTCCATCGCCCCTTCTCGAACCGAGATGTGCTGGTCCTGAGCGCAGTACAGCCTTCTAGCCCATCCTGTGGGGTGCAAGCATGTACTGGGCGTCTCGGGTAGATCTCACAGGGGTGCCTTAGCGTACGCGGTCCTTAAGGCCGGCAACCACGGCGTCGATGGCTTTCTTGTTGCCCCTGGCACGGCTTGCGAAGCGCAAGGGATGTGCCGTGGAGCTGCCATTGCCTGGCTGCAAGTGGCGCGAGCGCGCGGACGGCCATCAATCGGGCGTAAACCTGGGGCTCGTTGAGCATGGCACAGGGTATGGCAGAACCTTGCTACTGAAGCATGCGCGTGCGACATCTCGAGCCTAAGGACAGTCCAAGTAAATCGCTCAACGCAACATCGCCCTTGCTGAGCTGGGCCTCTGGCAACACGGCGGTCTCCTTTGGCAGCTACCTGCGACGAAACAAGCACACCCGAGCCTGTGACGGCTAGCTGCCTAGCGAAACATGGCGAAACTCAGCTGGCATTCACAAAGCACAAGCGCGGACCACCACTTCTTCCTCCGCATACGCTTCCGGCTGCATTTCATTCCAACTTCGCACATCAGCGTTGAGCTGCTGCAATATGCCTGCAGGTTGAGACAGGACAGCTGCCGGGTCTTTTGGGTCGGCTGTGGTCGTAAGCTGGCTCCTACGTCACTCGGATGCCACTGGATACGGACAACATTGATTCTGAACACACAATTGGACCGAAAGGAACGACACCGTGCAACTGCAAACTCTGGAAATCCCCCCCCCCCCCTCTCTCGCACCTGCTGAATTTGGCCGCCGCTCGCGCAGAGATGTCAGCGCCGTAACAAGAGGAGATGGCAGCGGTGCCTGTGCCAGGCGTGGCGAGCAATCTGCTTTGCACTGGCTTGCTCAAGACTGCAACCGAGCTGGGCTGCAACCAACCTGGGACTCTGACGTTAACCCTAGGTGGGTACTGCTTGTGTTGTGGGCTACTCTGCTATTGAGTTTTTGGTATGGTCGCGTGAACGTGGCACCAATTTAGCGACATTTGTCTCCACGTGGCCACCTTGGCTTCTTGCTGGACGCCGCGTGAGTCGAAGTAGGCCAGCCGTTGCCGATGCCTGGACTTCGGTTGGTGCCCAGTCCATTGCACCAGTCTCCTACAAGTAGCCTTTTCAATCTTATAATGGTCTAACGGTCTAATCACACTCCGAAGAATAATTATGCGATCGCTCCTTCCAGATAGCATTCGTGGGTGGGCATGCTGCTACACGCCCTCAATGCCCTCAGACTTTGCACGTGTCAGGAGAGCACAGGGTCTGTCCCAAGACGTGCGGCAAAGGCACAAGAAGTTGCCTTGGCAGAGACAACGCAGACGCCCTGCAAGCCGTGAACCTATCCCTGCACGTCAGTCTCTCTACCAGGCCTCTACAACATGCCAGTGGAAGAATTGAGACTGACCTATGTAACTTCCAATCACGCCATGGCACTCTTGCACAGTAATTCATCGTGGTGGAATGTTGCGGAGCCTCGGAAGAAAGCAGGTTGCTTGGCAATTCCGTTAGCCCCTGACATCCCGCGCCAGTCTGCAAGCCTAAACTCCTTCTTCGCTCTGTTCAGTCTGTTCTCTGCGATGCAAGGAACTTGAGTAGCGGCCATCTCGTGCCACTGGGTGGCCAATGTGGGCCATGTGGCTCCTCACAGCGGCATATGGCATCGTGATTGGGGCGTGTACACACTGCGGAGCAAGTGGCCGAAACTGCCTGAAGGTAACATGCAGACATGGGCGTGGAAAAGCCGAAAGCTCTCCTGATTTGATGCTTCCGACCCGTGCCAAGCTGGATGGCTACAGCCTCTGTGCAGCTGAAGTGCGAGCAAAAGAAGAAATGTAAGTGCACGCGAAGTTTTCCGGGCACTTATTCAGTTGCTGAAGCCGCGAGAATAGAAAAAGTTGTTTGGGGGCCGACGGGCCGACCGGCGCAAAACCTTCTCCGTTTCCCTTACAGGCAAACACCGAAGTCATAACAGAAACGGTTGGGCAAGCTAAATCCCATTGAACCGCTCGCTACGCCTTGAAGACAGAAACACCAGAAAGTCCCAACATCCCCATTGAACCGCTGCAAAGAGCATGTTGCAGAAGCTGACTGTTCCATCTAAAAACAACTGAAAGAAGTCATAACGAACACCTCCATGCCCTTGGAACCGCTGCTCCGAGCACATGCGCGGTGAAGGGAAGCCTTTATGAGAGGTCATTGTGATAAGGTATGTCTTTTGGGGTCTGCGCGAGGGTCGCGCGAGGCCGCGCGAGGTCCACACGAGGTCAGGCAAAACTCTTGCCACTAGAGGGGGTTGGCAGCAACAGCGCCTTCCCCGTTGTGACCGCCCAATGTTACGACTACACTTTTTGTTCCCCCTAATGTGGGCAGCGATTGACAGGAAATCGTTATGACTCATGACTCGGTGGTTCACTGTAAGACTTCGGGGCTGAGGCTTTTGGGCCACCGAGCCCCACCCCCCTGCGCAGACCCATGGATTGGGGTCGGTCAGAGGGTACGACGGTGAAAAATGACTGCGAACACATCGAAGCCCGACTCTTTTTGCCGCGAAGGCACACTCATGGCTTTGCCGTGACGGTGGCATTGAACCTGAACCTGGCCCCACAAATCCCACAAGAAACTGCATTCGCAAAAGTATTTGCATTCTGCATGAAAGAACTTGCGGCTTACCCCTGGGCAATCAATGCTTCATGCGCAGGCAGCTGTCCTGCACACAGCTTCGCCAGAAGCGCACGAAAATGCGCTGAGGAACAACTTCGATACACCCATGGGAATGAAATCTGGCAGAAGTGATCTCAACGTCTCTGGAGGGCCGTGTTGACAGCAGCAGATGAGAAGACGCTTGTGATGTGCAGCAACCTGATTATGCATCAACCTGGGGTTGAGAAAGACGAGCAGAAAATTCGCTACAGTACCGTTTGGTCCGAATGGCCTTCAGCTTCGACAGAGCCGCTTTGCCGATGCCTGAATAGGTCGTCTCGCCTTCATCGTCCAGAGACGCAGAAATCCTGCCTCAGACGTGCACGATGATTCCACAAGAGGACGGTGATAGCTTCCTCGCCGTGGTTGTTTGGCGGCTGTTGACCCAAGCAGGTCGAGATGTATTTGCTGTCTCTTGCTGTCAGGTGGCGACGGATTGGCGGCAACCATCCATGACTCAGGACGATGTACTCGCGGAGTAGCGATCCTGTTTTCTCAGCAATCTTCAAATCAAGGAGTCGGCACCAAGGTTCCTGGAAGGCTAGACCAGCGGCGCGGCCCGCCCCATGACGCTCACGAAAAACAAGGTGTCCTGTCTGTAGCTGAAGCTGAAGATAGCTGTGCGTCCTGTATGTTTTTGCCTCAAGTGCGGATCCACATGCCTTTCTGAGCACACTGTGTCACTGACGACCCAAGAAAGAGCGCTGGCCTCTGATTGTTGCCAAGGCTCCGCTAGAATCAAGCCGGAGCTTGGCACGTCCAGGCGGTGGATGAAGCCATAGTCGCGGCTGGCATCGTAGAAGATGGGGCAATTGCCAACCTTGTCAACGGCGCATCTAGAATATCTTCTTAATTTTAATGCACCGTGCCGGCTCGCTCCTGTCTCTAAGCCTTAAGTGCCGGACACTTCTGAGAACCTCATCACGAAGCTGCAAAGGCCCGTGTCCGTCATAAACCTGCAGATGCCGAAACTACTCGGATCCGGGATGTGAACCTTATGCAAACCTTTGAGAACCACACGATTTCTACTGTTTCGAAGCATCTACCAGCGAAACCCACACGGCATCTAAACAGCCCTTCAGTTCGCAGCTTTCAAAGGCATCAGGCCTCCCATCCCACCGGCTTCTGCAACACCACCGGGTCGGGCCTTTGTCACATCCGTGCAGAAATCCGATTCTCGTGTCAGCCTGTGAGAACTTGAGCAGGCCGCCCGGGCATGGCGGAAGCAGACTCCACGTCGTCCGCTGTGAGCCTGAGGCAATCCTGACAGCTTGGTTCTGACGACTCCTGAGGACACTAATTTTTGACCACTCCTGATTACTCTTAAAAACAGAACTCTGCTACTGTTACCACGCTGTCTGGCGATGTCTTGCCATCCAGCCAGCCCAAAGAGTTGCACCGCCGCCAAAAGTTTCTTAGAGGGACCCAAAGACGACCCCCCCAGACTCCCAGACTCTGCCGCGACATTCCTCGGCGAGCTGGTGGAGGAGCCTCGGCAAGAAGCCGACCGAGTGCAAGGCCCGCAGGATGCCCAAAAGATCCTCCGGAGTTTGAATGAGAAAAGGCTCCGAAAAAAAAATGCTTCGCGCGTGTGTAATGCATGCAAATCAATGGCGGGGGAGCGTGCAAGTGCGTCCAAATAGGGGGGGGAGGACGGGGAGAGGAGAAAGACACGCTCTGCCGAAGCATTTCAAACGGCACGACGCAGCATCTGCTGTCAAGGATTTGCCTGGCATGCAGGCCATGCATACTTAGTCAGTGGATGGGCCGCCACCGGCCGGTTCATATAGGCAAGCTCTTTCAGCACCCTGCGTGTAGCGCGGGGTGCGGCCAAAAACTGCCCGAAACATGGAACTTCTTAAAACACATGCACACTGCTCCCGGTCCAAGACCAGGCTTCCTGGAAGATGCAGCAAGACATATTAATTTGTTTGAGGTCCAGAAGCTGACCCAGCCGTCACCTCTCAAGGGTACCTCCCCAGCCAGTCCAACCGACCAGCTGCACGTCGCAATAGCCCAGCTGTCGAAAAGTAGACAAGAACAACATAAGCTTCGGAGTCTCTAGACCTGCGCCTCTCGCTGATACCTAACTCTGTGTCGACAGCTCTTATTCCCAAAAACATATCCGAATGCAATGTTCGACAATGCTCGACAATGTTCGACTGCATTGTGCGACTCGGCTCTGTAGCTGGAACTTCTCGAGAGAGGATGGATGTCGGCGGACGCCGGTGCACCCTGTACAAAAGACGTCTCGGGAAGCCCCAGCTGACGGCCAATGCCAGCATGTGGCATATGTGGCCCTGTACAACGCTGTTGCCGACCGTACTTTGTGAACAGTCAGGCCAAACAGCCGTTCACTTCACTAGGAAAAAGCATTTGAGAAATGTAATCAGACGTGTTGACCCAACGCGTTTGGTCAATCATTTGCTCCTAGCCAGGGAAGGTCCGGGCCCGCAAGCAACATCCCTACTCCCACACTACCAGCCCCTTCAACCCCCTTGGAGCCAGATTCTGGTAACACAGTCGTCCTTTGCAAACCATGCAGGCAGAGCGCCTGCCGCCTTCATCTTCCGGCACGGAGCATAAACACCATGGAAAACACACACAAGAGCATGTCCCACCTGACGTTGGCTGGCTCGGCTTGCCAAGCACTAAAAAAGGCAACTTGCATGGGTGCTTTGAAGTGAGTCTTGACAGTACATCATCTGCCAGGTGTGCTGGGCATTGGGCACCACGATGCGCATGAAGGCGCGTCAGCTGTACAATTCAAGCTCTGTAAGGGCTGTATGCAGTCACAGTCACAGCATAAGATCCTAAATCGTCTGTAAATGAATTTCGCCTATGCTACGATTGCCGATTCCAATTCTCGTCGAAGTGGCTTACTAGTTCAGAGTTGCCCTATCAGACTTTTGAGTGGCTGCAGCCGCGTGGGTCCGGGCATTTGCAGGTTTTTTCGCGAAGCTTTGGCAAAGAAGGCCGTGCAAATTCCCTGTGCGCGTCCGCAGACCCTGCCACGAAGGACAACAGGTCAGCGTGTCGCGACATTGGCCCATCACCAGCCCTTAGTAGAAGCCCAGTGCTTTCCGTGACGTGATTGCACGGCTCAAATTTAGTCATTGGCCTGACCCTGCTCGGGATCTGGGCCCTCGTGCATGTCGTCTGCAATTGCCGAGGGAAGTGCAGATGGCGCACAGCATGCCAAGAGTAGGAATAGATATGGCAAGCTGATCGGGGCCAGCGCACTTGCGTTCACCACTGCTACTAGGCCAATCAGGTCGTCCGTCGAGCTGGCATCCAAGGACTGCCATGTGTAGAAGAACACAAATAGCAGCGAAAGAATGCTGAGGGCACATGCAGCCAAAGGCTGAGAGAGGTCCAAGCGGCTGGGAAAACAGATACAAAAAGCAAAAACAAGCAAAGTCCCAACCAACCAGCCGATGCTCACGGCAATCAAAGCCGAGGTGGCAACGCTACAACAGGGCTCCCTGCGAATGAGCAGGCGACAGGCCAAGGAAGCAGTTCCTAATGTCAGAATGATGAGCGCCAAGAGGTACATGTGATCCAGTGCCACGCTTGTGGAGCTCACGCCCCAAAAGGCACCCACAAAAAGAGTCATCACTGCCAGGCAGATGTAGTTCCGAGGATACCTTAGCAGTTGCAGACAGGATGCTTCGGAACTTCGAACCCCAACTTGGCTGGTGTCTGGACAGCTACATTCTCTGCTCGGTGGGCTAGGGACTACGCGGGCTTTATTCAATCAACCCATCTTGCTCAGCTTGGAAGTGGTCGTGCAGCATGGCGCGAGCAAGAAACCCGACAAAGCAACACTTTGATATCAATGGTTGGCGGGCTATCGCGTTCCAGGCACTGGCTCCTGACTTTCCAGAGCATCATCATCAGGAGCATCGTGATACAACTCAGGCTGTAGTACTCGCCAAGCAAGGCTGCAGAACCATGTGTGGGAAGAGGTATCACCTGCTGAGGCGGACAATCATGAATAACCACGCAGCACCGCGCTGGGCTGTGGGATCTACAGGGACAAGGAATGACGAGCAACCATGCCTTTCTCAAGCGGTGGTTGCCGCTCGCGTCTTCTGTCTGCACCTTGCACATGTCATGTGGGACAGCAGGCTTCCGAAAAACGCATCACATGAAGTGTGAGCTCTTGTTGGCCTTAGGGTCTCAGGATCTCAGGCCGTAGGCTCGCAGAAAAAAGCGGGTGGCCCCAACCCCTCCTCTCGACGAGAAGACTTCTATGGTTCTTAGAAAGCCTCGAAGTGGGCCCGCCTGATCCTTCACGATGGCCTGCACCACCAGCGCGGTCGCAAAGCACATTGCGAGCTGCAAAGCGCAAAGAGCAAACAGCTTTGCCAGGAAGTCTCGCTGCACATAGAACCTTAGGCAATGTCTTCTGCGTCCGAAGGTCTCGAACATCCACGAACCTCGAGCCTCTTAAAAGGCAGCTCCTCAACAAGCCGCACAGAAACGCATGCAACAGAAGCCCGGGGGGTCCCCGTATGCTCTGCACAAAGTACAAAGATAGCCCCCAAGGTGCGGAAGCTTGGAGGCCATGTCCGGCTGCCAGACAGCAGGCAAGTCAGGCAAGTCTGGATGCCGAGCGCGGCCCCCTAAAGGCACTTCCTGCGAAGATGGACCAATTACAACAAGGAGGAAACATGGCGACAAGGTGCACTTCCCATGACCGACACAAGCCCGAGTCTAGGAGTCTAGGCCACCCATACACAGTAGGAGAATGTAGGACAAGCTGCCACCCCCGCCCCCACTTCCTCATCCACCCTCTCGGCCTCAGTGCGCGTTCTGTCCTGCTCCGAGATTGGCAAACGCCTCAGCCAACGCTCCAAATGCTTGCAGCCAGGAAGATTCTGAGGGCCTCACGGTGCTGTGGTTGGTCGTTTCAGAAACGTGGCCTGACTTAGAGAGACCGGCGGACAAACAGGGCCTCTTGAGGGTGTTCCGGCGAAGGAGGTCTAAGCACATGATCATCATAGAGAAAACAATGCAGGCACTGTACTTTCTTGGACAAGAATGACTTTCCATGTGCTAAGTGGAAAAACGATGTTGGCAAGATGCGGGTCCATCATTCGCGCCACGCTCTTCAAATGGGCAATCTGGCGTGGAGAGTAACTGGGAGGGCGGCCGACGAACGATGTAAATACTTGAGAGGGAACACCCACCAAGTAGCAGCGGTCAAGTGATGCATCATGCACGTGCCCAGGCATGATGGCTGGGTGACACCACGGCCGCCGACCACATTCGTTGTCCCAAATCGCCAAGAATAACTACATGACTTTTTGTGATCCACGCGAACATGGGCATTCCCCATGCCCTCCGCCAGCACCAAGCCACGGCATGCGCATGATACAGAGCCCTCACTTCCCACGAGCTCCTGCCAGTCCTTGCCGCTGGCACCTTCTCCACGGCGTATCCTTGCCAGGCTGCTGCGGGCCAATTTAAGCTCTGGTTCCTGTCCCTGTCGCTTTGAATTAGCGCACATGAAATCATGGAAGCTGCCCAGCCACTTCAGAGGCAGCCGCCGCTCAACCTCCTCAGCCAAGACCCGGAAGAATGAATGACCTGACTTGTGCAGTCTTGGCAGCTTCTTCTCTTGTCACCTGACTAGCTGGCCTAGCTGTACCTGTATATATATGGTGGCAGAACAACGACCCCATGCAAAAACATCAAACGCCCAGTATGCACAGCAGATATAGGCATAGGTAAATCGTTGAAGCCTCACACCCCCAAACAAGCCTGGATTTGCGGGGCCACCACCTTCGAAGAAATCACGATGTACAAACCCGAAACTTTGATGTCAACTCCAAACTGTCATGTCAGCCTGTGCTCAGAAGCTCAAACAACTGGACACACACACACACACATACAGCCAGTATTTGGGTTGATGGGCTCCGCCACTGTTCAACCTCGATGTTGGCAGGGTGTCAGGGATTTCGAGACTGCTGTAGCGAATGCCAATGTGCCCAAATAGCCCGAAGGCCTTGGATGATCCTGTTAGGGCCTAGGAGTTCTCCAAGAAAGCGGAAAGTTCGAGAATCGCTCCATGGGTTCCACTGCCGGAAATAGAGTCAAGAAATTCTGAAGGGACCCCAGCCAAAGGTTCGAAGCCAATCTCCTGTACAAATGACGCCGGACCGCATGGCTTCAACTGAGAAAACACGGCACAGCACGACTTTCGCAACTCCCTGCAACTTTTCAAGTTCCACCTGGATGGCATACATGAAACAGGGGTGCTACGAACACCTTGAGCTTGCTCCCAGTTGAACTCATGAAACGTTTTTGGCCTGCGGCCACGGGAGTCTGGCAGAGGCCCCAGTCTGCTGGCAAACTCTGTGCAGCCAGAGAGCCAAGGCTTAGGGCAGCTCCAGAAGAGGCGATGATTCGCAGCTCCTCTCAATTGCAATTGTTTGTGCAATCAGTTGCCCCGAAAAAACGCCAATGGCTCAACACCTGGTTCAAACCCAGCATCACAAGGAGCACGGCTTCCTACATGCCCCACGCCTCATAAGTGCACTTGCCACGGCATTGTAGCGCATGCTTCTCGAGCTGCTTGGCAATACCCGGGCCAAAGACTCCGAAGTTGGCCTTGCTTCGCTCCAACCCGCACAGGCTGATGAACCGCCAAGCTGCTCCAAGCGTGTTTACTCCGCAACTACACATAACTACACGTTTGACGCTGTGCCATGGTGCGGCAGCCCAGGCAAAAGCCGCCACCTGCTCCAGAGAATGCCACGGCACCCACAGCCCTCTTCCGATGTGGTTTGAAAAAGATCCCCGAGTCCCCGAGGTGTTGCAAAGTGTTGCGTTCTCCAGGATGGGACAGACGCCGGGCTTGCATAGCATGTTCTCCAGATTCCTCTCTTTCGACTTCTTCTCCATGGTGCGGGGCATCGCTCTCTCTACTCTCTCTCTCTCTCTCTCTCTCGCTCTCTCTCTCTGTCTCTCTTCCGTCCCTCCATCCCTTGCATCCCTTCCTTCCCTTCCTTCCCTTCCTTCCCTTTCCTCTTCCTTCCCTTCCTTCCCTTCCTTCCTTCCTTCCCTTCCTTCCCTTCCTTCCCTTCCTTCCCTTCCTTCCCTTCCTTCCCTTCCTTCCCTTCCTTCCCTTCCTTCCCCTTCCTTCCCTTCCTTCCCTTCTTCCCTTCCTTCCCTTCCTTTCCCTTCCTTTCCCTTCCCCTTCCCCTGTTCCTTTCCTTCCTTCCTTCCTTCCTTCCCTTCCTTCTTCCTTCCCTTCCTTCCCTGCCTTCCCTTCCTTCCCTTCCTTCCCTTCCTTCCCTTCCTTCCCTTCCTTCCCTTCCTCCCTTCCTCCCCCTCCTCCCCTAGGACATGACCTGTTGGCGGCCCGGGTGCAGTCGCCCCTTTCTCCCCCTCCATCACGCGCAGATCTGCACCAGCGAACGATGCCCCCTGAGGAGCTGGTGCTAGCAAGGCTCGTCGGGCAGCGTGCCGGCTCCTGGGCTCGGCTAGCCTTCCTCCCTTCCTCCGTCTCTTCCTGCCTTCCTGCCTTCCTCCCTCCCTTCCTCCCTTCCTGCCTTCCTTCCTGTCTTCCTCCCTCTCTTCCTGCCTTCCTTCGCAAGCTGAGGCCTCAAGGGGCGCCACGAAGCGCTCGCTGCCAGTACGAGAATCAGTGTTGTCACGAGAGCGTGTGATACTTCCAACATGTTGGGTGTGCGCTCCCTCCCTCCCTCTCTCCCTCCCTGCCTCCCTCTCTCTCTCAAAAACCGTTATATCATCTCTTCAGCCTCTGCCGCTGTCAAGGGCCCCTGAGCTGCATGCACAAGGGCCGCCGCAGCGCTTGGGGTCCGACAACCTCTGCAAGACGATGCGAACAGTCCCCGTTCTGGGAAGAAGCGATGATTGCTGCCTTCAGGCCTTTAGGAATCTCCATACATCAGACACTCAGACCATTGGAGAAGAAAGTGGTGTGTGGCCGACAGGGGTTGGCATCTGTACTTACAGGCCGACTGCAGGAGGCCGTCGTTTTGTTCCCCGCACACATGTTTAAACAAGGTCTCATTCGGAAGAGTCCGAATGAAGCAGACGAGGTCACGTGGGGCCTTCGGTGCTTTTTCTCCCCTATCCCCGCACCTGCCCGCCCACCCCATCTAACCACCTGCCCACCAGTGGCCCACCAGGTCACGAGACCTCACTGCCAACAGAGACCCGCACAAGCTCCTGACAGGCCCCATTTCCTTTCCATGTTTTGAGGGATGTTAACGGCTAGCCCCAGGAGACTGTCAAGGGTGGTGTGTGCAAGATCTGTCGGCTGAACGAGATTCTTGTTGCTGTAATACAACGCACTCGGCATGTCCACAAGCTAGAGCCAGTTGCTTGCCCTAGGGACATGAGGATACCTGAACCCTCGTTGTTTGGCAAGGCACCCATCTTTGCCAATGCCCACGGGAAGAAGGTCGGAGACCAAAGCGAATTCAGTGGATCAAAGCCTGCAGACTTCTGGTGGCTCCAGGTGGTGTGGTGATCTCAGAAGAGCCACAAGTTCAAGCCGAGGCACGCAGCAAGAGCCCCAGCACTTGCCGCCATGCGTGCGCCCCGGCCGCACAGATGAAGGAGCCAAAGCCTTGAGTCGGGGGCCTTTACCGTACCAGCAGAACGGAGGAGCAATGACCACGACAGCCACAATAACCCAGAGTAACCAAATCTAACTCACACAAGCCCAAGTCTCTGGTTCCGTCCACATAGCGGATTTGATGGAAATGGTTTCGGGTTAGTGGTGTGGTGAGTTGCCCATGCGTAAAACCCTCTTGATCCCCAGATAGAATTGAGACGCATTCAGCCCTGACTTTGTTCCCTAGCATTGCCTACATCCTACAATCAGGAAAGCGGCTCATCTCATCCGGAATCAATGATTCCTCGGACATGCATAGAACCCATCGCAGCGACACTGGCCACTGCTCGCTTTTCGCGCAAGCCGTGATGGCAGCGTTGCTGCCTGAGCGGGGAATCTTCCGTCCCTTCTGAAATCATCTGAACATGTCCGAGAACAGCGAGGCCTTGCGCTCGGGGGCTCATCCTTCTGGAAGGCATCAGCCCCAACATCCTCAGAGGCTCAGAGGCAATTAGGCAACTTCAGAGTGCACTGCGCTCAGCACTGCAGTGAACACTTGCGTCGAACCAAGAACTTTTTGCGCTTTGTTGCTGAGCGGCTCGCAGGCTCCCTCCCAACGGAGCCCTTTCTCGCAAGCACTCACCCCACAGCTCTCGTGGATCCTTAGAGCATCTTGAGTCTTAGTCTACCAGAGTCCACCAGCCACTCGCATTTAGGCCCTGGATGGTCCTGACATGTCTTCTCTACCGCTCTGTGGCATCGTACGGCGCCGTACTGTGGCCCAACTGCTCTGCTAGGACTGCCAGGATTGGAGGCGCTGTACTTTGCTGCCAGAGGGTCGCGACTGCCCGCAGGCCGCGGCGGCGTGCATCACGCAAGGCTGCTAAGGACCGGTGCCAGGCAGCACCCTTTTGGGCTGCGGCCATGGCGACTGCCAGGCTGCGGATGGCCTCAGCTAAGATCCGGGAACACTGGGCCTGACATGCTCTGCACGCTCTCATGGCCGCGGACGATCAAAGGAACGCAATTCATATCAGTTCATACACCGAAGCACGACCCTCCAACTGTTGGCTTGGTTGGCTCTTGCGGTGGCCAGGCGAAGCAGTAGACCACATGCCTAGGGGCACAAGGCCGACGCTATCCGAAGAATTTTTGAGGCAAGCTTCCTTCGATTCACTGCGACACACAAAGCTATCGGAGCACGCCTCTGTCCATTTTGAGGCCTCCTCGGACAACGGCTGGGGCCGTGGGTTCGTGACGCATTGAGGCAGCGTGCACCCAACTCGATTTGACCACCCCCAGCACATGTCTTCGCTCTTGCGGAATTGAACGGCACAGACACAGAGCCTGGGGGCGAGTCTGCACTCGTTGAGGTATTTGCAGCGGTCCTGAAGGCCCTCAGCTCTGGCAACAAACTCGTCCGCGTGATTTGGCAGGTCCTGGGCTTCAGACGTCTTGCGACTTCTGCACGATGTGATGCTATGGTCCAGGTAAGCCTTGCTGAACATGAGCCCATGGACCAAGCAGTCCACTGCAATGGACTCCAGCGCTTGTGGCCAAAGCCCTGGTGCTGATCTCAGCGCACCTTTTTGCCACGTGCAGGAGAACACATCAACTTCACCCAAAGATGCGCCACAAACTCCTTCCTATCAGCATTCTTTATCATGCTTTTGGAGAAGCTGCCGGGGTCGAAAGCGGAGACCAACAGGTGCGGTCGCAGTGCCTGGCACAATTTACATGAGTGGACCTCTGCAGCAGTGACAGCGGCCCTGGCATGAGCATTGAAGTCCAAATCGGAAGCCACTCTACAAATGGCTCTCTCACGCGGCCCTCGTGTCATGCGCATGCTCCGAGAGTCGCGGCTTTTCTCATGGGAGCGGCATGGGACCGAGGTGAAGTGCTGAGACGTTGGAGGTTGATATGCTCAGTGAGAATGGAACAAAGTGGGAGCATCAGAGCTGCCTAAGGCACAAAGTGTGTGGGCTTAAATCAGGAGATGGAATTTATCAACCTCCAAGTGGCCAAGTGGCCCACCTCGTGTGAAATGCTCCTGCGGAGCTATCTTCCCCTAACAATTTTCTGGAACAAGGTTCACATACGCGCTAAACCCAAAACCGTAAACCCTCCGACTCAGCGGCGTGATGATTTCGGGGTAAAGAACTGCTTGAGCTTTCGGAAAGGCGCCTCCAACCTCGAACCCCACAAGGCCCACGGAGGCCGCGACAGGCGATGGCAGAGTCAGTCTTTAGAGTCTCGGCACGACTACCCTAGTTGTAGTTATAATGATTCATTTTTTGTTGCGTTTCTGACGATGACGCTTGTGAGAATGATGGTTTTGTGATGTTTTGTGCTAGAACCGGTACGATCAAGATTTTGTTCGAACTTACTATGAATAGTAGTAGGAGTGGTCGACGCAGACTAAATTACCACCAACAGCAGCTGAGTGTCGCAAGCTCTTCCTCCTCGATCCTTAGGTAGGAACTCAAGCACCTATCATCGTGAGAACATAGTTATCTACAAGATCGCCGCTTTCTACGCACCATCAAGGCCAAGCAGCGCTTTCTCTGTAACCTTGAGCTCTTCGCGGACGAATTTCTGGCAAGCTGTCTTGTGCATTGCAGACCAGGTTGGGTGCGCATAAGCGCTGTGTGCCAACTTCGCGCATGTACTGGACCACTGGAGCAACTTCCAACCAGCTCCCCGTGCGCGCCTTTCCACCCAAACATGTTACGTGGGCCTACTGGCGGGGCGGCCTCCGTCAACTTCTCCAATCGCTTAGCTGCTTGGGCAATCTCCCTCCTGAACAGATGCATGGATGATCATTATTAGGAATTGCTCTTGGCTTGAAACATGCTTCACATTTCCAGAGTCGAGCATCTCTTCCATGTCCACCTTCGAGATGGTTTTGCGTGCCAGTCGCGTCAGCTGCCTGAGCGGAAGTGGAAAGTCAGACACGCGGAGCCAGCATACTGTACTGGTGCGAAAGTTTAAGATACTCGGCAGGTGGGCAGTCAAGGGCTCATCTCGGGTTGGACGCTTCAGGCACTATCTTGGGAGTGGGCACCTCAGAAAGGGTGGGCACAGAGAGAGAGAGAGAGACACAGAAAGCGCGAGAGAGAGAGAGAGAGAGCGCGAGAGAGAGAGAGAGAAAAAAAAAAGTTGGAATGCGGCGAATGCAAAGTCACTACAAGGACCATTTGGGGAGCCGCAGCATCAGGAAGTGCAAGTTGTGATATGTTGTGATCCATACTGAGAGAGCGGGCACACTGCAGTCCCTCTTCCACACTAAGCAACACCAAGAGATCGCGCTCCAAGAGGCTCCTCCGCTCCCAGCTCCGCTTGCTCAATGAGCCGTTCAGCGTACTGCCTAGGACGGGGGGAACTAATGGCTAATATTTTCTCACGACCACATAGCCACTCCCCTGTCATGCTCGACTCGCACGCTTGTGGCTTTCACGCGCGCATAATTTTGCATAGCAGTTGCGCGCGGAGCTTTTGAGGATCGCCCTCAACAGGGCAAGAGTTGTCGGTGGCCTGCCGGGCTTTGCTTTGGCAAGAACGACAGAAGGGCCATGTCACCACAAAGACATTTTTGTGATCATGACCGCGCATGCCAGCCGGCTGTCAGCCGGCTGTCAGCCGGCTGTCAGCCGGCTGTCAGCTGGCTGTGCCTTCCAGAACTTGTCAAAAGGAACCTTCGCCTTTGCCGTGGCCTCTCTTACACGGTCCAAGATCCTTGCAAGGTGCAGGAAAGACGCCAGGGTGTGAGGCACCGGTCGCATCATCTAAGCGCATACTGAAAGGCCAAGGCCTATGTTGCGGCAAAGAAGCTGTGGCGGAAGTGTCTTGGCACGCGTGTAGAGTGTGCCACCTCCGTATCCAGCCCACGCATCATTCCTGAGAGCAGCATCGCTACCAAGAGTCGAGCCTATGTCAAGCCTGATTCGCATTCGTGAAGAGTGCTGAGATGCCATGAGATGCCTGCAAAGCGGGCAAAGGTGAAGTGAAGACAGTTCTCCCGAGCATCTAAGGCTCATCGAACATCTACAAATCCTGACCAGGGAGTGCTGCGTCTCTAGCCAAGCAGCTTCCCCCTGTAGTAGATCAATACCTGGGGCACAAGCTGAAAGCTGTAGTGAGCAGTGTATATGTCTGTAGCGGCAGTGCAACCAGCAATTCTCTGCTACGGTCTTTGCTTCGCAGCGCTTGCAACACATGCTCTGGCAGGCTATGCAGAGGTGCAAAGCCCAGCTCGGGATCGTCCTCGTCGGCATGATCCAGGACGAACCAATCATCCTGTTAAAGTTCAGTTCTCAGTTCCAAAAAACGGGAGGGAGTGGCGACACATCAGGGTCCTCTTTGCCGAGCACACACTTACATGGAAGGCCCTTGTGTTCAAATGGGTCAGAATAGATCAGGACCCGAACGACTCCGACCGACCTGGTAGTTCAGGTACTCGTTTCCGCGATTCTCCAGCTTCCCAAAAGGCTTCGTCTGGACGAAGCCTCTGAGAGAAACGGCACCAAAGTCTAAAAAAACAATTGGGGGGGGAGAACGGCGCGATTGGCACATGCCCATCCGACGCATGAAATATCTGAGGCTTCCAGGACACTTTGGACGGTCGATCGCGAGATGAACTCGCCATCCACCTCATTGATGCGCCTGAAAAGCCGGCAAAGATCGGAGGAGGGCCGGAGGGACTACCGCCTTACCCACGGGCACCGAAGTCTGAGCGCACTGCCAGTTGATTTTCCCGACAAGGCGACCTGGTGAATTTTCTTTTGGTGCCATTCCTGCATCAGCCCGCGTGCATCGTGGTGCATCGTGGTGCATCGTGAACGATGAACGGTAACGGAAGCCCGCAAAACAACTCCTTCGAAGAAGTGCACTTGGCAGTCGAAAGTGTCGAACAAAGGATTCAGACCTGAACAGTGCTGTCACGATGACTGAGTGCTACTGTGTGTGGCGTCTCACATTCGAATTCTCCAAAGGCACCGAATATTCCCAGCATCAGACGTTGTCTCAGGCCATCTCAGGCCCTTGCCCGCGGTGATGTACCATCTGCCCGTCATCTTGGCGACTTCGAAGTCATCCTGCGCAGGTCAGAATGTTTTTTACCTAGCGACAGCCAGCCCACGGCATTTTGACTGCGAACAAGACCGACACAATAACAGTTTTTTGCGCATTTTTTGAGGCCAAGTGACTGACACTGCATCGGCTGGCGGTTCTGGGTAGCCTTGAGATCAGGCTTCACACCCCAGGAGCACTTGTCTGTATGAGGCAAGACAGGCCGCTTAAGCTGCAAAGATAAGGGCAGGCTCGCATCACAGAGAAGATCACGGAATGCCAGTTGTTGCTGAAATCTTCAACACGGCACGTGCTTCTGATGACCAGGAAAACTCCCCCACAAGGGTCTTTTGCCAGAGCGAGCCACGACCTTTGACGGGGTCCCACTTGGCGTCTCCAGGCACGGGGCCTGTGTCTGGACGTTGGGGGACGCCTCAAGTTCAGCTCTCAACGATGTTTCAAAGGCTACAAGAATCTACAAGAGGTCGTCGCGGTACTCTCCAAGATCCCAGCAATGCTGCTTTTGCTAGCATGGCACACTTCTTGGCACTCAAAGCGCAGGCATTAAATTCCACAACGGTCTCGTTTTCGAAGTTGTTGCCGCAGTTTATCCTCAGCTATTCGATCAGCATCCAACTCTTTGCAAGAAAGCCTTGACTCAGGGCTTCGAGACCTTCTCGCAAACGTGGGGAACCTGATTCCAGTCAGAACGACTGCACCTGCATGAGCTTTGCCTGTGCCATGCTTCTGGCAGCTCGACTCGTCCGGACGCCCGGAGCAGGCTATAACGCAAGTCCTTACAAGAATGGCGAGTCAGCTCGCAGCTTCAACAAGGAAACTCTGTCAGTCACACATTCCGCATCCTGCATGGTCCTGCACCCTGTCTCAGCTCGGGACAGGTCGGCTGCGCAGCTCGGGTTCAGGATGCACTTGGCTAAAGGAAGCCTTACAGCGTCTCACAGCACCATCTATAAAATGAAGGCTGTGGCCTGAAAGTTGATGTCCTTGATTGTCCTTGGTCAGGTTGGTGCCAAGTGGCTGGCACTTGCTCAGCAAACAGGGCGCCACGGCCGCTAAGTTGTCGGTTGCCAATGCAACCCCAGGCCTGCCAAGTCAACAAATTGTCGGAACCGGATCTGCCAACCCAAGCGCTTTTGCGATGACATGAAGACGCACAAACATCGCAGTATTAGCCAAGGACTGCACGTGAAAAAGCAGAGCGCAGCAAAAAGCATGGCAAACGCCAGGGAGGGCAGCGTGGAAGGCTCCACCTGGTCAGTTTGCACAGCGTACAGTCGAGCACAGCTCCTGAGTCCTGCGGACAACAAAGCAAGCAAAGCCCTAAAACTGATGATCCGCATTGTCACATCCAAGCCACGTTGACAGGCGTTTGCTGGAAAGGCTTTTGCCAAGCTGGCATCGGCGACGAATGTGAGCCTTTATCCGCGACAATCCTGCACGAAATCGCGTTGCCAAAGCAGATTGCAAGGGCTGTTCCCTGACACAAACTGAAGTAATCAGCCCAAAAACTGGAGCTGCAGGATGCAGGCCTCCTTGGGATGGACTCGATAGGTCGCGAAGCCTTCCAGCCGCTGAAACAAGCCTGGCGACTGCAGTAAAGCGCGTGCTCAACAACCATTGCCCTGCCTATGCTTTCCGCAGACGTTCCACACTATTACGTGTGCAAGTTGCTGGCACCCGCATCGAAAAGCCCCACTATTGAACTTCTCTCTGGGCTCCGGACTGGCAGGAGAGCAGAAAGCACGAAGAGGCCTCTTGCGCTGGAAACCAATTCCAAGCGCTTCAACTGGCTCACGAAGCAGTATGACCCCTGGAACACGACTTGGCAATTGGCCATCAAGTCGCATGACTCGACCCTACAGGTACACTTCTGACTATCCTCCGTGGAAGGCAGGGGCCTAGAAGGCCGGCGCATGACAAACGGCGCGACTGAAAATGATTGGCCATGGCGACGAAGATTGTGTGTAGGCAATGCGCTCCAATGCGTGGTCGGGCTAGTTGATATATATAGCTTCAGGAAAACAAAAACGATGCATCTGGGGTTACCTGGGCAAAGAAGCATCTATTTCTTGTTCCGCTGACACAAGCCAAAATTTGGTTGCGGCAGTGACTACTTGCCACTTGCCCATGGGCACATCAGATTCCGCAGAACGTAGTCAAACTACAACCAGCGGCAGCCAATCTAGTTGAGCCTGATGCATGGCATTTTCGAGCAGCAGCAGCGTCGCTCGCCAAGCACCTTTGGAAAGCGGGATGTTTTCACATATTCCATATGGGCATATATGGGCCATGGGCCGTACACTGCTTCAGTATGGGGCCCGGTTGGCCTTGAAGCCTTGCCTCGCCTGTGAACCAGAAGCGAGCCTTTTTTTGCAATGGCTCTGCAATGTTACAACGATTCCGCAAGAAGTAAGCCTCCATCGCTTGCTGCAAGCTGGGCCGAAGCCAAGCCAGTCGCATCAGGTTCCTGACGGCGGGCATGCAAGGGTTCTGGGCACGGCACGACAGAAGAGCAAGAAGAAACGGAAGAACAAGAACATGAAGAAGAATAAGAAGAAACACAACAAGAACAACAAAAGCAACAGCAACAGAAACAGCACAGCAACAATAACAAAAGAAGAACCGCAACGTGCGCCTCTTCGGCTGGAGCAGAAAAGAGTTGAACCTCAGATCACACAGGATCTCACACAGGCAGGGACGCCTTACAGTCTGGGGCATTTTCGTTCGACATCGGCCGTTTGGAAGTTGAACCTCCCCACTGCCTGCCGGAAACATTTCTCTTAGTTGCAATCGTGTATTCTTCCAAGGGTGCCTGGCAGAAACATCGTGAGACGAGAGGCCGCGAATGGCCACGGTCCAGCACGCTCAAAGGCGCGCGCAGCCGAGTTGAAGCAAATACCTGCAGAGTCCAAGAAGTCAGGTTTCATGACGTTGTTCCCAAGATACCGTTCGAACAAATTCTCTGCTAGGCCGTGGCTGCAAACTCTAGGCCGGGTCTCTGCATTTTGTCTTGAAGCAAGCTTGACAACTTCAGCAGCTTCTGGCCTGAACATGCCTGATTAGGCTCGCACCGCCAGTTGTAGCAAAAAGAGATGAGAAAAACTGGATAACTCAAGACTCAAGACACGACACATGACAGATGACGCCATGACGCCAGGCGACGATCGGCCCAGCTCTTGGATCGTTCACATGAAGCCAGCGCCTGAGAAAAATCCAAGCACCGATCTAAAACAGCGAGGTTTTCAGCGTGACTCTTCCCACAACTTCTTGTGCATAAGTTGATCTTCAGGCCCTGCAGAGACGACTACAAACATACTACAAGAAGACACTACAAAACACAGTTCCGCCTGCGTCCAAGCCCCTGCCGCAGAGCAAGCCTCGGGAGTCCCAACAACTCCATCGGGCCACAATCTTCCCCATCAGGCAGCGTTTAGCGAAAAAGAAGGTGCCCGATGACACGAATGGTCTTAGCCTCCTCAAACAACAACATGCGCCAACATGTCTGAGCTGCAGCGGTGAACGAGGTTGCTGATGGAAGGTCAGTGCACAAGCTTTGCGTCTTCGTCATCTGAGCAGGGCAGGTCAAGCAAGTGAGCGTGCGGCCTATGGCAAGTTGCAGACGCATCGCGGAACCTCAAAACATACGACGAGTGCCCTGCCTGAGCCAGTGCTTGCTGCCAGTGTGTACGTAGCAGTGATCTTCTAGAAGGCGCATCTAGCTCCCTAGGCGACACACTTTGTGCCAGAAGGTGCGGCATACCAGACAGATGGACACATCGGTCGAACCACATCTACTCACTCGCTGCCAAGCAGCACGTGTCTCGTATAGAGCTCCTTGAGCAGCGCAACTGCTCTGCGCCAGCTTTCCTGGTCCATGCAGACGCTCGTTATGGAACATCACTTTGTCAGCGGCCGATTCCTTGCTTATTTAGCAGGACTGCCTGCACCAGGGTGGTGAGTACAACATCGGAATGGATGTGGTTCACCTGCACCTCAAGGGAAGGCCGCAATCACTGCGACACCCGTTTCGCACTGTTACATATGAGAAGAGGCTGATGCCTGGAGTTGCTGCAGCGTATGAAGATGATGCACTGCAAGCTCCCAGCGCTGCCTGACGACATGCCCGTCCTCAAGTCTAGTGCTCGCCTAGGCCTGACGAATAACAGATACTCCAGCTAGTGGCACATGCATCTCAGCAACGTGATCTCCATGAACACAAGCAGGACACGAAAGCACTGTAACTCCCACTAGGAAAGCACGTAGGGAAGGCGAGGGCCTCAAAAAACACCTGAAATGGCTTTCCGGAAGTCCAGATGCCGCATACAGCATCGCTTTGAATCAAGATTCCTTCTGCCAGGGGCTTTGGCTGCCAAACCCCGACATGTTCTCAACCCGAGTTCTCAATGCACAAGCGCGCTCTGTCGTTACACGGCCACCTCTTATCAGTAAACAACCGGACAGACCACACTATGACAAAGCCGCCCATGTGCAGCTTAGGTGCAGCTCTTTGCAAATCTGAAACAGGGATGTCTGACCTGAGTCAACATACAACACTGCACCCATGCACCGTGCACCACTAGGAACCAGTGGTAAATCTGAGCGCAGCACCGACAGCATCACCAGGTATGCCGGCATCTGTCACGCCGGGTCAAAACATGAAGTGGCCGGTGCTAGTATTGTAACATAATCTTCTCACTAACACTGGCAGCAGTATGCAAGTGCCTACCAGGAGCAAAGCTGAAGTGGCAAAAAGCGGTTACTTGCGCATGGCCCTGTGCCAATGCGACTGACTTGCCTCTTCTCGCTGACGCGGCCACCAGGGCCCTGGCATATTCGGTGGGCAACGCGGTCTTAAGAACACAAATAGAAGATTTCCAACAAGAATCCTAAAGCGGCAGTGTTAGGCCTGTTGGGCAGGCGGCTCTGCTTCCAGAGTTGTTCGAGAAATCTCCAGAATATGTACATGTATACCTGTGCCGCTCGGCTGTTTGGCATTGCTTCTGTGAATGCCTGGCTGCAACCCATCCCATTCCTGTTGCAAATTGTGACGTCCGCAGTGTACGATTGCTTTCTGTACTTCAGAATGCTCCTGCTCCCAAGGATGAAGAGAGTCGCAACGTGTGCGAGAGCGTGGGAACATGCAATCCCGACTCTAGCAGCCTCGAGCTCTTGAACTGTTCAATTCTGGTGCCCGGCCTGCGCCAGTGCTTGGCTGATGCAGCTGCAGAGGCGATGGCGTTAAAGCCTTGGTATGCTCACGGCACTGTGGGGGGAATTGCCAATCTCAGGGCAATGCATCCGACCCGTCTTCGACTGCACAACCAAAGGCAAAGGCATTCAACACGCTCCACGCCACGCTATTGCCCAAGGTGCTTGCTTACTACAGTGGTCTCCATACCGGCCTGGAAACAGAGTGAGAGCGAGCGAGAGAAAGACAGAGAGAGAGAGAGGCAGGTCAGGTCAAGTCAAGTCAGTCACTCAGTCCAAGAGGAGATTAGTGACTAGGGGTGGCCTGCTCCATGCGTGCCAGCGCTTCTGCCACATGCCCCCAGCGTCCAGCACGGGCCCAGCGGGCCAGCTCCTCGTTCTGGCTCCACCTCTAGTGCTTCACAGACACAACTGTTTACAGACCTCCTCGGCTGCGGAATATCTTGGTCTTCTCCTCCTGCTTCTTGTTTGTGAGTCTTCTTCTGCTGCACACTTCCTCTTCTGGGGCACGGAGAGTTCCCTCTAGGTCAATAGAGTCTATGACCCCCCGCTCTCACTCCTCCTCCCTCCTGTCCCACTCGTCAGGGCATGCGGACCGAAGCCTCCGCACGCGAGCGTTCTTGTGAGCTCGGTGTGCCCGACCTCGCGGCTTGCGCCCCCCTGGGTAGTGGGCAGTGGGTGTGTTCGAACCCCTGCTGCTGTGATGGCCGTGGCTGTGGTCGGGGTTGTGGCTTTCAGCTGCCAGCACTGCCACTTCTCTCACGCTTTCTTATTCTCGGCGGGATTGCTCCCCTGCGCGTCAGCGCGGCCGAAGTCTCGTGGTTGGGCCCACATGGTTGCAGGGCCGGCATCAGGTGAGACAGGATTGGCTGCATATTCTCAGCCCCGGCGAGAAGAACGAGCACAACAGCACGTGAGATATGTCCGTGTACTTCAATTCCTGCCCCTGAACCTGCCCCACCCCTGCAACTCCAAACACTCCATCGACCTTTCGCAAGTCCTCCCCAGCCCCAAGAACACCGACACCCTGCAACCCCGCCCTCCCCCTTGCCCTCAAATCTTGTCCTCAAACCCCCCTTTCAATAATGGCTTCGACTGATCCCTCTCTCTCTCTCTCCACACGCTTGGCCCCCCGAGAGGGAGCTGCCCCTCTTCTTCTTCTGCTGGGCTTGAGGGAGTGCCAGTGCCCTCCCCCGCGCACAGGGCGCGCCCGGTTGGTCTCAGGTCCTTTGTCATACTGGGCCAGGGCCAGTAGAGGCAGGAGGTGCAACCCTCCCTTATGTAAACTGAATTCTAAGCACCCCTCGTTGCTCCATCCGCTGTTCGTCACTCGCCCTCCTCACCCCATACGATGTTGATTCCCGCGTTCAGCCGACTTGACAAGCTGCCCTGACCATTGCCCCCGAGCTCACTTATAGCTGCGGGTCGTTGACTGACCTAGCAACCCCTACTACTACATCCCCCGCCTGTACCGAAGACTCGAAACCCTGGCTCAACCTTCCGAAACCTTCCCCAAGGCCCCCGACCTGAATGCCTATTACGCCTTACCCTCTTATGCTCTCGCTGCTGTCAGGAAAAAGAGAAGTGCTGGCCGCTACTGACCAGTCCCCCTCAGTTCTCAGCTCTCGCTCTCTCTCTCTCTCTCTCTCTCGCTCGCTCTCTCTGGCTCTCTCTCTTTCTCTCTCTCGCAGTTTGGGCGGCTCGGTGTGTTCTCTTGCCAGTTGCTGGGTCCCAAGAGAAATCGCGAACTTAAAGTTCGGAAAGCCTTTTCGGTACATAAACAGCGAGTAGCTTGGAGGAACTACCAAAAATCAACCTCCCTTCCCGGTCTGGTCCCGCCAAGTGGCATGTGGAGCCTCGAGCTTTGGGTCCTGTCGGGCGTTTCAGGGGTTCCAACGCGCCGGCCTCTCTACATGTAAAAATCTAGCACAACCATGGGAAAATACTGCTCGTCATGCTGCTGTTCGTTCCGAAGCCCGCAATCCTTGCCGTCTGCGTGGAGGGTGAAGCCATGACGTGGCGCGGACGGCTCTCAGTGACTACCGGCAAGAGGCCGAAACGGGTTGTCGAGGTTTTCAGAAGTTGCAAAGTGAGTGAGATCGTGTGTCCGGAAGTTCTTTCAGCTGGCCGCAAGCCAAAAGGCTGCCGATGGACCTAAAGCTGGGCAACCAAGCTGAAGCACAACTGGGACCACCACCTGAGATGTATCTGCATCCGCTCTCTGTACCACCCAACGTGTGTGATCGGTGCGAAAGGAAATGGAGAGATCCGTCTGACGCGCCTCTGTCAGGCCATTTAGTGCAGCGTTGCGCACACTTGCTGGCCAGTCCTGCAAGAAACTGTTCAAGAAACTGCATAACTGCTTGCAAATTGCTCACATGTCTCCAACACTGAACTGTCAGTCCGGAAACCCAAAACCACAGTCAAGCAAACCACAGGGCAAAACACAGTCGCACCAGAGAAGACACTATTCTCACCAATTCCTTCATGATACCTGGGGTGCTCAGCAAGCCCGAGGAGAAACTGATGTCGTGAGATCATGCAGGTATTTCACAGGAATGTGCAGCTTCTTGTGGCTGAGCTCCTGGAGGCTGGACGTGAGCACTTGGAGGGCGCGCTCGTCACCTTCTTTACTCGCCAGGGTGGCGCAACATCTACAACATGCGGATGTCATCCGAATACATTTTCAATCCGCCGAGGCCTCGGGCCGAAGGTGTATAGGTTGTGAGAACAGGCACCCCCCTCCAAATCATCCCCCCACACCCAAACCCTTTTTCGGACCCCTTTTTTTGCCTCAAATGGGTACCCCCCCTTCAACCCTAAACCCCAAACCATAAACCATAAACCCGGAACCCTGAACCCCAAACCCAACCCTTATTGTTTGGGGTCTAGCGACTTGGGCGCTGCGGAATCACCATGCTCACGCGGATGCGCTGGGCCGGGCCGAGGCGCGTCGCGTAGCGTTAAAATTAAAGGCCTCAACATGCGTCTCTCGATGATCGAGACGTTTCGAACGTCTGTTTTCATGTCTTGTCGACAGATGCTACACGGATGCTCTCAGCGCGGGCTCCTGACAAAGCCTCTGAGCACTAAGCCAGCGCCGGTGAGAAGCACACAAAAGCGGAACGCAGATAGCATTGGCAGGGGGTACGTTCGAAGTGCGACCAACACGGGCCTATACGAGCCTGAGCCTAATCTCAGGCAAAGCCGCAGAGAGCACCTAACTTTCCCTGCTGGGATTGTAAGAGCGTGTAGAACTCGTCAAAGTCGAGACCGCCGCCTCCATCCAAATCGTGCTCAGCCAGCAGCTTGGGGACTTCGAACGGCGACATTTTGATGCCGCTGAATAGGAAGCAGGTGAAGAGCTCGCTCTGATCAATCTTACCGCTCCCGTCACGATCGAACATTTTGAAGATTTGCTCTGCATTGTGCCTGTTGTCAAACTGTTTCTCAGTATCGAAGTGATCTGGGACATCCTCCTCTTCCTCCGACTCATACTCTTCATAGGCAACACTCTCTGCATCACCATAGGGCTGGAAATGGAAGTCGCGGCCGTCGTCGGGATCGGGCGTGAAGTCTGCATCCGTAAGGCCAACGATGCAGTACTGGCCCAAGAAGTTGAAGTCCGAGTTGCAGATGTAGTCAAAAGGGACGTAGGCATAACCGCGGTCACCCCAAGAGGTTCCCCAGCTGTTCCTGACAATGAAGCATTCCTGGGCAGGAAGAGGCCGGAGGAGCCAGGTTGATAGCAGAGTCTCATGATGTCTCCTATGGCTCCTGTGTCTAAGCAAAACCCCAAGCTCAACGGTTCCCGAAGTCCCGTCCTGCCGGTCATTGTAGCCCACGATAAGCATCGCATGCAGGCCGTGCTCGGAAGACTGGGGGTCCGAGGGATCCGGGGTCTTGATGCCACCACCCGGGAGAGGCTTGAAGAACCTCGAGAGAGAGAAACGGTGCTGCTGACAGTGCTATACATGGGATCGAGCCTCCCTGCTCGGGGCCAGGCTGGGAAGTCAACTTCAAGCCAAAGACGATCGGATGTCCTCCCACAACTTGCCAACAATATGAACCTCATAAACCTCGAGTGACACGCAAAAGCAAGTCGCCTTCTGCGAGACACTCTTTCATTGCATCCAAGTCGACAGGGATTTCCTTGGATGATTGGATGTACGTGAAAGCCCGAATTTCCCCCAATCATGTCCAAACAATCTCCCGTCGTAACCAGAGCGCCCTGGACTCGGCGACCTTGAAGCGGACCTGGGAGCGAACTTTAAATGAGCCAAGAGTAGAGTCCAAGTCATGGCCGGGCTTTGGAATGCAGGGATGGTGGGGAGGGGGTCTTCCACGGGTCTCCTCTTGGACTGGGGTTGCGGCAGCCTCATCAAAGCAGGAATCGTGGGGCGTGTCATTGACATGGCGCTCTGAGAATGGCCAGTTCTTCTCCAGGCAGGCCCCTTTCCTCATGGCATGAACCGGTCGCTGGATTCTGCAGGGGCCAAGCACGCGGTGGTGGCTAGTTTCAGCATGAAAACATCAAGCGAGTCAGGCTATTTCAGCTTAGCTTCACCTCCAGGGCACTAATGGCGCCTCCTAAGGTCATACCCTCGTCCTTCGGCTTAATCGTTGTGTCCTGTATGCGGCAGAATTGGTGCGCCCAAGAGTCCAATCAACAATATGCAGGACATCTGCAGGAGCTCCGTCCTCATGGAATATCACCTGATCCTTCTTGCGCCCGACATAGTAAATGAAAAGCCGCGAAATATCTGCAATGCTGTCCCCGGTTTGCATTGAATGACGCTTGTTGATGTACCTGCAGCTAAAAACGATTCTGGAGGTATGAGGCAAGATGGTCACCAGATGCTACCAGCTTGCCGTATGGTATCTATAATTCGAAATTAAGCGTATATGTATATATATATATATATACATATATGCACTATGTATGTCCACACCTCACGCGACTCAGGAGGGCACTCGTAGGCACCCGCCACAGCATTCGCGCAGCAGCTGTTAGTCTGAGCCTGGTCCTCGTGGTCTTAAGAGTTCAGACAGACGGCAGGCTTGAACTCTGATGGCGGAACGCGCAACCCAAGCAAAACCCATGTCCTCCACATGCGTCATGTATTTCCGCAGGTCGACCTTGTCCGGCACATCCTGCGATGGGATGTTCATTCCCACGAGAGATATGTAAACTGACCTGAAAGTCCCTTCACACTTCTGCCCTTCCTCATTAGTCGGGCGATACGCAGACACCTTCACGGGGCTCACTTGGTGGGGAACCATCCCGAACCTTGGGCTTCGAGCTGCTGTGATCTGCTATGTGGACTCGAACACGCTGAGTTATTGTGGCCTAAGGTGCTGAAAATTGTAAGACAATGCCAATGCTCGCATCCGGGGGGCGGAGCAAACTTCTTGCCGTCAACGACATACTTCTTGGTGCCCTGGCGAGCTGCATCAATCAGAAACGGGACCACCTGGCCCATGAGGTCCTCTGGACCCACCTGACACAGGCCAACAACATTGCGCTGCATCTATGTCTGTCTGCCTCTGCCGGCTGCTTCTCTTTCAGTCTTCTATCTCAATCTCTCTGCATCTGTTTGTACGTATACGGGCATGGTACGTAAACGGGCACGGTACGGGCATGGGCGAACGGTCAGCCAAGCAGGCAGCCATCGCACATTTGCACTGCAACTTCAAGCATCGAGGAATACGGCACAGTGCAGCCGGACCCCCCGCCCCCCCCCAAGGCCCGACCCCGCACCCCAACCTTGAACGAAGGGCCGGCGCCCATGCTGGCTGTCTAATGCAGCGGGCCTTCCCGCAAATCTGAATCTGAGTGCTCGAGCCGATCTTTCGCGGAAGGTCGGCGGCTGGCACTGATAAAGACATGAATTCAGATGACAGTTTCATGCTCTACATGAGCTGCAAACACAACAGCAAACTCCGCATGCCTCTGCACGCTGCTGGCGTCAGTGCCTGCAGAAACTCCACTCTCACCAAGGTGCCCTTAAAGGCACAGAAGTCCCTCAGCAGCCCGTTTGCGCATCCACTGTCAAAGAGTGTATGCCTCCGCCTAGAAGGAGCTGATGCTTCAAACACTCGGCAGAGCAATACTCAGACACCCGTCAACCGAACGCAAGGCCTCGACAGCTGAACGCCGTGCTGCCACGCATCCGGCATCCGCACGACCTACTGTACCATTACCCGCTGCTAGTAATGCAAAAGCTTGCTGCAAAGCAGAAGGGCAACGTTCTGAAAATGTTCTGTCCCCACGCACAGCTGTGAGTCGCGGGCTGCCCGTTGCAACCTCCAGCAAGGCATCGACCACGCAAAGACCTTGAGAGAAATCGAACTCGTGGAGACATTGAAGCTAGTCTCGCTCGCCTACTGCACTTAGATTTCACAAGTGCCGTTTCGCCGCCATCCATGTGAGCCGTCGGCACACCTGCACGGCACGTAACATGATGGCGGATGGCGACCACATGTAACCTGGCGTGACAAATCTGCGCCGAGAGGCGTCTGAACAAGCAGAGCAAGCTCTGGTCTCCTTCCCCCGGCTTCCCAACCCTTTTATGAACCGGGAATTGGCCCTGCCCTGTGGGACCTGCCCGAACCCCTTGGAGGAGCCGCAAAATCATGCCAAAACCCGATGCTGAAGGCCGTGGGCCCCTCCCACAGAGACCATGTCCAAAAACACAAAAATCACAAACCACCTCATCCCCTAAAACACCTCTGTGCGCTGACCCCCGCCCCCCCTGAGACCTTCCCGGCTGCCGAGGCGGCGTGCCGAAGCGTTTTACAATTGCATCGTTCCGACTTGACCAGACTCGCAGAGGATATGGCCTTGCCGGCTCCGCAGCCAAGGCTTCAGAGGTCAGAGGCCCTCGCCGAATGCCATGCTAGGCTAGCTGCTAAGCGTTGCCTATTGCCACAACCAGACTGCGCTGTCAAGGCCACGACTCTTGCAATGCATGTCGACTCGCTACCGAGCACTCTGCATGTCAAGCTGCTCCGAATAACTATCCTAGAAGCATGCCCCCCCCCCAGGCAGTGCAGCCCGAGCCAACTGGCGCGTGCAGTGACTGCAGCAGCGTGTAAACTCCCAAGCCATTTCAACAGCCCAAATGCACTGAAGCTGCTTCCCTCCGCGCACGAATCTGGGACGCAGAAAAATGTGAGCCTTTGATACTACATGGTATCAATACGATGTAAAGTTAGAAGGTGATTGAGAGACTCTTGACCAACTCTACAACTCTAAAGGCCTGGCAGCTACTTGCTGCTTGACCTCCTCGGAGCGCGTGTCCCTTGGCAAGTCAAGGTGCCCGTGTCTTGATTTTCTAAGGTTTCCTCACGGCCCACAGCAACATTGAAGAGCGACACCAGTGTAAAGTCACAAGCCTCTTGATGTTCTTCTGCTTGGAGCGCGTCTTGGTCTTCCTCCTCGACCACTCCTAAGCGAAAGATCTGGCTCCCTCTGCAAATCTCAAGGGCTAAATTGAAAGCTTCAAAGCATCCAGCCGTAGACTTTCTTTTCGCTGCAATGCGGGCTGCTTTGGATTGATGGTCGGTTTATGATATGAAGCAAGTATGGCCTGTGAAGGCAACTCTAGCGTGCTGCCAGCTTGTTTGTTGTTCTCCTAGCGCTTAACAAGCACTGGGATAGGGGCTGTGCACTGACAGCTGGCATTGCGGGCAGCACACAATGAGGCTGATGTTCAAAACTGAAGCGCGAGCAGAGTCACAACTAGTGCTCGCGACGGACAGGGATGCGTTTTACACCAGCTACGGGGCACTCCAAAGCAGTGCCTCGTAGTTCCACGCGAAAAAGGTTGACATCAAGCCCTAGAAGCAGGCGACGCGATCCAGAAAACCAGCTCTCGAACTTCAGCAGCACGTGGAGCAGACAAGAAGGCGGAATTCCAAGTTGATGTTCAGGATTCAGGGCGCTGAGCAACTACCCCCAGTGCTCGTACCGGTGACGAAGCTGTTGGATCAGTCGGCCTCTCCCTCGGGCCTGTCGGTAAAGTACGCGGCCTGACACTAGCTCTTGTCAGACACCGTCTCAACGCCTGGATCAAAAGGTTCCTCAGCTTCGCCGGCAACTGTACATACCTCGAAATGACAGCGTCCGAACGCACACGCCAGAAAATGAACCAGCATGAAGCATCACCAAAGGTACTGCGCCCTAGTACCCTAGAGTGAGATCAAAATGCTCCGGATAAAAAAGGCGTGAGCATCTCCCACAGGATACTGCCAGGGGTGCCTAGCTGATCGGAATTGTAGCACCTTCCATGCTCCAGTTCGCCAACACAAAACCTACAAAGCACAATAATCGCTTAGTCAAGCAAAATTGGGTCCAGTATGGTTCGGGCATCTTGGAAAAAGGCTCCTCCAGTCCTTCCTTGTTCACATGTTCTCTTGGACATTCTTGCCCGAACCACGGAACCGAGGCGATGAACAGCAGATCTCGCATGCGGTATTCTGGCGACCGCTGCACTGGGCAATAATCGTTGCTGGTCCATTTAAGACATTCAAGCAAGTTTACCACCACCCGCGCGGGGCCCCGTGATCACTGTGATCTCCCTGCTTACTCTGAATTTACCCAGTCCAGCAGCCAGGGACGCCTCTACGCCCACAAAAGGAAGCACCGTCCCAAGCAGGTTGCTCTCTAGTCTCGCTAGTTCCCCTGCAGACTCTTGTCATACTAAAGTCTCTTCCCCAGTGATTCAGGCCGATGATATCACAGAGTCAGTCGCGCTCGCAGGACAACCCACGGCCTACTTGCTTATTCCGATGTGATTGCTATTCATGGGCTACCGACCATGCTGCCGACACTAATGGCGACTGCTTAGCCAACTTAGGCCGACCACCGACAACTTTTGCAGGTAACCTGCTCTGACGCTGGCCCACCAGCGCCCCGCCGACGGGACCAGAAGTCGCGCATCCCTGCCATCCAGAGGATGGGGCTTCTCCCTTCTGCTGATGGGGGGGAAGTTCAGGGAATACAACTCTCAGGACCGGATGAAAGCTGGGACAACTCAAGGGCAAGCCTTGCACGGGATGTACTAAGGACTGTGATTCTGAAGCCATTATATTGAAAGCACCTGATATCCTTCAACCCACAGACAAAGCGCGCACTGCCCGGCGCATGAAAGCCCTGCAATCTGGCGTAACTAAAGCAAAAGCCACCATTTGCCCTAAACCTTAAACCCCAAACCCCAAACCCTAAACTCTAAACCCTGTCCCCCCCCCCCCCCCCCCCCCCCCCCCCCCCCCCCCCCCCCCCCCCCCCCCCCCCCCCCCCCCCCCCCCCCCCCCCCCCCGCCTTCCGGGCGTCTGCTCGGCTCGGCATCCCAGGAGCAAAAGATGCCACGAGCTTCCCCCAGTCAGATGTTGAACCCGATGAAACGAGGAACTCAGGGGAGAACCAACAACTTGATGCTTCCTGATAAATTTGAGGCTTCCTGACACATTCATGTGATACATCATATGATACAACACATGATACATCATGATACATCCTTTCCTGATCCTTTCCTGCCTTCTGGGATGGCAAGGCGTCTCCTGAAGAGAAGGAAGCATGTCCACACCCGTTGCGCCCGTTTCGCACTAAATTGGCACAGGTTAGTCTGTACAGGGTAGCAGCTACAGGTCAAGTCAAGTGCGTGAAAACCCTTCGTGTTCCAGCTATAGCAACCAGGACCTAAGGCGCGACAAGGTGCGGAAGCACTCACATAGCAACAGAGAACACTGCGTAGTGCTGCATGTCGTCGCAAAAAGGAAGCAGAGCCCACTGTGCTGCAGGGCATCATGCGCAACAGGAATAATTGGCAAAGCTGTGCCGGAAACAAAGCTGAGTGTCCAAATGCGTCACCCCATGCCCCGTGCGTCGTCCAAATATCCCTGTTGCAAGCATGGCGGCCGGGGCTTCAGTGCATCACCGCACTTTCGGAACTAACTGCAATGGAGGATGTTTTGTCAGAAACATCCTGAAGTCACCAGCCGCTCTACTGTTGCCATTTCTAGGCGGGCTTTGCAGACTCAGCATCATTAGAAGGGCGAACCTCCGAAAGTGGTAACGGTAAAGGTGGGTTGAGCTGTGCCTTACAGTACACACAACTGAGTCTGCAAACTCCAGAGCTCACGAACTGCTCCATGTGGAGCCCGCGCTAGATGGCAACAGCTGCTTCTGCATATTTTTAATTTGGGAAGATTTTTTTGGCAGGCGTTCTCGCTCTGGCTTTTTCTTTGTTTTTGTGGCAAGTCACTTGCCAGGATTTTTCGGCTCAGTTTCTGTTTTTTTCTTTTTCATTTTCTGGCACAAGGTTGGAGCATCTCGTCGTCAATGATGCATCTGATGCAAGCCCACCTGCAAGAAGGCGTATCAACCATAAATCTCCTTTACTCGCAAGCACAATTGCCAGCACACGGCCTGTGAAAGCAGGGCCTGCATTTTCTGCCATCGTTCCAGGCCTCAGGAATGGAGTCCAACTAAACGCCTTGTATCACTTTTGATGCCTAGTCAGCGACATACAGAAGCTCTGCAAGCACTTGGACTGAGCCCCGGAGTAGACTCAGCAGACATATGTGGACATCTAGCCGCGCCTTCTGGGTCCACTTTCCATCGGTTTCGCTCTCGGCGTAGGTGCTTGCCGCGACATTGCCCTCCCAGGGCCGTTGCAATCCGTTGCTTAGTTAGCCGGTGCCGCGGATCACGAATAAGAGACTTGAACGTCAGGCGTGTTGGATTTTAGCAGCAAACTACCAGTTCGTAAACAAACACAAAGTCAGATGGCATTGAACTCAAACAAAATGAGAGTCGAACTCCGACCGTTCGGCACCTGACAAACTTCGATTGGCTGGCCTCGAGTGAACACTGGCTGCAGGATGGCCAAGCAAACAAAGTCACAAGCGTGGTACCTTGGCGACCACATCTGGCTCCGCCAACACATTTCGTGGCACCGAAGGCAGTCACTGCCAAATTCATCCGGAAGCTACACTTTAATCATGGGATCCAGCAGGAACTATGATTATAACGACGAACACGCCGACCAAGTAGCCAGTGCTCTGTGGACGTCGACTCCCAAGGTGTAAGCAGGCCATCGCTCCATCGAACCTCTGCAGGGGTGAACACGGTTTGCTTGCTGGACGTTGGGGCCAGCAAATTGTCTTGCTCTTGTTCTCGTGTTTACTCAGTTATACTCAGTTACTGCGCCACGTAGCTGTGCAAGCGCTATGCAATGCCGTGCACATGAAGGGCAAGCGACTGAAAACTTTGCATTACATCCTCCCCCATATGCAGTAAAAAAGAAGCGGCCATGAGCCTCGCAAAGCTGCAGGGCGAAGGAGCTGACGCCGTCCCGCCGATGCAGGAATGGGGCCGTCCAGCCATGCTTGGGCACCACCTGCATCCAGCAACATGCAACAATGCAAACACCTCTGGAAGCATGAAGGCAGCAGGCTTCCGTCACATAGCATGGCAGTCGTGTCTGCAAAACTTTGCACATGGAAGATGGTGTGATTGGTGCCCTGTGCTCTGCACTGCTCTGCCTTCTGGAGGATGCCGACTGCCAGCTCACCATCTCGAAGAACGATCACCTCAATGTCAGCCCATTGCCGATCGGGTAGCTGACAAAGCGCTCGCTTCCCCGCCTCCCTCACGGTACTTACAGTCTGTATATATATATATATATATATCTCTCTCTCTATGTACATTTGTCCATTTTTTATAGTACCCCCTAAGCTGGGAAAACGCCCCAGCCCGGACAAGTTGCTTTTGATATCTTTTGCCAAGGCGGCCAAGGAACTGCAACAGGCTGCGAGGGAGCGGCCGCTGGCATCGTGTTGCATGGTGTGGAAGTCTCCATAAAAAGCTCCTGAGAGAGCTGAAAAGAGAGCGTTCATGTTCATACTATTCATATGCAGACATGACGTCAAAGAGAGCTTGTGATGCGCGGTGAAGCGCGGTGCCCAGCCTCCAGCGCTTCGGCTCCGAGCTCCGGAGTGTCCTCGCCAGAGGCCTGGGCTTCGGATCCCGGAGTCCGGAATATTCGTGGAACTGGAATGCCCTGTTCATCTCTGTTCACTCTATTCCAATCTGAGCTACGAGAGCCGATGCAGAGAGGCGCTGGGCACGCTGGAGCTCGTAGGCTTGCAGGAGGCCTGTCTGGGGAGGCTGCAATCTCAGCTTGCTTGCTAATGGCATTGCTAAACTCTTCGCTTAGCTCGCTCTCACCCCACCCTCGGCTCGGAAGGCACACAACTCAGAAGCGACCATGCCCCAGCTCCGAGCCCCGCACGCGTTGCTGCCGGCAACTGCGGCGCCTTTTGAAGGGGCTTGTCGCTGATTCTTTGGTGAGGAGGCTTCCGGGCCAGTAAGGCCGTATGACGTCTCGAGGCGTCTTGATATGTCTTGATGCGTCTTGATGCGTCTTGACGCGTCTTGCTGCTTCTTGGTGCTTCTAGCGAGAGGCGGAATCACCAACTCAGCCGATAATGCGACTAAACCATTCATGTCTTGGGGTTCTGGGGGGCTAGCGGTATCGGAAAAGGTCTTGGGCTCTGTGGGCTGGGTTCATGTCTGCACCCAGTGTTAAGCCACTAAGTCAAGCTCGCGACGCAGCTGTTCATACTTGCCCTTGAATAAACTTGAGCAGACACCCGCAGCTACGAGTATCTTCCGTTGATTTTCTTCTTCGGCCGACTCCGACTCCAGACATCCAGGGATCGGACCAGCTCGCTGGGCATGACCCCAAAAGCCACGGACGTCTCGCACGTGGTGGTCGGGTCAAGAACGGACAGTCCACCTTGGACGAAAACAGACAAGCCCCTTGCAGCACAACTCCCATTCCTGAGCCGGGATGCCATAAGCCTCATCGGATGCGTATTGATATGCATCCTGCAACAGCCCAGCCGGAATTCCGACCAGGAAGGGCATGCGCAGCAACCCTAGCAAACAGACCACAGCCTCGTAGGCTGGGAGAGGCTCAAAAGCTGTGCTCATGCCATCCTTGTTTTGGCTTCGGTCCGGTTCTCTCACTTCAGATGCTGAGCTTGCCTCATTTTTGGAAGCCCAGCGGCAGGCCCCATGCAGAAGGACAGGGTCCCAGAGCTTGCGCCAGGCGTAGCAAAGCGGTCAAAGAAAGCTGCCAGCGCGCTCAGCAAGGCTCGGCCAGATCTCTCCTGGATGTGAATTTGGCATCATGCTTCTGCTGTGAACCACCATCACGTGCAGGGCAAGCGAACAGGATCGGCCTACCCTGCAGAAGAATGGGCAGCAATGGTGCTGAGAGCAGCCCTTGCGAAATCGCAACAAGTTGCCTGTTCCTACTAGGTGCAGCTCTATTAACTGTTCTTGCAGATGGGGCCGACAGCCGAGCCGTAGAGTCCGTAGAGTCCTGCTTGGACTCTTCGTTCACAAACAGGGTGCATCGAAGCACCTTGGATCAAAGATCGCCGACACGCACTATGGTATGTGCCATGATACTGTGAGGCATGCCGGGCCACATGCAGCACCATCAGTGTCCAGACAACTGTGGGATACCCGCCTTCCTGCCAGCCATTGCCAGCTGCAAGAAGAGAACAAGACATGTGACAGGGCAAGCACGCCAAAGCACATTTGAATCACGGTTTCTCAAACCTCTTTCCTCAGCCTCCTAAGCCAAGCTTCCCTCAAAACCCTCTGCACATGCCAAGCTTGCCTTCGGCACAGGGATATTCCGGCGCCGCAGCCACCACTTGATGCACCGCAGCGCCGTTGCCTACTACAGCTCCATGGAGACTCCATGCCCCCCACTTGTTGAATTGCTCTGCCAAGTCTGAGGTTGAACCTGCGGACCTACTGGCCACTCAGCAAACAGCGCAGGCACGACACCTCCAGGCCGCTACTCCATTCATCAGTCTCACCCTGCAGGGGCAAAGGGAGCTTCTCGACGGGGTCCGCGGCGGCTGCATAGGGGTCCCAGTGCCAAAGGCTCTTGAACCACAGCCTCAGCTGCAGCACTCCATGCTTTTTCGATGCATTTCTAACACTTTTAGACCAATCCGTCCACCTGACTTTGCACATCGTTTGCACGCACAGTTTCCAAGGTTAACCAAGCAGCACATGCCACTCGCCCAGCGGCTGATCAATTGTAAGGTCCTTTCAAAAATCGAGGCCAGCTGTTGCTAGTTGCCTGGGCCATACTGGCCATGTGCCCATCAAGAGCTCAAACTACTTGATCATGCCAACCCATAACTTCGGGCGAACCATATTTGCCATCAGCTCGGATTGGCAAGCAGGCTGGCCGAACGCATTGGCAGACAAAACGTCACAACTGGTGCTGGCACTGCTCATGGTTTGATCAAGAAGTTCTGTGGAGTCGACGGCGTTTCATGTGCAGACAGGCATCCAAGGAGAGGCGCCCATCTGCCGACCTTGTCATTGTGTTGGCGTTCAGGAGATATGGGACCGAAGTGGTGACCGTCGACATTTCTGACTCGGGGCTTTAAGGCTTTTGCTTTTTCGACTCAGGCGAGGTGACTCAGATGCACTTTCCTTCCTGACTTGACGGTCAACAGCCACACACAACAGCCAAAAGCTGCCCTGAGAGTGCTGCAGGACCGTGAGGACGGGGACGCGCGCGCAATCCACGAGCTGCAGTTTCAGTGCCTCTGAGCTTCGACAGGAGCTTTCAAAAACTAACGACACACGATGCTCTAATGTTCCACTATCCCACTCTGCGTAATTGGGCCCTTTACCGACTTTATCAGCCCATGTTCGTACATACATCCAACGTCAGCGTCAGTTGTGATGCAGGCCATGCCGAGATGCCGGGTCTTCGAGCGCCAGGGCCTCCGTCACTTGGCGGAGGGCCTCGATGGGATCGGGAGCTGGGTGTTCCATGCCGTCTTCGCCGTAGCTGCTGCCTCGGATGTTCGAGGCAGCGCTCATTGTGTGTTGATAAGAGCTGGGTCATGAAAAAACCCACGTCCACGCATCACAAAAGCCGCCTGGCATTCTTGGCAGCAGCACGCACTCTCTTTCACTGGCGCCGTGCCATGCTGTGCTCCTCTGACCCTACCAGCACCCTCACCGCCCTCACTTCTTGCCTTTCTTCTTGCCGCCCTCCTTCTCCTTGGCTTGGGAAAGCTTCTCTGCGAGAACCTGTCAGGTTCAAGGTTTCCTCCGCAACATTCAAAACAAGGCCAAGACACTCTGAAGACTCAAAGCGGACCTGCTTCACGCACTTCTGCTCTTCGATCAGGAAGGCCCGCACGATGCGTTCGCGGACGCAGTGCCTAGCCAGTCCGCTCCGGTTACTGCAGGATACTAGCGCGAGAAACTTTGAAATAGATTCAAGCTGATTCAAGACAAGACTCGCACAGCGAGATCCTCCATAAGCTCGGTTGACGCGCTTCTCACGCTTCTTCAAGCGGGAATACCTGGTGTTCAGCTTGCTTCCGCCCTGTGACTGAGAGCATTGCAGTAGTTGCAGTCCCCTTGGGGCACTCGATGGGGCGCAATCGAGGAAGTCCGATCAGTGCCTTGCCACCTCAGATGCCCATGGAGATTGGGATTCGAAATAGGGGCATCCAGACAAGCTCAGCAGCTTCACACGAGGCAGTTTTCATCGGTGAAACGGCAAAGCAGAAATTAGCTGCGCGGCAGTCGCCACAGTGAGGGCCCTTGGCCTTTTTCCTCGGCTTCTTGGGGAAGGTGGGGAACGCCAAGCAGTGCCAGGTCAGCTCAGCGTTGCTAGGGCACGCAAATCAGCGGCAGCGGCAGCACATCGTAGCCGCAGCTAGTAGCAGCCAGTGGTTTCCCAATATCAGCTATGCAGTTAGCGCGCAGCTGTCGTGCACTTGTGATGGCCCAGCTTCTTGATGGCCTGGTAGACGGCTCGGCCCCCCGGTGTCTTCACAACTCTCCTCAGGGTCACCATGACATGAACACTACGATACACTACGGTACACGTACTACATTACACTAGGTACAGGTCACTACATAATCCTTCACGTCTTCTTGGTTCGGCCATCTCTCTTGGTGCCAACTTCCCTGAGTGGCCGGCTGTTTGTTTGACTTGGTATTGTAGCCTTGGCTCCAAGTTACTTTCATTTGCCGAGACGAGTCTGTGCAACACAGCATTGGCCATCGCCGCGATGCCGCTAGGATTCCACAGGCCAGGATTGAAACTAAGAAGTTTTTGAAAGTAGACAGGGGTGCCTGTTGCAAATAGCACTTTCACCACTCCAGGCCAGGCAACGGCACTGCCGGCGATAGGTGAGGCGAAAGGCCATGGTGGCAGGACGGCGAGCCCCAGTGTGTCCGAGCCAAAGCTACCGGAGTGTTCTATGTTCCACGAGACACACCGTGTTCGAACAATGCTTCACAGGCATGCGCAGAGCTATGTATCATCCAATGTCATGTTTCGAATATCGATATTCATGTGAACCTGATTACTAGTATGCTTTTGTGAGTGCAAGGGTGTGAGAAAGAGAGTGTGTCTGTGTGTGTGAGAGAGATGAGAGTGTGGGTGCAAGTGCCCGTGTGCGCGTGTCGGCGTGTGCGCTTGCGCGTGTGCGCTTGCTGTGCATGTGTGCATGCGTGTGCGTGCATGCATGCGCGTGCGCATTTTCATGGCCAGACCTGCTGCTCGTAAGTCTCAATGCTCAAGCTGAGATTATATATTTGTCTGGCGTTGGTCGTGCAAAGCTGCTTTGCATCACGCTATTGCAAACAAGTTGCAGGTGTAGACTACCACATCCAAGTCAGAGTCAGGCGTATCAATTCGCAGCGCGGTGCTGCCAATAAGCGCCAGCCTTTCTGTGCACATGGCATCAGCACGCAGGCAACGTGGCAGCATGCACGAGGAGGCAGTTTTGCGCTTGTTTCCTTGCGGCTGGCTTTCACAGCTCGTGGACTGTCACACATCATCCTACTGACTCAACATCGAAGCAAGCTCAAGGGATTCGGCCACAGTGACTAACCCATCCCTTCCTTAGACCTGCACCACAGATGCGTATGCATGGTGTGAAGCCTCTGGAAGTGGTTCCCAAGCGCCACTTGCGAAGCTCCTTGGAGGTTGACATGTCACGGCATGCTCCAGCACGCGCGGCACGGCAACGCTGAGCACAAAGTGTCAATATGTTAATGTTTCCGCACCCCCGCCGCAAGGCTACAGTCACATCATGATATGGTCAAAACGCGCTCCCAAAACCAACAGTGTCGTCTCGACTTCATGTCAATGTGGGCTTCACAGGTCAACCAGGCTGCTGTGAACTACATCAAAGAGCTTCGCTCTGGCAGGATAGCGCGCGATGGCCGCACTTCGAATGAAGTCCACGATGCCTGCATGGTTAATTCTTAACCGGACATGACTTGTGCATTTATTGGTCAGCAAAGGAGAACAAGAGCATGCTAGAATCTGTATCAAAAAGGTCGAAGTGAGAATTTCTCAGCCCCTTTACGCTCATCGCATGGCAAGATTTGCCAAGTTCTTTTTCTGGGCAACATTTCTTTAGATTCGAATTCCCCTTTTGGCCTGTGATACTCGATTCCGCAGAGCGCGCTCGGGGCATCGGGCCCGGGCTGCCTCCGGAGCTTCGCAGCTAAAGCGGCCCAAGCGTGCATTTGCGATAGCAGTTTTGTCTGGGTGACTCGAGGCTCGAACCTCCCGAGTCACTGCAGGTGGTAGAGGTCTCCTCCTTCCACAGGTGTATTTGGCGCTGGCTTGTTCCATAATGCCCTCTTGTGTGCAAGACTTTGAACTTTGGCTCGCGATGATCTAATTGCTCTTCCGGCTCAGCACAGCGTGACAGCATGGACATGGCAACGACATGCTACATCAGCTTCTGCTACAACGTTGAAGCACCGAGCCTTCTCATCGGGACAAGAGGTTCCTGGATAAAAAACATCGTAGACGGCTCCGTCAGGTCCAATCAAAGTCTCGTCCCCGTCTGTCCTGACCAAAGCACCATGTTTGCACGAGATGCCCCCAGAAACATGAAACCACTTTGCTGCCTTACGGATCTTTGATGATCTTTGCCTGGACTTCAGTCGTCTGTACAAAGTTGTGCAATCGAGCCGTTCTCAGCTAGCTGGTCCCCCCACGGGCCACACCGTGTCTGGAGTCTGGGCCAAGAATCGGGCTCTGCTCCCAATCATCTGGCTTCTCGAAGTTCTCGCCTCATAGCTCGGTCAGCAAAAACAAGGACTAGCTCGGACTGACTTGACCAACATCGTTTGTGAAGAGCCTGTCCAGGACCAGTCATCCGGCTGACACCTGGGCTGCGTGGTGGTCTTGCTTCCAACATCCTTCAACCCAAATAGCGACAAGACGGGCTGCTACTCCTTGCCGTGTGGAGTACCGACACTCCACAACCCTTGAGGTCTTCAGATGAGTGTCGGCACTTGCCGGCTTGCCTCTGCAGCCTACAGCACAGGGTTGCGGAAGGCTTGAGGGGGTTGAAGCAGTCCCAAAGGTGCGTTTGTTCTTGTTTTGTTGTCACCGCCTGAAGTTGACCGAGAAGTAACCCGATCACTTTCCGTCCATGACATGACTCACCTTAGGCTTCAAAGAGGCATTGCGCCAGCGAGCCACCGACACTCAAGAACGTTGGCTGGCTGCCTATTCAGCTCTTGATGCTGGCTGCGTGGCATTGTTCCAACGCACAATTGCACTCGAGGCCAGCCTGAACAAGGGCCGGGCTCAAACACGCGATGCACACGCTGGACTCAAGGGACCAAGTCCTGCGGCACGATGATCTGCATGTCGAGCCGAGATGTCGCCGAGTAAGAAAGCCAAGTGCACCGAGGCTTGGTGGGCTCAGAACTGTGGACAAAGCCTCTTCTGAAGGTGTCTCGTCGTCTGGCTTTTACCGAAGTCTGGTGATAGATGGGGCCTTCTTTGGTTGGGTGGAGCTTCTGCCATCGAATCTTTGCTGTGGATTTCAGCATTGAGGCTTTGTCCATGAGTTCTTCTGAACGCTGCGTCTCTCTTCCAGGTTTGGTCCAAAATGACTTCGCAAAGCAACTTCCGCCTGGTGGGCAAACGCCGGGGGATTCGGTGATATGTGGCGACGAAGAGAATGAAACTCGCTTCTTGACTTTTTTGTCCCACCCGCTCCACACTCCAAGGAAGCAGCATGAGGTTCAACGGTTAAAGCGTTGGCAGCGAAGCCACCTACAAGAAGCGGAGCGGAGGAGCCTGTGTCTTCGACAACATGCCCGCCATCCCCTTCGTCGTCACTCTTTACGAGTACTCAAGATGATGTTAACCCCCTGTCGGCTTTGGACGGGTTCAGGTCGTGTAAGATGTCTCCGCACGACTAATCCAGTCCTGTGGGGCTGGTCCTTAGTGTATTCCGACAGGTCAACAGCAACAACCCTAGCAATCCTTAGTACGTAGGAGTATCCTTGGGCAAGCAAAATTCTCAACTTGGAAACCGGACACCACACTTTCATGCGAGAACCCTGAACTGGCAACAGATCGAACTCTATATTCTGCACGATACAGCCATCTCGCATCCGCGGCTCTCAGCAGCTTGCAAAAGGCGCTGCCGCAGCGATTCGATGTATTTTGCCTGCAAGGATCCATCCTTGAGGGCTCACTGCGTTCTACGATGCTTTACGGATTCTACGGGGCAAGGCAGGCTTTGTCACTGCGCCTCCTCAGCAGGTCCACCACAGCGGTGCGAGATGGGCACCTCCTCATGGGGCAGTCCATGTCCGCTTGGAGTGACTTCGTGAGTTTTCAGGTTCGACGCCTATAGTCGAAACGCATCCACAGCCCAGGCAACTTGAATCGGCGCCTTGAAGATTTGCAAGGTCCATTTCCTCAATTGGCATTCCAGGCTGGGGCAACTGACTTCGTCTTGGTCAAATCGCCAGCTGCTGTGATCCGAGCTGCCCAACGCGGCCTGCAACGGCAGCACCGCCGTGCCAGGAAGCCGGATCCGGCATGAAACGGTCGCCCTCCGTGCGCAACGTGAAGAAGCCTCGGAGTGAGACCGAGCGTGCATCTGCGGCACCGGATATGTCCGATAACCAAGGAGCAGAGGGCTGCTCCTCGCTGCGGCGCCACCCTGCTCTGCTCTTGGGGTGGGGAAGGCGACTTTTTCTGGGTCGTGTTTTTTGGGGGGGCAATGTGTTCTAAGAGTATGTCTAAGGCTCTGCGGTCCCGCCTCAGCCCGGCAAGGCTTCCACTCGCTCGCCGCACCAGCTCAGCAGCCTCCCAAAAGCTCATCGGATCGGACTGTGGATGTTACCGCGCTCTTCGTTCATTGCTTCTGTTTTTGAGAAACATCACTTGCCGTTCTGGGAACCTCCTCGCCCAGTGTCTCTGCAACACCAGAATGGCTGGTGTGCGTGTGGCCTGCACCTGCCAGACATGTCAGTGACATGTCGAAACATGTTGGACAGGTGTGCTGACACCCTGGTCTGGTGAAAAGCAGCGTGGCCTCTGCCTAGGTCACACACACACACACACACACGGATTCGGAAACCATGATCACACGATTTGAAGACTGAGCTTTAGAACGGTGATAGACTTGAGACCCAATTCACCCCAATTCGGACGCGATGATGCCCTGACCCGGATGCTGGGCGGAGTACGTGCGGAATCACGGTAGTACATCGGGAGCCGGTTTCTGTAGCTGCTTCAACATGAAACATGGCAACGCGCTCCTGCCAACACTTCCCCCAAACCCAGGCAGCGCGCCACTTCCTCGCAGGCCACGAGTGTGCTTTGAATGGCGCGGGTTGGCAGCAACAAGCTCCGCGAAAAAATGCGTATGGTCAAGTCTTAGGGCCCCTAAGGGGCCAGACATCTCTTCAAAACATCTCCACTGCTCTGGCCTCATTGTCTTCCTCACACGCACATGGCGCCGCACAAGGAAAAACAGTTCGGCCACCTTTCTCCACCTTGAGTTGCACGGCACAGGAGTCACTGATTCATCAGTGTGCAGGCTTAGCTTCTACTGCTTCTCCGACTTGATCAAGCCTGCGCTGCAACTTCCTGCCTCGTTCAAGTAGAGAATGACGGAACAGGCACAGTGGGGAAAGCCACCATTCACGTCCAAATGCAAGCCGATGCTCAGGTCATCCCCTGGAGTTTCAGACTGACACGCACGACTTGCAAACCTCAGTGCTGACATACTCTGACATACTCTGACATACTCTGACATACTCTGACATACTCTGACATACTCTGACATACTCTGACTATTCCGGAGTTCGGGGGAACCTGCCTTGTGCATGTACATCTGTTCCGGAGGGTGCAGGGAGATCAAATTTGAGGAATGGATTGATCTCCTTGGCAACACAGATCACTGCACACCCTGCGCTGCATCTTGACCCCAACGACGCCCCAGTTGCTTTCCCAAACAAACTGTTCATGATGGCCTCGGAGCGTGCTGAACACCGAAGCCGTTGATCCAAGACGCCGGCTCATGGATCGGGATGCCGGTGAGGTTTGCAACCTAGTCAATGCTGTTCACACAGCTGCAGGATCGCAAGTAGTAGTTTGTCTGGGAACACGCACTTCCCCACTAGCAATGCTGCCAAATTGGAAAAAAAAAAAAAAAAAAAAACATGCTGCCCGCATCATGATTGACCGATTGAACGACCCAAGGTACTGACAGGAGTAGGCATATGGTTGTTGGATGATTCCACTGTGCACGATTGCATCCTTTTCGGCCACTGAAAGGGGGTTATCAGTGGTCCCCCCGACAACGAAGAGAAAGTCCCGACAGTGGCCACGAGGGAACTACCGCTCGTCAAGCAAGGAACTTCCGAGCACACTCGTAAAGCCGTAAAGCCACAAGGGCAACTCTGAGTTGCAACAATTTCAAGACTGCAACATGGAAGTGCCTTCAGCACTCCCTGCTGAAAAGGAGTATGCTGGTTCCCACACCTCACTCACCCACTCACTCACTCCCTCACTCACACACTGGCTCCGCGTTCACGTGCATAATCGGCCACCACGTCACGCGCTGTTGCATCTCTGACATTAGCTCGTGGTCCTCGCCAGAAAGCTGGCTCACCTGAGGAGGCAACTGGACGCGATGCTAGGGGTGTCACTTTTCATGCATCACTTGGGAAGGATTTGGGGCACACCTTCGAAACTCTTACTTTCCAACATGCCCATGAAAATCTCCGGACGATCAGCCATCTTGGAATGGTCCTATTTGATCCTTCTTGAGTCGTGGAAACCAGGGTGAAGATTGTGTTTAAGATTTGTTTTCGTTCAGCCCTTGTTTTGGGGTCTGAGTTCTCTAGATTTACTAGGAGCAAAGCAAGCTTGAAAGGCAAGCCTTCGACAATCACCCCAGCAACGTCGTCACATCATGCTAGTGGTGTGGCGCTCTCACCTTCCGAGACCGATCTTAAGCTATCTCGAAAGCCTCTTGCAGCCACGCATGTAGATTAGCTGATGTGCGCGATGTTCACTCACCGTTTGTAGGTGCCTCTAGGGAGGCGGTGGCGACGCCGCGGATGCCCTCCCCAGAGGCCTCGCCCGTGCGCTGCATCTCCTGTGCATTGAAAGCTTCAACCGGAGCACCCTGGCTTTCCATTCGTGCGATCTCTGCGGGAATTTGCGTACCATGTTTTGATATGTTTTGCACATTTTGCTGTCCCATGTGCTGCCAATCTGAGCCAGGGCATCACAGACAAGATCATTCAGAGCTAGTTAGTAGAGTGGATGCCCTTCTCGGCACTCCCGACCTGTGCGTCCTCGTTGTGACGCCTCGGTGTCACAAGTACCGTTATGGCATGTTGTGCTTGACCGGGGCTATGGGCTTCTTCCTTCCCCTTCCCTCTCTATCTATTTCTTTAATGGGGATTGGGGGCCGAGAACCCCGCGCTTCCCTCTCTCTCGCTCTTTCTTAAGCCTTCTTGCGCTCGATACATCTGCAAAAAGCTTCACTCCACCTGCAGGTTCGGAAGCCCAGTTCGATGAGCTTGGCACACTCCTTCGGGCTGTTCGCTTCAGGAAGTGTGGATGTCACATACTGTCGATTCACGTCAACAAGCTCGTGACCACTTTGTCCCGCGTCTGAACTCTTCTTTCAAGTCAACTCCAAGGCAAAGGGATCCCAAAACAGTTACCAGTACCACGAGTTCGCCTCGGGATCTGGTCTCCCCCCTTCCCAACCCCTCAAAGGAACTTTCTGCACACCGCCACCCCCCCACCCTGCCCTGTGGGACCTGCCCAGATTGCCTCGCAAAAAGCACGACAAAGGTCAAAACGTTCTGGGACGACCTCCTGAACTCATGACGTGCGCGGTGATGCACATTGCTGCACCACATGGCATTGGACTTGGCTTTCCTTCGCCTGCGATGCGCACGCGGCCAGCCCGGCTGCAGAGGCGGCGCGCAAGCGTTTACAATTACCAAGCTGTCCTCCGCACTGGCGAAATCAGGCACAAACACGGCCAAGGGTGACTCGCCTGGGCCAAAGACTGGAACTACTAAACTACTGCCCTGCCAAAGCAATAGCTCGCAAACTCAGCAAATGTACAGGTCAAACTCTACTGGTTTCGTTACACTTTTCTCAAGCCCCATGAAGAAACACAGGCGACTGCTGCAGGCCAAGGCTCTGCACAAGCAGGCCCCGCTTTTCTGGAGGCTAGGCAGAAGCAGAGAGACCTGAACAGCTTCACGCACCTTTGAGCGAGCCCAGAAAGCTGAATACTGGATGTGAGCGGCTAATTTTACAGCCAAAACATCCTCACAAGCATCTACCAAAGCAAGAGCCGGTGATTCTCTCTCTCCCTCCTCCTCCTCCTCCTCCTCCTCCTCCTCCTCCTCCTCCTCCTCCTCCTCCTCCTCCTCCTCCTCCTCCTCCTCCTCCTCCTCCTCCTCCTCCTCCTCCTCCTCCTCCTCCTCTTCTTCTTCTTCTTCTTCTTCTTCTTCTGGCTCTCTCCCTCTCTCTCTCTCTCTCTCGTTTCCTTCTTTCTTTTTCTTGGGGCTTGGGGGTTGCCCAAATCCTCGCCGCGGCAACAAAACCATGAAAGAGCATGAATCACAGTATGAACAAAGGCCTGCAGTGGCCGTGCAGGCTGTATGCCCTGCAGGCTTGACGCAGACTTGGCATTTGCGGTCCACACACCTCGCCACACCAAAAACGCACATTCTCAAGGCGGAACTCGAAACTGCTCGATTGCAACCTAGATGCGTCGGAAATCCTGCTCCCATGTTCCCCAGCCTCCGGACGATTGAGCACTTGCTTAGCTTTTAGGAGCTTGAAGTTGCTCGCTCTGGCTTGCTCTCGACACTCAGCGAATGGGGATCTGTTGTTTAGAGTCTACTGTAGCCACCATTGATTCGCATGCAAGCCCAAGCATCAAAGCAAGCCTTGATCAGAGTAGAACAAGCGCTCGATGTCCTCTCGCTTGGGCTTGGCCTTCACAGGCCCGCCTTTAAAATCTTTCAATCGGCGACGCGACGGCCTGGCACTCTTTGGCTCGAGCCTTCTCGGCCTCAACTAAAAGGTCTTCCAGCTGCTTCTTCAACTTGGTCTCATTTTCCTCAAGTGCAAGTGGGTCATGGCCAGTCTCTGAATGACCAGATTAGCAAAGGCCAAAGCTCCTGCGCCTGCCGACAGACAACCTCCAGCCGCGCCTGTGCCAATCAGTGGCAAGGTTGTTCATCTGGACGCTCTAGCAACTCGAGCAGCTTGCCAGCAAAGCGGCGAGCACCGAGCGAAGACTACATTCTGCATCTCCAGGTTTAGATTAGCGCCCCCCACCACCCCCTTGTCCAACAGCAGCATCATTGGTGGCCTCCATGGAGGGGTGCCTTGGGACTTGACCCCTGCGGGTTTGGCTGATGATTTGTGGAAGGGGAAGAGAATGCGCACGCGCGCTCTGTAAAGTCAAATCCGATCGACATTCTGCCAACATTTGGGGTGGGCCCATTGCTGCTGGGCCCAACGGGGACGAGCCCCCGGAGCAGCTGGATCCTTCCGAGCTCGCTTCTGATGTTGCGAAACAGCAGCTAACTCAATGGACAAATGGTCTTAGGCCGCGATTCGGAGGCTCTCAGTGACACTGGGCACGACGCATCCTCATCGGCCCGATTTTTCTTTCTTCTGAAGAAGTGCATCACGAGGATGAGTGGCTCGGGCGAAGGGTCTTGAGAGTGGGCCATGGCCAGCCGTGGGCGACAGGCCCATTAGGTACAATTGTCCATCTCGGGCCCTCGTTCGAGGAATCCCCGCCTGGTGCATGCGCAGGCCCTCCAGGCTGCCGCGCATGGCAGCAAGACGCTGGCGCGCCGCAGCCACAGCAGCATCGCTCATGGGCAGGAGGCTTCTACCGAGGGCAAGAACAGAATACAAGGACCAAAGCGTTCGATTTGGAAGTCCGATTGTGTGATGCTGGGGATGGTTGCAAGCGGAGTGATCTGCGCCAGTCTGAGCCAGGTAGATCTGGTAGCAAGCAGTATCTGACCGCAGGGGTTTATCACGATTATCACGGCACAGTCTGGACTATGCCGGAGAATGCACCAAACGCGACAGCAGAGCTGAGCTCAAGACCGCAGACTCCTGGGCAAGACAGACAGATAGACAGCGCTTTTCAGCGTAAAGGACGACGCACGTCACAGGCTGGCCACACAACGCACACCACATGCATGATCTGTTGCAGTCTCAGTACCTGCGCCTGTTTGCGTGTCCTGCAGGTCCCTTGCTCGTAAACGCAGGTGCGACAAGAATCCGAGAGCTGCACCATGATAAGCTGGCTACTGGCAGCCACAGGCTGCAAATCTCATGCTAAGTGTCTCCGGGTTCTCAGGATGATGCTCGCAGTGCTCGTTCGCTCGGTGAGGGGTGCACGGTGCAATCTGACATGGGGAAGGGGGGGGTGCTCAAGTATAGGGCTCGGGCATGCATTTGATCCACCTGCATCGAAAGAGAAACAATGCCCGCAGGGCCCCAGCCATCCTTTGCAAAATTGGGAGGCAAACTGACGTAGATTGCCACTCTAGCACTCGCACAAGACAGGCAAGGAATCATCAGGTCCAGACTCACTAGACAACTACACCTAACGTAGAGACGAGATTTACATGCGTCCCATTCCTCCCGGAAGTGTTTTGCACGCATTCCTCAGAAAAATCGCCACTGATCTCTACTAACTGGGCGAACACAATCCAGGTCGAACATGCCTCTAATCCTGTCTGAGAAGACTCTCTACGCTTTTGCCATGCTGAAATGAACCCGCACTCGACCTGAGACTGAATCCAGTCGTCTGAGGCTCTTCAAAAGGTTGACAACTTCTGTGCTTGTCACAGGTGTGCCGAAGCAGCCGACTCCCACAATTGACAAACCAGAGAGAGAGTCTGCACAGAGCTCTCAATGCAAAACTCTGCCACATCAACTGTTGTCGACATACGCATGAGATCCCGAGTCGCTGGAATGGATAGGCGAGTGGATAAGGTCTGCATAGATTTGCAAGAGAACACCAAGGTCTGATCAAAAGGAGCCCAGCAAGGGCCAGGCCCACCCTGCAGAACATAGCAGGCTGCCACCGTAGCATTTCACAAGGCATCGCAGCCCGCCATCAGAACTGTGCTGATCCGCAGGACGCACACATGCTCCTCACCCGCAAGAAAAAGCAAAACGCGTTTAACCAAAGGTCGTCTTGAGAATTTTGAGAAGTTTGGGAAGGAGCGAATGGCCGAAGAATGTAGGTCGTCGGCTCTGCGCCCGGGTGACCTGACGGTGACCTGGCATTTGCCAGGAATGACACGGCGTCCGACATCCTCTGTAAGTGAACCAACACCGGCCACCGTTGGTATTGACGGGGCCTGGGTTCTATCAAAGGTTTGCGGGTCACATGCCGTCATTTAGGAGTGTCTTTCGCACCCTCGTCGTCTAATTCAACCTCCAAGCGATGAAGGCACTGGCAAGGCATCAAATGTCATCACGTCAATTTGGGCCGTGTCTACTATTCAACTTCTTGCCAGGTTGGATGCCCTGCTGGCCTCGTAAGTGAGCGTATCCTAAGCCTAAACTGATTCAGCCCCATCTGCAGACGTGCACGAATGAATACCTACACGCTGCTTAAGACGAAATTGCGCCATACCAGCCCAAGCTTTCGTCTCCACATGCCCCTACCACCTATTATACTTAGCAGTTGTTCGTGCCAGTTCTGCAGCTTCGATGGGGTGACCGTGTGCGACTCTCTCTATATCCAGCCGCAAGGCCTCAACACGGCTCCATCCCTTCCAAGACCATCAACGTTGTCAAACATAAGAAATCTGATCCCAGATTCGCTGCAGTACAGTACCCTACTCAGTTCTCCTCGGGGACACCGTTGACTGGGTGGCATCGTCTGCCCCAAGCCTATGAACTGTGTGATTTCTTTCGGAAAGAGGATACGAAATTGCCCATGCAGGCGCACTACAACTCGATCCTGAAGTTTAGACCCTTTAGCCTCAACAGCTGACAGCAGCACTGCTGGATATCGAAACAGCCTCACCTAGTCACGAATTCAAACTCACTGAAACGGAAGGCTTGGAGCAAACTTGTGGCTCGCATCTGTCATGGATATAACATCCAAATAGGACCCCTGACACAGCCTGACATCAGAATCAACATAAAGGCTTGAAGTCACCCATGACGTTTGACTTCCGCTCCATCTAAAAAACATGCGCGAGCTCGCGCGGACTCGGAGCGAACGCTTATCTGACTCCGACATAACAACAACACGCGGAGTGTACTCAAGAAGCTCACTGTCAGCAAAGGATGCCATCGAGCACAATTTTTAGCGCAGGTCAGTGGGAGAACCCTTCGGGAAGACTGACTCGGCAGCCACCGTCTGTAGGAGCATGCGGACAGCGACAAAAGACAAGGGATGACAAGAGGGTACAGCTGGATGCTGATCACAAAGCAAGATTTCTTTCGCACCTTACCGCGTTTGGCTCGTCAGCGACATGTTCAGTCCCTGATGCACTGATTCAGTGGCTGGGGTCTTGGACGCCTTCAGAGCACGGGCGATTTAAGTGGCCGAGAGAAGGGAAGAGAACGAAGATGTGCATGTGCACGTGTCTGGATTGCGAGACCTTCAGTGAGTCGGCCTGGAACAATTCTCGAAGCCTAATGGAACGAAGCACCGAAGACTGTCTGAACTGTTTCTACACACGCTGCCGCTACGAAGTACTAGCAAGAGCAAGTAGCAGCGCCACGAGCACACTCCGGGCGAATCGAGCATCTTTGCAAGGCGACATCCTCAGACCGCAGGCCCTTCAGCTGCCTGCAAGGGGACAGCAGCCCAAAGCAGCACAAGGCAGTTCAAGGCAGCTCAAAGCTACGCCTTTTTCCACCCCGAAAGATCCCAAAACCCCAAACGCATGCATCACCATGCACCCGATATGGTCCGGCTGCTCAAAGGCAATGGTGCACGACGTCAATGATCTTGCTTCCCTTGAGGAACTGCTATCACAATGCGCTGCAGAACCTAGACTTCTGCCAATTCATTACATGGTCATTCGCTGCCGAGCCCACATGGAGCATATCCACATGTCACATGCATCAGACCGCCAGCCGCAGGAGAAGCTGCACAAACATGTGTGTGGCCTGGGCAAAGGGGAAGTCAGGGACTGCCTCCTCCAAAAAGACATCCAGGCGCATGATGGGGGAGATCAGCCTGCCAGACAGTGGTCATGTTTAAGGACTTCTTGAGTGGCTTTCCGTGCCGTTCAGGCTTGCCATCGCCTCGCCCCCTCCCCTCCACGCCTCGGCCCACCCTTGTCTGGTAAGCCATGTGCCTGCGAATGGTGCATCTGTGGCAGTGCAGGTGCAAGTGTTGTAACCACGATAAGCACTTATTGCATTTAATGGGGAGAGAGAGAGAGACACACACACACACACACACACAAAGAAAGAGAATTTGAAGGGGAGAGAGAGAGAGGGGAGATAAAAAGGAAAGAGAAAAAGACAGAGAATGAGATTGAGAAGGAGCAAGAGAAAGAGAGAGAGAAGGAGAAAGGGAAAGAGAATGTGAATGAGAAAGAGAAAGGAAAGACAAAGAGAAAGGGAGAGAGGGCGAGTCAGAGAGAAAGAGAGAGAGAGAGGGAGAGACAGAGGAAGGGATAGAAAATCCGTTCTGGGGAGGGCGGGCGGGTATCACGAAGATGCACGAAGATGTCACCTGACACAATAAGATGCTGGCCTGTTCCTGAAGCAAGCCAACTGAAATAAACAAGCTGAAGAAATGTTAGGGTTCGCCGTATGCGTCGGCCTTTAGCCCCGCTTTGCCCCCGACGCAAACGACCCAGAGAGGGAGCGGGACCTTTTGCTGCGAAATGCCAAACGCCAGGAAGGAAACCAGAAGGCCACCATCCCAAAATCGGCCCCCACCTATGCACTGGCGTGCCTTGGAGAACCACACCGACGAATGGAACCGAGGTCAACTTTATAGTCATTAGTGCGACAAAAAACGGCCCTGAATTTGGAAGTCGTACCACCTGAAAAGCTCAAATCCGTTTTGTCATGCTCGAGCGGGTTAAACGTGACGCTTTGGATGTTGATGCTTCAAACTTCGCAGGCCCATATCCCACACGGACCCAGTGTGGTGGGTGGTCGGGTGAAGTGGGTGGGCGTGGTGGGCGAGCGGGTGAAGGGACCGACGTGACAAAACGGTCGGAGTTTACTCACCAAACCGGGCCCGTGCGGGTAACAAAACGGCCCTGCCAGCATTCATGCTGCCTGTGTCTGTTTGGCCGTGAGCATGAGCGGTGCTTGCATGGTTGTTCATCCTTGCTGTCTGTGCGCTGACATGATGTCGTCTGTAAGCCACCTATTTAGACAGGCATCATGGCACAAACGAGATCCAAATTGGACAGGCTTGCGATCCACACACACACCCCCCCCCCCCCCGTGTAGGGCCCCAGGCCGCTTGGAGGAGCGGGAGTCCAAACTTCCTGCAACCCTTCTGCATGCGTGGCGCCCCCTGCAACCCTCCATCCTCCTCCTGAACTCCGACATGTGACTTTGGCTTCCCTTCATCTGCGACGCAGGCCACACCGAACCATATGTCGTTGTTAGAAGGCTTGTGTCATGGCAAGAGCCCCTTCCGCTTCAGTGGCTCCCAGTGTGAAAGGAACCATCCTCGACCTCTGGATTTTGAAGCGTGAAAAGCTGTAAGCATGAAAGGCGAACCTGCATCATCACAAGAGGACCTAGGCCAGGCAATTCGGACTGCTGTCCTTGCCGTCCATCTTCAAGCCCGGACGTTCTTCCTTTCGCCACGAAGACATTCCAAGCTCCTGGGCCGAAAGCTGCACCGGACTTCTGCGAAGTCACTGCACTCCACACCTTTGCAATGTGCTGGAAAAGTTTTAGGCAGCGTCCTGTGCCAAGACCGCATCCAACTCCATAGAGTCCTCTGGGTACCAACCTCGGAAGCTGCAGCATTTGGTCTGCAGACTCCGAGGCCCTGAAGATCAGCCAAGGCTTCAGCCCAAGTGCCCATCACCCGCCTCGCCAAGACTGAATCACGTTGCCCCGTCTCCATCAGTGGCGGTACACAACCCACGCCTCTCTGACAGGTGTCGCATCAAAGTCGCCGGCCTTGAGCAACAGTGGGGTACTGCCTTTGCACTGCACTCTGCAAGCACGGCCAGATCCCCTGCCTGGCTGTCCGAACTTAATCCGCCGGCGCCACGCAGCTCGATTCCTGTCAAATTGAGTTTGACTGATATGACTGGCATTGAGGGCATGTGTTGATAAGGCTTGGGACATCTTGGGGCCAGCATTGGAGCAGCACAGTGAGCGCCGCCCTAGGCCCTAGCCCGTCCCCGTTCCACCGTTGCAGCGCCTCTTGAGGAACCATGAAACGTCAAACTCCTGGGCCAACAAACTCAAACAAAGCTCAAAGACAATCGGCACTTGAGGGCCCAGGAGGCACTGGGGCACCGGCCAGACACTCGGCCAAACTTGGTCAGATGCTCGGCTGAGACCGACCTCCCGATTCTTATGCCAGGGCTGCCAGCGGAGTTTGGCTAATGGGCTATGCTGAGGCCATGCTGAGGCCATGCTGAGACCGTGCTGTGGCCACTCTGTTGCGCGCCTCGCGGCTTGACCTTGCACAGGGGAGCCACTTGGCACTGCAAGCCTTGATGCTGCTCGCGACAGGTCCTCGTACTGCAACAGGCATGCTACCACACGTGGGTCCATTTTTTGTCACCTCGCAACTCCGCAACTCCCTCCTTGACTTCCCACTTTCATGGGTTCTGCTCCCAAAGGTGAAATGCGATACGCATAAGCAGAATTCATCCTGTACTTCAGCAAGCCGGTGCAATGAACAAGATCCAACTCTGCAATTCTCTGCACCTCTAATGCTGCTTTCTGGTGTTCTTGCACTGGCTTTGAAGAAGGTAGGGGATTTTGCCTGAGCCGATGTTCTTCCAGAGTCTTGCTTCTGGTTTGCGGCACAAGTCTTGGTAGATGCGGGTGCTTCCAATGCGCAATGCTGCCCATACACCACTTTGAAGAACATCTACGCTCAGCTTCGGCTTTGCGTGAAGTGTCATTAATGCTGCCTGCCCAACATCTCTTTCTGCCGCAGATTATTGCTCTACTGGGGTCTTCTTGCTGGAAGCCCAACTTGCTGCATAGTCATGCCCCGATTCTTGTAGACTTTGAAGGAGGGTGTCAGGCAGACCAAGCCCTGTACCTGGTACGGGCGCATGTGCATGTGTGACGGCTCGCGTCGGCAGGCCACCATGGGCTTCATGAAAAGCTGCTGGATATGCTGTCACAGGCAGGTTGAGGTTTACAGACACTCCAGACATCAGCGGTGCCTGCCGAACACTTGCCTACGTGATGACTCTGTCGGTGCGATGTGCACAGAACCGCTTGCTCGAAACATGCGCAGGATTGCGCAGGCGGTACCTTGGCGGCCTGCTGCGCCATGCGCAAGCAAGCTGAGAAGCTAGCATTATCCTGGCCTCACCGTGGAAACCGAGGAATCGCTGTTTGCTGCACATGTTGAATAATGTTGAGTCTGGCCTGCATCAACAACTGAACCATAAGTCCCCAGGAACACTTTTGCCATGCTCGTCGGTTCGGCCATGTCTTCATTTCACCTGAGCCTATGATGATGGGATCCCATACTACCCCCTAACCAAAGCAAGGCCACTTGGGCGGGACTTCGGGTAGCGAGCAGGAGCACAATGCGTGCTTCGACGACCTTGTCTGCACATGCCTGCACGTTCTCATCTATGCTAAACTGCCTGGTCCGTGAAATCTTGTGCGTGCTGAACGCCTAGTGTTGTTGGATTCCTCGCGGGGGGTGAGTGTCCTCCCTCACTCTCGGTGGCATTGACAGAGCTGCGCCTTCCGGCATGTCCAACATCTTTTTCCAAACCACTTTCCAGGACATGGGAAACACATTGCTAAGCCATATACAAAGTCGCAGCAGCCCCTGTCTGTCGTTTGACATCGCTGCAGTGAGGGAAGCCCAGATGAGCAACCTCTCTCCTGACGTGCAGGAAATGCTGCTCTTGCGAATGGCGGTCCCCGTGCCTAGCCACTAGTAACCTGAAGTTCAATCAACTTCAAAGGCAGCTGAAGATGTGGAGCTTAGGGTCGACCCGTGGTGATGCTGTGACTTGAAAATTGAGGTTAACATGTTCCTCCGCAAAGGGAAGCACGACTGTGTACTGCGAACGGCCGGAGTGAGAATTAATGACAGATAGCACCCCGCTTGCTGTGACCGTTGGACCGTTGATGCTGCTTCGGGTGGACCAATACCACACCCGCCACCCCCAAGAGGCCGAAGGTGAGACTTTTGGGGCTTGCGAGAGCCCTTTGTGAGACCGTGAAACTTCGGAGGCCATCAGCCGTTGTCCTGGCCACCCACAGGGGCCCACCCGCCTGTCCAAGTGCATGCCCTGAGCGAGCGGTCGCAAGAGGAGACACGTCTATGACCATACATAAACGCCTGAAGCTGCTCGAAGTACCTACATTATCGACAAGGAGGAAGGGGGAGGGGTGCCAACACACCGACACCGTAGCTTTGCTGTTGTTTTTTGATCCGTTTTATACTTCCTGTTTCTTGATTGGTCTTCTGCGTGTTGTTGTGGGTCATGGTGACAGCCTCGGGTGTTCTTGTCAAGCAAAGAGGCACGTCATGATCGCTGCTGATGTGCTACCGGAGGGGCGCTATTCTGTACTCTGGACAATCTTGAAGCCCTCCGCGTAGTTGTCGTGCAGCTCTTTCGCCGCTTCCTGGGACATCTACACCGCTGCGGCTATGCCAGTCCGTCAAGTCTCTGCTTCGATGTTGCGCTGAGGCTTGCAGCAAGCAGCGCTTTGGACACAACAAAAAACAACAGAAACCACGGAAACAACGGAAACAACGGAAACGAGAAACACTTGCATTGCAGCCCAAGTTGCGAAATACTTAACATCTGGAGGGAACCATGACTCCAGGCATTTCCTTGGCAACATGTTGCAAAGAGCAATAACCAGCCCCCTGCCATCGAACTCATGAGAATCTGAGCGGTGCTCTGCATCACACATGTTCACACCCCAAAACCACCTCGCTCCCAAGACGGTGAACTAAGTACCAATGATTGAACCGAGTGGCTTAGCCGTAGGTTGTTGGAGCATGGCCTCCAGGATCTCCTCGGCATCAGCATGACGCTGTTGGCGAGAACACGCTCCACAACGTGCAGGAGCAGCCAGTCTTAAGCCTGGCGGCCCACCATCCTTTGTCCCTTACAGGCCAGACCGGATTCAGTGGAAAGACGTAGCCTTCATGGACCTTGGGTTCACGTGGCAGTGAAGGCTCAATCACGCGAGCCCTTCTCGCATAGGCCTACGACAGCCGCAAGGAGGGGCTGAGCTAAATCCGTCAGGCGCACCCTTTTCATGAGGAAGTCTCGAAGACCAGCCTGCTGCAGACCGCTTTGGATAAGTTGGTAGCCCTCTTGGGCAACTGCTGCAGATGAAGGGATTACACGCCCAAATACAGTACCCTCTTACAAATTGCGGCACCTCAGTGGTGTAGTCCCATGGCTTGCCCTCAAAGCCCTGCCAAACAATGAGGTACTCGTCATCCAACTCCTGGCATCTTTCCGCATCATGTTGCTTTAACCTGAAACGAATACTCCCCTGTGGCTCATGGAATCCGGGGATGTTTTGTCGGTACAACTGCCCCACCTGCGGAAAGTACAGGTTGCAGCCTCGGCAGCTTTGAAAGCTCTCCGAACTCGCTCGCACACTGAACAGTCCGTGCATCTAACTTACTAAGGACAATGGACCTAGGCTGAAGGTAGCGTTCTGAGTCCTCTTCCTGCCCCAAGATCATCCCAACCCTGAAGCTAAACGTGTGAGCCGTCCTTGCCCTTTGCAAGGATGGCTAACTAATTATACATTTACCAAAGGATTCTGTCGCGGTTGCTATTCCTGGAGACGGCCACTTAAGGGATTTCAGGGATCTCCGCCCTTTTCTCCTCCTTCTTCTTCTCCTTATTGTTCTTCTCCTCCTTCTTCTTGTTAGTGTCCTTCTCCTCTTCTTCTCCTTCTCCTTCTCCTTCTCCTTCTCTTTCTCCTTCTTATCCTTCCTCTTCTTCCTCTTCTTCTTCTTCTTCTTCTTCTTCTTCTTCTTCTTCTTCTTCTTCTTCTTCTCCTTCCTCTTCTTCCTCTTCTTCTTCTTCTTCTTCTTCTTCTTCTTCTTCTTCTTCTTCTTCTTCTTCTGCTTCGTCTTCTTCTTCTTCTTCTTCTTCTGCTTCTTCTTCTTCTTCTGCTTCTTCTGGTCTCCGGCCGCGCTTGCCCGCTTCGTCAGTCTGGTTGGTAGTGTGGGTTTCAGACCGGTCCACTCCCACTTGGGGGTTTTGTGGGGAGACTGGGTAAGAAAAGCCCCCTGAGGACCAGCCCGAAACCTCGTCGATATTTTGCTCTCGTCAACATGAAAACAATGAGCCATGGCACGCTCTGAGTTTCTGTGCATGAACACAACCTTTAAAAGAATTTAAGCGTTGCCAAGCAACACTCGGCACCGTGTCGCACTGCTCCACAAGGTGCGGTCTCTGCGATCACCTGCAGGATGCGGAGCAACGGAAAACTGACCTCCCCACGAAGAGCACGTCGTAGGGGATGATGAATCTACGTCTAGCCGCATCTAGCCGCGTCTAGCCGCGTCTAGCCGCGTCTAGCCGCGTCTAGCCCCGAGTGTGGGAATCAAAGCATCAACACTCAAAAGTGTGCGTGGGAACCGCGACCAGGGCAGTCAAGAAGCGTCCTGGATCAAGCGATACCTCAAGACACAGGTGAGCTATTGGCGCTCAAGGTAGAGAAGAACTGATGCCAGCACTTGTAGGGCCGAGAGGCGAGGTTGGGTCGCCAAAGCCGAACTTCGGGATCCTTGGCAATCTTCCACAATCTGCCACAATCTGCCACGCCACAACTACACAAAAACGGCTCCAAGCTAAGGTTCTTGGGACTCTTGGTCCACCACTTCAGAGCATTTCAGAGCATTTCAGAGCCCTCCCCATGGTTGGAACCCATCACTGCAGGCAAGCATCGCAGGGTGGAAACCCCGCTCGTTCTCTTTGGCCAGGACTTCCAGCCAGCGCGAGTTCCAGGATTGGTGATCCAAATTATCCAGAATATCCTGCTCGAGCATCGGCGGAAGCACAACAGCCGGTGCGAACAAAGTTAGGCAACCAAGACTATCCAGGCCACAAGCCGTGAGGCCGTGAGACATCTGCTCAGAGCCCTAAGCCCGTCCTTTGTGTGCGTCAGGAGCCAGTGGATCAGCTCCGCCTGTCGGGGTGTCGTTGGTGTCACATTCGGTAGCTGCACATCTGGTTTGCATGTTTTGCATTTGCACATACCAAGGCTGCGCACGCTTGATGAGCACAACACTTCCTAGCTGCACCACGCTCCCTCGAGCGCCTGCTCTGCAGGCAGAGACTCATAAACCATGTTCATAGAACCCACCGTAAAGGTGTCAAAATCCGACACGACCTCGACGCGAACGTGGTGCATTTGGGATTCAGGCTCCATGCGCAGAGAAAAGTCCAACGGAACACCCATCATCCGTAAGCCAGGCACTGGTTTGACAAACGCTTCTGCGTAGGCAATCAGCAAGCCACGCGGATTCCTGCAACGCGGCTTCGCAATTCAAGCCGATAAGGGCCGACAAGGACGTCCAGTTGCAGGGTCCCGAAATGTCCACAAAGCTCGTGGTTTAGAAAGTTCATAGCTAGTTCATAGCTCGCATCCCAAAAACTGTATCCCTACCACTGCTTGCCGAAGCGCATGACTTCGCTCTCATCGTTCTGGTACAGAACGACCTGCAACATGCAACTCATGCAACTCATCATGCAACTGCACTGCAGGCAGCTGAAGAGGCCTTTCACATCTACAACGGCGTCATACGGCATCCACAGCACCAACTTTGGTCATACACGGTCCGGGACTACGACCTGTCTGTGCCTTTCTTCGTGTGCATTGTACACCTACGTGGCCAAACGCAGCTAGGTGCCTGAGGATCAGATTTCCCTCTGATCGCGTGCCTGCAGTTGAGCAAGCAGCTGAAGTGGAGCAGTCATACTGTGCATATACCAGCCCCTTCTCGGAAGCACCAGATCTTGACAACGGCACCAAAGGCCGCTTGAGTCGCTCAATGGAGTCGCCCCAAGGAGCTCTCAAATCTCTCACAGCTGGTTTCTTGTCGCACCCAAGGTCAACTGAGCGACAGGTTCATGTCCATGAAGGCGGGCTCGGATCTCCGACCAGTTTCCCAGCCCATGACCTCGATGGACAGGGAGGGCAATGACGGGCACTGACGGAAGGCTCATCTGAGCCCAGGCTGGTGAACGTGCTCTTGCACTCTTGCACGCGAGTCAATGGCAAGTGGCCGGAGAAATATCTCTCTGCATAATGTAGGCCTGACGACAGACACCAATTTTTAAACCCTCCACGTGGGAGCCTGGGAGCCGTGACCTGCCCGCTTTATTGAACCAGAAGGCGAGGGTCGTTCAGTAAGTTGCAGGTTCAAGGCAACCAGGCAATACCGTCTCACTACCGACTGCCTTTGACTGACACATGCCTGCTGGGGCATGCTCTGACATCTGCCCTGCCTCCCGCATGAGGGGCTCTGGCATATCAATACCCCACCTCACGCTTGAAGAAGCACGTGTGCTCAATAACTGTCAACCCTCTCTTGTCTTCTCAAGTGCTCTCGGAGTGAGGGGAGTTGCGCAGCGACCTCATGTAGGGAATGCTCTCCATCTCTCTCAAGCAGCAAGCAAAGTACCTTTGGTATTTGCATCTGACGAAGACTTGAGCTGCTGCACATAGATTCGTTAGCCCACGCTAAAAGTTGCTCAGGTTCGAGGTACTAGCGCAGTCGACTGGCACCTGCAATACGTACTCGCTAGCAGCGCAACGTAGCTGGAGCTACTCTTGCGATCAAGAAGCACATCAGGCTTATACGAGTCCTGCCAGGGCAGGGCAGACGTGAGATCGCCCCGAACTCTTTCCCCGCGAAATGCGTCGATTCTGTGAACTATTCTTAACGATCTTCAGCGGTCCTCGTCTTTGAGCGACCGGTCTTCGATCTTCAGCGACGATTCTGTCTCTGTGAGCACAGCCTGCAGCACCTGTAACAGGCTGCAAACTACCGTAGATCACAGTTGCGGAGCAACCGCGGCATGAATGCCATCCAAGCGGCCTTGCGTGCCTCTTCTCTGGCAGCCTTGGACTTGAAGTACCTCCGGCTGGGGGCAACCAGAGTATGGCTCCTTCTCGGGCCTGTTGAGGTCTACATTGTCTACATTCTTATCCTGGTGCGCAGGCCAGGAAGAGCCGCAGTCAGGGCACACTACGACTCGCGAATCTGCGGGAGAATCCTCAATGACATTTTTGTGCTCGTTCTCACTGATCCTGAGCTTCGACAAAGTGCCAAAATCGTCACTAAACATGTGTGGCACCTTCTGCGATTGAATGCCATGCGGCAGTCCCCATGGACCCTCCTCTGCAATCTACAGCTGAGGAGCTGCACGAAGGGAACGAAGCCGGAAAGAACGCCTTTCTTCGCCGACTTTCCCTTGACCTGACAGCTCCGCATGAGCCGATTGGGTGAAACTGCTGGCAATACCTACTCGCTGCAGGCACTGTATGCACTGCCAGCGTCATGCTTCCGCAGCTTGGCGCCAAGAAGCATTCAAGCCCTTTCCCACGGCGGAGCCAGACAGCATCTTTGCAATGGCATCCTGCATATCAGGGATTGCTGGCACGCGATCTGCTGGCGCCCTGCTGTGAGCAAGACGTCCTTGCTCGTAGGTCTGTAAATTGCAAACCAGGAAGTTTCGGCACCTCGGATACTTGCCAAAGGCACTGCACAGCTTCATATTGCTGCAGCTAGCAGCTAATCATTTGCCACATTCACGGCTACTGACATCCCAGCAATCGGATTTGGGAAGTTCGTTCTGCTGCTTTAGATCGATTTGATCGCCATGCGGCCCACCGTCCCTTCGAGCTTGTGCGCATCCAGCGAGCCCCTGGGTCCACGACTGTCGCCTGCCTGGCGCTTGGCAAAAGCTTTAGCTTCTGACTACAGGCATAGCTTGCAACACGAGGTAGGAGAGGTACACTGCTGGGGGCTCGTAAGAGTCGCATGTGTGTGTCTGTGTGTGTCTGTGTGTGTCTGTGTGTGTGTGTGTGTGTGTGTGGGTGCACGCGGTGGGTGGGTGGGTGGGGGTGGGTGGGTGGGTGGGTGGGTGGGCGCGTGGCAGTCGAGACAGCGCGGACCACGGTGGCATTTTCGAAGCCTCGAGGTAGTCCATTGTGTCCATTACCCCAAGTTCCCTTCGTAAGAAGACACGTTTCTGGCATCAGCCTGTGTGATTACCTTCATTCGTTACTCGGGCTGGCACAGGTTTAATGCATGCTCAACTCGGACCGAACGTGAGTGTACCGTCAAAGCATAAGCAGCCTGGTAAAAGTCGGCGATGAGTTTTCGGGGATCTGTCAGATATTGCTGCCTTAGCTCAGTGAGACTTTGCCCAGCACGTTCGCTGCAGGCAGCGCAGTCTGCTAGCCCTGCTAGTTCCTTCACGCCGTTGTCATAAGTGCCGCTTTGCAACTTAGAACCAGGATGCATATCACATTGTCTCCAAGTTGCTGCTGCAAGTCGTTCATAGAACCCAGCAGCCGCTCGAACTTACCCCGACTGAGCGCGAGGACTTCAACCTGATAGCAGGTCTGAGGCCACGAGCTGTTGAGTGAGCAAACCCCAACGGTTCAAAGTGGCATGACATTGCAACACCCTAGCGCCCAAGGGTCGTGAATATCCTGCTGAAGCGTGTTGGGCGGCAAAGACACCGTCCTACAACCCTCCGATTGAACTGAAAAGCACCCCTCAACAACTTAAGCCGCATCCTTAGCAGATGTTCATACTCGATGCTTTGCTACCTCCACATGGCTAATACTTGTACATAGTGCCGATGATGATCTTGGTGGCTGCTGATTCCGAAAGAGCCAGCAATGCCAGCCAAAACGACAATCACAAAAGATCGGGTCTTCTCGACTCTAAGCGTTTCGACATGTCTAGACCGGCATTTGCCGGGCCTGTTCTGCAGCTCTGGTTGAGTGGCTTATTTACCCAGGTATGGGGTGGTATATTCTTTCGGCAAAAGCCCGAAGTGAGCGTTTCAGATTGCGCTTATTTCGAGGGCCGTCAACGAGCGTTGCCTGAAGCCACACAACCTCGATACTGGATACATCCTGCATCCTGCCCCGCATGTGGCCTACACAGCACGCGGCACCTCCGTCACGCAGGTCACCGACGCCGCGCGCGGCTCGTTCTTCAGCAAGGCACGCTCACCGAAGAGGTTCCCCGCGTGGAGCCGGACCTCATATGATTGATGCAGGATGCGTTGGGGCCTCAAGCTCAGTCTACCCAACGTGTCTAAAGGACTGTTGCAGCTTCTCGGTTCGCCTCCTAGTGGTGCCACCACACAGTGAGGCCCTGACATACTCCTGCTCATCGTCGCCATTCTTCACCCAAACACGCACCGTTCCCATGGAAATCAAGAAGAACTCCGAGCCTTCAGGGCAGCCTCTGATCTAGTGCCAGCTTTTTCAGGGGGAGGAGGCTGGACTTTCATGCAAAGCAGAGGAGAGAGCCAAAGAGAGAGGGAGAGAGAAAAAAAAGAAACTAATACCAAAAGAACAAGTACAAAAAAAATTGTGTATATATGTATATATGTACATAGTAAACAGCGAGAGTTGGGACCAGGGCAGTCTGCAGCCTTGTTCTCCTTGCGTGATGATGTTCTCACCAGGTGCATACCTGCGCGAAGACACGCAGGTCGTGAGTGTGAGCGCCTGACCAACCTGTTTGCAGCACAGACTCTGCCAATAAGCAGTGCCGTCCAGTGAGTTTATGTGCCAGCCGGGCGACAACAAATCTCTTCATTCAGGCCCGGTTAATTATGGTGGTTTTATGGGCACAAAGACACCAGTTCATTTCCTGTATTTGAAGGGCTTTTTGGCTTATGGTTTCATGGTTTTCTTGGCCTGTGACATCACAATGTAACATGATACAAGTATAATCAGAACCTCACGACCCTGAAGAACAAAAGAGAGAAAGGGCCATACAATCACTATCTTGTTCACCTTTGCGCTCCAACAGCTGCATGCTCCAGACTTCCCCTTATCAAGTCCCAGGTCCTGTGTAAATGCAGCATCTGATCTCAAGTGTGGGCCTGCGAAGACTGAAGGCATCACAGAGCTTCTCCATGGCCTGTCGCAGCAAACTGTCGGCATGACATTCGCTTGAACGTGCGAGAGTGCGAGAGCGCAGCATGTCAGTCAGGCACCGCCCAGTATCTGCAGCCGCTTGTGTGTCGACAACCGTTCGCGTAAACAATCCAGGTTAGCAATCTTTTCCAAAGCACATCTCATGCACGCAATTTCGTGACAGGAAGAAAGCCTCGTCTTCCATCATCTCGAGCCTTGAGCAGGGCACTTGCATACTGAAAAATGCTGAAAACCAACCACAGGCTCATGACTCATGATCTGTGCCAGCAGGTCAAGCCGGTCCCGAACTTGGGGGCCCTCTGCGCAGTGTCTGGAGCTGTTCAGTGCCCGGATCTGCAGCACAAGGCATCGATTTCGATGTGCAGCCAAGAAACATTTTTGAGCTCTTCAACATGTGCTTGTACCTCGCACGGCCACGATGTTGCAGCAGCAGTGGCTCGGGTCTCAAGCTTGACCGCTTTGTGGAAACAGGTGAAGCGAGTGCGGTGTGGCAGCAATCGAAGACATGTTCCAGTCTCTCCGCTCTGTCTTGGACCAAGATTCCTAGAACGCTGACGGAAGGACATCCGCGTGCAGAGGGTGACCTGCAAGCCCCAAAAATCACTCCTGCGAACGTGCTAAGCACATGTTTGCTTCAGAACATCAACAGAAGCCAAACCGTAATAGCAGCCACGAGACATACTCACTGTGCGGCAGCTTTGCCACAATCGTCTCTCCCTCTGCCTGCATCGAGATTTCAGCCCGGCGGCACCCCTATCAGAAATCTCCGGAACCGGAAGTACTTTCTAGAGCTGCAACAAGTGGGCACCAAGCGTCACAAAGGTCTTCATTGAGATTGTCTGCTACGGAATCGGCTTGGAAACAAATAAATGGTCGGGTAGGGTGCCATGCTTTGCAGAGCCTGCCTTCAAGGTGTATCTGCGCGGGTACGCGAACAGAACAGCAACCTCCGCATGCAATCCATGCTGGAGGTCCACGCAGGGACTGGTGAGAACTGCGCATGCAACAGGCATTCAGCACTCGTCGACAGCTGCTTAGCTGCAGTCAAACGCTTGCTCATGGCCTCGTCGACCAAATCGCCCTGCTTCTTTTTCAAAACAGGCTCCGCCTTACCGCCTCAGAACGTCCGACTCCCACAACACATCGCAGGTTTAGAGGCTAGGTGCGGCAAGTGCCTGCTTCACAGCTGAGCTCTTGGCTTTGGTAGCAGGCGAGAGTTCCCTCGAGCACAACCTTGGCCACGACAGCATGAACCGTGTCACACGTCCCACCGCAAGCGCTACCGCTTTGAGCTGTTTTGTGACAAGGTTCAAAGAGGCTGTCTGCACGGTCACCTTCATCTGCGAAGGACTCCCCGTCGTAGCGCAGATGAGTTTCCTTGAATGAGAGCTGACATGAAGCAAAAACCTAAGCCCTAAGCCGAATCTCGGGGGCTCCAACATCCGGATGCCGGCACCGGCCAGCTCATGCTCTACAGGGGCTTTGCTCTGACCGTTTGCTGGTGGGAATTTTTATTTCGCGGCACGTGTGCACCTGTACCACCTTACCACCTTCCATCTGTGCAGCTCGAGCTCCATGGGCCGAATGAAGCGTTCCAGGTCCTTGAGGAAAATGGCTTGCCGGATCAACACTTGGGTCTGGGTGTGTCCTAGCAGCTCCTAGCAGCTCCTAGCAGCTCTGCTGGGCATAAGAACCGCTGGCGCAATCTGCACACCGCCACAGTGTGCCGAGGGGCTTTGTCGCCGAACTGTTTGAAGACAGTGGCTTCCCTGCAGAGTTTACACTTCCGAACACTCACAAATACATGGCCTCAGTACAGGGTCAGCGTGTTGATGCGTGTTGTAGATTGTAGGGTCTTGGTTCGGCTTCGTTTGCTTTAAGGGTGACACGTCCTCAGTGGCTCCGCACCTCATGGTGTCAAAAAGCAGCCGCTCCCATGCCGAATGCTTTGTCCACAGCTTCTCCTGCCAAACACCAGATGATGCTGGCTGCTTGCATCCCAAGCGAAGAACCGGAGAGGGCTTGTTGGCCCTTGTGTAACTGGAAAAACGCATTCTGGCGGACAAGCTAGCGAAAGAGCGCACACTCACGGCAGGCCAGGCACATGTGTCCCGGTCCAGGCAACTACAAGTACAAAGGCTGTCAAGAACCTTATGATCATGCAATGGAGGGATGATGGAGTAATGATTCTTGTATTGTATTTCTTTGCGTGTCGTTTTACTTGCTGCCTTCCAGCACGCCACGAAGCCAATCCTTGAGCATCGATGAAGATTCAGAGGCTCGCTGGATGGTCGGAGGCTTTTTCAAGTCTGGTAGGGATTCAGGTTGTGTGGGGCATTGGTACGGAGTGGGTCCTTGTAGTAGCCTTTCGTCCATGGCTCGGCGCAGACGCCACCCCGTCTAGGACGTAGGAAAGGCTGCACGTCGATGACCTGATGCAGAATGCAGCGAGTCTGCCTCAACATTCTGCTTTAAAACTTCAAGATGCTCCGAAGATGATCCCTCGATCTGGTTCGTTTAATGGTAGACCAAGGCCTGGATGGATCCCCCCCCGGCCGGATTGGAGTTTTTCGGTTTCCGTAAGGTTTCGGCATTCGGCGCAAGTAGGCTTTGAGGGAGTTACCATGAGCCTCGTCATCTTCTTCCTCCTCCTCAGAGAAGAACTCTTGGCCGAGTCCGAAGGACTGCGTCCTGCTCGGGCGACTGTGGGACCGACAGCTTGGACCAAGGCTCGGTTTGGCTCCTGCCAACCTGCCAATGTGGACCTAACCGACAATGGCGATAAACGGCATGGCACTGCAAACACTAGCTTATGCTTCGGGGCACATCAGAATCATCAGAGCTGCAGCACGTGGTCCTGGAGTATTTCAGATTTGTTGGACTAGAGAGAAGGGGCTGCGGCATGACCCTTAGATGCGCATCGTCCTGCTCTGTCCTGCACTTGATGAGTAGCAGAGCGGCTCTTAGAGGTGAAACTCTGCTCAAACTCTGCTCGGTTCCAGAAGCTGTTGCCCCTACTGGGCTACTGGGTCCCATTACTGCGTCTGGGCTGCACCGACCACACGGCTCAGCGCTCCACGGCCATAGGCGTCAGATCCTCTCATTGGCTCGGCAACGAATCAGGCCACATGCCTTCAACAATGACAACAAATATCAACTCATCTCAACCAACTCAAGTCTGGCGTGCGACATGTTTCCCGGTGTCCTCCGGCCAAAAGCCCGACGCCCGAGTTTTTGAGCCAGGCAAAGCTTGCAGCAGGTGCAGCTATGAACCTTTTGAACGACCATTAGGCCGACTGCCCCGGAAGAAACAATGCTGGCAATACTCCCCTTCCCTGTGACCCTCAATCGTCTCTCTGTCAATGTACTTGGATACCGTGCTGCCCATTGCCCACCCCAGCGCACCGCATGTCGTTCCCACAAGTCTCCTTCCTGAAGGCCTGTGCCCACACATTGTTGCACCCATTTTGCACCCTAAACCCACCTAGTCCCGCTCCACTCGGACAGCGCCGAACGCCTGGGCAGACGATGCCACACGGTTGCAGAAAGTCCCATTGTCAGAAAACCAAAGCTGCGAAGCGAAACCTAGCCTGGCTGCATCGCTGAGCACTGCAGGGCCCACCCATCGCCAAACTTGACTGAGAAACGGTCCCTGCGACAGATGGCTCTCTCACGAACTGCCATGAGCGCAGCGAGGGGTCGGATCCTCCTGGCAGCACTCTCTACCCGACTCTACCCGGAGCGGCTCGAGATCCAGGGCGACGCTTCCGAGCTCCAGGCCATTCGATGCCAATGACTTGCATGACCTCGACACTTTGAATTGCAGCTCAACTCATTTCTGCGTCTCTGAGGGGTCTGTGGGGCTGCGTCCGCAAAAGTCACGACGATGGCAATCCTTTTCGGCGGCCCGTTCAGCCACTGCAACTCACTGCAACTCACTTGGTGTCCATACGCCTCGGGTTGCTAACGATTCTCTGAACTTTTCAACGCCTCTTTCTTTCAAGACCACGGAACCTGACGACAACAACAACCCTGCCATGGCACATAAATTACAAGAACCTCCTGGGAGGACCAACGGTCAGACTGTACAAAGCCAAGGAAGGCTCAGGCAGTGAGCCAACGAGATTCCATTTGCCCACGCCAAACCCAGCCCCAGCAGGCAGCTCATGTATCAGCTGCTTGCTTCGCCGCTTGCCGCAATGCATCCACAACCTTCCGCATGCAGCGTGTGCAAGTGGAACATGGCGACAAAAAGCTTCACTGAACCCACCGAACATGTCACTGAGCCTTGCTGTTCAGGGTCCCCTCGGCATGGTCAATCGCCCTCTGCCCGTTCTCATCCTGGGCGTTGATGTCCTTGGTAGAACCGGACACTGCACACACTGCCTGCCGGAGTTTGATGCATTGCAAACATGTTCAACTCTCTACTTCCGCGCTATCTTCAAGAGATGGCTACTCTGCAGTCCGGCGACAGCTCTGGCTGCACACATGACCTTCACAACAACCCAGTTGGGGGTGAAGGGACGTCGCTGTAGAGCAATTGCACACACTCTGTCGAAAACTACAGTGTGGCAGTTCAGACTTTTTTCTCTCTCAGCCGCAAGCTTGCGCAAGCGCAATGGCTCAAAGGCTTCATGATCTGATCATGCGGCGCCAGGGCGCTTCCGCTTGCGGGGCTGTAGACTCTGTAGACCGGTGCGCCTCGCCGCTTGTCTCCTAGGCCCCTGCTTTTGGTGTGGCGGTTGCATGCACTGACGTGCACAACTCCCTCTCGAAACGAAAAGGGGAGCCCCCTCTAAGTACAAGTTTCGGAGTGTGAAGGTCCGCGGAAAGGCTTCCGCAGGTTTTTCCATGGTCCCTCCCCCCACCCAGGCAAGGGCCACCTGTGTGTCGCTTTACATACTCTACCTCACGTCACATCTCAGCGTCGCCAACACGGGGAGGAGGGCTCTTCATTGTGTGTGTGTGCGTGCACTTCAGCACGTGCCCTCTCCATGCGGTGTTGGTGTTTGCACATTTTTTGGGGGTGGGGGGAGGTGCTGTACCTGGGTGGCCTCAGGTGCCCCTTGGCCATGGCACGCCAGCGTGGGCCCCCCTGACCTTCTTGCACCTTTCTTGCCTAAGAGTGGCACAAAGGGTCTGCCGGGACTTGTGCGAAGTGCCGGAGTGCCAGAAGTATCCTCCTCGGACAGTTCTTGGAGAAGATTTTGACAGCCGGCCGGTGCCACATGCGCCAGACGTCCCTATGAGTCTTTGGACGTTGCCATGGCTTAAGAGCAGCGAACCACCTAGCAAGCTTGCTGCCAGCTTTAGCGAAAAGATGCCTCAGTCACTTATCACGTCAGCGGACGCTCCCGTGACCCCCTTGCCACTGGGCTTCTGACCTTCACACACTCGAGCTGCTGCTGCATGGCAGCATACCTTGGCTTATGCAAAGATGGTTCATTCGGATCGCATCAAGCATGAAGCCTTGGCACAGCCCAGAATCCTAGCCCAGACACATCAGCGGCGTTTCCCCCCTGGCCAGAAACATGCCAGTGTCCCAGACAGACACACTGCGCATGTCGCAGAATGATGCCACATGCCCGCTGCTCAGCAGTTGCCGAACAAGGCGAGCAACAAGGCGAGCAGCAAAACACCCACACGACAAAACTCCGTAAACTGTATATAGGCAGTTTGGCCTCAGGGTGTGCGCTTCAAGCGGGCACTTGTTCTGGATCAACAACGACACGAGCTCCTGACGGACGCAGTGCAGCTCCACAAGGCCATGCGCGCAGCCAGCCGCAACAACACCGGCAACAAAAATGGCAACAGCCTGGCAAACATAGTAAACAAGGCAGGCAGAAAGCAAGACTTGCTTTGCCAAGCTCGTGAAGCACATGTACCAGAAATCTTTGGAAGCCGCGCTCTGACATCTCTTAAGTACTTGTGCGGGTCCAGTAGCTCCAATATAGCTGCAACATGTCAAAGACGCCTTGTGCAAGGGTGGTAGACGTTTCAACCCTACACACCCAACCTGGATTTTGCGCAGATGTCAACAAGCTCAGATGCATGGACCATTCAAAAGCCAATGGACCTGCAGGTGTGCCAGCATGTGCGAACAACAGGTCGAAAAGTTGAGTTCAAGTCTATGCTTTCGTTTCAGTCAGCAATACAAGCAAGTGCTGTCTAATATTCACTACCCCCATGCCAAGTTTTAATATGATGATGCAGCTACAAGTGTTTATTTCGCGTCTTGGTACAACTACTGACGAGATCGTCAGTGCAAAGTGCAGAAGTGGCAGAGAGCAGGTACAGTAGCGAGCAGGCACTGCGATGGCACGACGTGTGCACACAACAAGAAGTTTCAAAACAAGCCTTCAAGATTGGTTCCATCTCTGCCATTTGTATCTCCATCTCGCAGAAGGCATTGGACATGCTTCAACGGGCTCGGTGCGCGAGTTGCACAAACGCGTGTTTAGCTGAATACAGACCGGGGATGGTCGGGGCCGGCTTTGCTACACCCACACAGCTGGTAGTGTGAGCTTGAAAGGTAGAAAGCCCTGCGCGTGAGCTACGCAGGCTTCAAGCCTGGCCGGTGGGTAGAGGCAACGTCGCTTGGTGACAGAAAATAGAAGTCAGACTTTGCCACATGGACCCCCATCCGAGTTCAAGAAGCATGAATGAAGCATCCGGTGTAGCAACAGGCTTCGCTCTGGTGTTGGAAAACCCTCAAGAATCGTTGACCACCTCTGAACTTCAAAGATGCCTTGCCCACCTCACTCTGAAAATCGCTCTTAACAGGCTCCTGTCCCATGACTTAACGAAGAGCCTGTGGCTACATGGCGTCCTTGTTGCCACATTGCGCGGCACCAAAGAGGCAATTTCGGCCGTCAGCATCCTGGTGCTCGAGTTTGGCACGGGCAGCCAGGAGATCCTTAATTGCAAACTAAGCATGGGACCTGCATCTTGAATGGGATTCGGCACTTAGGAACAACAAGCAACTTGTAGGCATCGTGGCATTTAGACACGCATCATGAATCCACGTCTAGCCTAACTCTGTAGAAACGACGTGCCCGTAATGAGTTGAAGTCTGTAGAAACGACGTGCCCGTAATGAGTTGAAGCCAGAGTTTCTGAGACGACCGCATCGCGGCCGACTGCACACGCGAGAAGCAGCGCTGTTTTGCCGCCCTTGCTTGGCAGGTCCACCTGAAGGCTCGGATGCACAAAGCGATGATTTTCTCAGATTCTAGGTCGAGGCCCAACTTTCCTGACATTTCCTGACCCAACTTCAAACAAATCTTGCAGTTTCCGAAGCTGCAAAAATGCGCACCGATTGCGCCTTTGCATCCCTGCTGATGAGGCCACGAACGACTGACGTGTGCCTCACAAGCCGCCGAGGCTCAACACAAACGTGAGTAATCATCCTGACACTCTCCCTTCTACATGTCTGTGATGCTTGCACATGCTCGCATGACCTCAGAAATTTTTGCCAGCTCACCCCATGGCTGCTGCCCACATCAAGGCAGTCTGGTGCTCGGAGTCTAGCTGGTTCACCTGACAGGAAGGTGAAGACCGAAATTGGCCCTTTTTTGGGTCCTGTAGGACCCCAGACAAACTTAAGGCTCTGCAACGCATGCCTTTGCACCCTCATCCAGCAAGAACTCGCACAACTCCTAAGGACACACTTGGCCATCTGGCTTCCTGCTCATCGCTCATCACCGTGCCGGGTGAAAACTGGCCCCATTTCCTACCCAGAAGTGTCGAACTGAAATGCGCTTGGGTTCCCAGTGCCCGTTGGCGGCAGCTTTCATCAGCGCGCACTCCCCACGTTCGGTCACCTGCCCCAACGTGATGCTTGGCTCGCACAGGGCAAGTATGTGTTGCAAGTGGTTGGCCGACAGAACTGCATGCAGGAGCTTCTTCGGGTGAGTCGCATAATCCACGGAAACATCATAGTTCTTCACGAGCATTTCCTTGACCAGAAACAAGAGAGGCCAACTGAAACCCTAAACCCCGCAGAAACAAACACAAGACGGGCTGCGTGCCCAATTCCTCAAACCACGTGAAGCCGGTTGCATGAACAGGCCCCACAAGCCGCCAGAACAACACATGTGCAGGTGGGGCGCACAGATGTCAACGTTTCCGGCCAGTGCTGCCCACATAAGAACTGTCCAGCCATAGTCGTCTTTAAGAGTCTCGGACATGGGAAAGCATTTGAAAGCACCAAGAGCCGCAAGACACAAGAATGCTATGCCGGCGTTTACCACATCCTACTCAGAAGAACTGGACATCTGTAGAAGTCCAAGCAGCGATAGAAGCCCCTTCCTCAATGAGTTGGCGAACAATTTCCTGAGCTTGGCTGCGGCCAGACTGCGGCTGAAACCCTGCAAGCCGAAAAAAAGCATGCTTGTCCATAGCACACCTGGGTCCAGTAATGTCCGGCGGGACTCAAGTTCGTCGTTCTCGGCCGCCTTCCTTAGGAGGCTTCGACTCTCGCAGGCTGCACAACTCGACACCTCGAAGTATAGGCTTTTTGCAGACGGTACGCATGAGCGCCGTCACCCCTTCGTCATCCTTGACGTCCAGAACGCGCTGCTTCTCTATTTGAAGTAACTTGGCGCTGTCGGAGCCCATGATGCTGCTGCTTTTCTTTCCTCGTCTCCAGCAAGATAACTCGAGAGATACCTACTGGCTGTCAGCTAGCCGTCGCAGTTCAAACAGCTGTTGCCTATCCACTCCGGTCCAGTTGCGCTGCAGCAGCTGCGCATCAATGAGGTAACGAATCACATCGACATGCCCGCATTTGCCTGGAAAGGAACTTCCCAAAAAGGCCCGGCGTGAGACATTTGTTCAGCCCAAAAAGAGCCTAGGCCTAGAAGAAGCCCTCTGCTGCCAGGACACAAGCCTTCATCAAGGCAGTTTCGCCCGAATCATCCTTCGCAGAAACACGAGCACCTTTCTCCACGAGGAACTTCACCACCTCAGGCACCCTTTGGGCTTTTGATGCTGGCTTCAACGTGAGAATTCAAGACTGTTGCAAAAAAGTATTGAAAGCGTTCAAATCAAAATCGGACCGGCAGCCCAGGCACGTGCATGTGGCCTGCCTCGGCAGAATACATTAAGGCACACATGCCTTCGCCATCCTTCTGGTCCACTTTGACCTTTGGCTCCTGGCTTCAGCCCGGCTTCAGCCACGAAGAGGCGAAGAGGCGAAGAGACGAAGAGCCGTTTGCAACAGTAGCAAAAGCCCCGACTCATCCTGCAAAGCTCGCTGGCAGGAATCCACGGAGCCATTTTTGGCAGCCTTCACATGGGTGGGACCCACACGCAGACGTCGAGAGCTGCGTGGGGGCGATTCTCTTTGCGAAAAGCAAAAACACAACACGCACGCTCACACACACACACACACACACACACACACACACACACACACACACACACACACACACACACACACACACACACACTTTAGACTCGACTTCTGTCGAACTGCAAGCTCCAAATTCTTCTAAAGGTCTGGCAAGCTTCTGGATCTGCAATGGAAATCTGTACTTATTTTGAAATGGCCAAGGATGCAGCAACAGCTTTGAGGGTATTTTTGGGATGGCCTGCAGGTACACAGTTCAGCGTCCTGAACTGTTTCCCACTCCAAGGCATAGCTTCGTTGCACTGGGTTTGCCAAGGAGTGCCCAATGCCCCTGCGAACTTCACTGCAGAAAGTTAAGTGCAAAACAGATGCCCTTTGGTACAGGGCTTGACACACACACACCCCCTCCTTGCGTTGGAGGGGAGTTTTTCGGGTTTTTTTAGGGGCATAAGAAAGTCGACTGAGAGGGAAACCTCAACCTGGGGACAGTAGAGCCTCGGAATTACGTGGACTGCTTACAACGCTCGCACTCAAGACGCTGACGAGGAAACCTCAACTTGGGGACACTAGAGCCTCGGAATTACGGGGACTGCCTACAGTGAGCAAGCGAAAGAGCAGTCCACTGCCCATTGAGTCGTCTGAGATTTCCTTAGTGCGGCTGCCGGGATCGTCTTTCCGACCCTCATCGGCCTCAGCTGGATCCGTCTTCCGGATCATGTGAGAATTCCTTCGTGTGAATGCCGGAATCATCATTCCGGCCTTGAGAGTCCTTAGTTGGTTCCTTGGTCCATCATTGGCTCCACCAGTTGTGGATATAGCAAGCACAACCCCTGCTGTATAAAGAACAGAGCCGACAAGGGGGAAACTTGAACCTGGGGACACTAGAGCCTCGGAATTACAGGGACTGCCTATTTCGTCCGAAGCGAAACAAGAACCAGACCGCAGGTACTGCGTTGCACTCTTTGGGCGGACTCCTGGAGGATCCATGATCAGCGTCAAGCAATTTGCACTCTGTGGGTGGAGCCCTGGGGGATCCATGATAAAGTCAAGCAATCGTGGAGCTGATTATGTAAAGTCACGTGAACTGTCTGCAAGCAAACAGAACGAATGAGAAGCTGAATCAATTGTAGAGTCATTCGTAACAAACTTCTTTCAGGCCCTGACATCAAGCAAGACAATTCATGCGTTAGTTGAAAGACTCCTCCCGTCGCTTGAGAGTCAAGGAAGTCAAAAGCTTCGGTTAAGTCAATCGTGAAGTCAGACTTGTGAGAGCATCCTCCCACGTAGTTGGCGCCCAAAGGGATTGCCGAACTGACACACACTTTAGACTCGACTTCTGTCGAACTGCAAGCTCCAAATTCTTCTAAAGGTCTGGCAAGCTTCTGGATCTGCAATGGAAATCTGTACTTATTTTGAAATGGCCAAGGATGCAGCAACAGCTTTGAGGGTATTTTTGGGATGGCCTGCAGGTACACAGTTCAGCGTCCTGAACTGTTTCCCACTCCAAGGCATAGCTTCGTTGCACTGGGTTTGCCAAGGAGTGCCCAATGCCCCTGCGAACTTCACTGCAGAAAGTTAAGTGCAAAACAGATGCCCTTTGGTACAGGGCTTGACACACACACCCCTCCTTGCGTTGGAGGGGAGTTTTTCGGGTTGTTTTAGGGGCATAAGAAAGTCGACTGAGAGGGAAACCTCAACCTGGGGACAGTAGAGCCTCGGAATTACGTGGACTGCTTACAACGCTCGCACTCAAGACGCTGACGAGGAAACCTCAACTTGGGGACACTAGAGCCTCGGAATTACGGGGACTGCCTACAGTGAGCAAGCGAAAGAGCAGTCCACTGCCCATTGAGTCGTCTGAGATTTCCTTAGTGCGGCTGCCGGGATCGTCTTTCCGACCTTCATCGGCCTCAGCTGGATCCCGTCTTCCGGATCATGTGAGAATTCCTTCGTGTGAATGCCGAAATCATCATTCCGGCCTTGAGAGTCCTTAGTTGGTTCCTTGGTCCATCATTGGCTCCACCAGTTGTGGATATAGCAAGCACAACCCCTGCTGTATAAAGAACAAAGCCGACAAGGGGGAAACTTGAACTTGGGGACACTAGAGCCTCGGAATTACAGGGACTGCCTACTTCGTCCGAAGCGAAACAAGAACCAGACCGCAGGTACTGCGTTGCACTCTTTGGGCGGACTCCTGGAGGATCCATGATCAGCGTCAAGCAATTTGCACTCTGTGGGTGGAGCCGTGGGGGATCCATGATAAAGTCAAGCAATCGTGGAGCTGATTATGCAAAGTCACGTGAACTGTCTGCAAGCAAACAGAACGAATGAGAAGCTGAATCAATTGTAGAGTCATTCGTAACAAACTTCTTTCAGGCCCTGACATCAAGCAAGACAATTCATGCGTTAGTTGAAAGACTCCTCCCGTCGCTTGAGAGTCAAGGAAGTCAAAAGCTTCGGTTAAGTCAATCGTGAAGTCAGACTTGTGAGAGCATCCTCCCACGTAGTTGGCGCCCAAAGGGATTGCCGAACTGACACACACTTTAGACTCGACTTCTGTCGAACTGCAAGCTCCAAATTCTTCTAAAGGTCTGGCAAGCTTCTGGATCTGCAATGGAAATCTGTACTTATTTTGAAATGGCCAAGGATGCAGCAACAGCTTTGAGGGTATTTTTGGGATGGCCTGCAGGTACACAGTTCAGCGTCCTGAACTGTTTCCCACTCCAAGGCATAGCTTCGTTGCACTGGGTTTGCCAAGGAGTGCCCAATGCCCCTGCGAACTTCACTGCAGAAAGTTAAGTGCAAAACAGATGCCCTTTGGTACAGGGCTTGACACACACACACACACACACACACACACACACACACACACACACACCCGCGCGCGCGCACGCGCGCTTGCTTTTGCTGACCCCGAGAGGGCTGAATTGGAGCACATGTCAATTTCACTCACACGCACACACCCACACACGCACACCCACCCACCCACCCACCCACCCACCCACCCACCCACCCACCCACACATGCACAAAACACTAAAAAATGATACATGTGCATGAACTGCATGCAACTAGCTGCCTTGCCTCGATGAGGGGGTGAGTTTGGATAGTGACTCCCTTGCCCTGGTGGTTTTTCAGCGCAGCGAGCAGGTTGCTCGTCATCGCTTCGGCTATGGCAGGAAGTCTCTTACCATCTCTCTCCCCGTTTCCTGGAACTGGAAACGGGGCTGCTAGAAATCATGGGATGTTGTGCTACTGGGGTGCGCGACGTGAACTGTGATAAGGATAGAAGGCTAAGCGTGTGTGGGACCTGGAGCGGATAACAGCTGCAGGCCACAAAGTAGGCAAGCAACCAACCACCCCACATCATGCGAGCTTCCAGCCTGCCAAGATGCACAGCAAGGACACAAAGTGAACACCAAGGAAGAGTACAGGCCACTCCTACTTCTGAGGCCGCAAAACTGAAACGGCAGCTGCACTGTTCATGCTGTTCTTCTTACACATTTGTGTGGGGCTTCTTGTCCTCTCAGTTCCCTGCTGCGCGTCCTCGGAACCGTGCGGCGAGCGTGGGCCCTGACGGGGGGGCACGTCGCCAAAGGAGGAGTCTATCAAATGCCCCTTCGATAGAAATCGACTGGTGCTTTGCTTGCCGACATGAGTGTCCAAGCAGAGAATCGCCCGCCACAGACCTGTAACAGCTGCCACGGCTGGCCAGGGACTGTGACCAGAGTACTCCTGAATCAAGACAGGCTTCACCCACGTTTATCCGTTCAGGATACCCTTTCAATTGTACCAAGAGGTCCGGAACTTTTGTGGGCCAAGCTGCCGCAGAAACATAACTTAGAAGAGCATTATGCATTTAGGCATTTAGCTGCTGCTATTTGGAAGGAAAGCAGCTTTCGGGGACACGCTCATTCTACAGCTTCCTCCGCATTGTGAAGTCGATGGGCATCTCAGGAAGGGCCAGAAGCTGAGCCAACACTGCTGTCATACAGATTACATCCAGATTACAGTAGTCTGGACCAAGTTGTCAATGCAAGGAAACACCTATTTCAGGCCTGTCTCAATTGCCACTGCCTGTCCGGTCAGAGCCAGAGCATGCAGGCTTCATCCTTTCCAAGAACAAAAACGGAAGGCAACAACACAACCAGCAGGCCCCTGAACACCCAACGAATGTGGCCATGGCTCTGATCTGTTCGAGCCCATTCATTTTCCGTTCTGTCTCTCGCAGCTTCGCGCCGATGGTTCAAAATGCTTATAAAGAGATGTTAAAATCTTCAGAATTCAGAAGTTCTTGATTCAGCACTGGGCACTGGGAGCCAGAGGTCGGTGTGAAAGAGGCCCCTAAAGCCCTTCCCGTTCCTTCAAACACACTGCCCCCACTCTTTCGTTAGACGGTAGGTGCTCTGCTCAAGAGATCCTCCGCTCATTCAGCCAGTTGATTCAAAGTGAGACATTGCCAAATCGGCAGGAACCCATATTGGTCGTACATCGCAGCCTGACGGCTGCAAAAGTTGGCACCAAGAGATTCAAAATGAAACCTCAAAGTTTTCTCAACAAAAGATCCGGCTGGCAGGCGCCGTGGTCCAATCCCACCCTGCCCTCGAAAAGCATGTTCCGACACGGACGATCTCCTGATGCCTTCCGTAGTTTCGAAGTGCCTCTCACATCAGCCATTGCTTTCACCGTCACCTGGCCAACAGGCACGGACACAGCAAAACAGCGACATCCAAACTCCCCCTTGCCTTCATCTCCAGGCCTCGGTTATGCCGAGTTATGCCGGTTCTGCAGGAGAAGGACAAACCCATGGACAGATCCGACGTCTCATCTCTCAATCTCTCTCCATCTCGCGTTCTAGGTGTGTGGGTGACATGTCCAGGGACTACATCCCCCGACCCCTTGCCCCTCTCGCTGAGCCCCTTTGGTGCGCGTGACCAGCATCACCCACACAGAATGTCGACTGGTCTGGCCCTCCCTTTGAGAGAGCGAGAGAGCGAGCCAGCGTGGTAGAGAAGGATCCTTCCCATCAGTGTGTTTTGCCGGGGGGGAAGTCGAGGAGGGCCCGCACCGAAGTGCGCTCGAGCCGAAGGTCCTCCCTCTACTTTCCTACGCCAGGGCTTGGCTTTGCAGCCGAGATGCAAAAGGGCGCTTTCAGACTCCGACTCGCTCCGCTGCACGTAGCTGTAGCTGCTGCCCTGCGCGCAGCCATTGCACTGCAATAGAATCTCTGGTGGATTCAGCTGGTATCCAAATCGACGTGATACTGTCAAGCGAATCAACGAGGGAATTTATTGAGAAAACGGAACCTGTCCTACTTCATTCGAGTCTACTCGGCAACTCGATGGTCGATGCCCCTTTTGTATTCCGCAGCAACTGCAACGCTGCGGAGGTGGTTTTGCGATGTAAACCTCCGGTTTGCGCTCCAGAACTGCTCTAGAATTTTTACGAGAAAGAGCAAAACGGCGTGGGCGCCGGTTGTTCAAGGGGCCACCCCACAAAAGAACATACTAGCTGTTGGATCATGCTAGATTGATTTAGATTGCTCTGCCTTCTCTTGTAAGAGCACATGGATGTCCCCGCGCAGGCCGACAAGCTCTTTCATCCTTGCATCTTACAAGCGACGCCAAACACTGAAAAAGGAGCGACGACTGGCTTGCAGGCAAGACACAGCGTCACGCTTGTGTCCTAGGACATCTTGCATCAATGCATGAAGTTACGAAGGCATTCCAGCAATTTATAAACCAGGCTATACCCTGCTCTGGCAATGCGTGCCTTGCACATGCAGTGCTTGCCATCTCTCCCCAATTCTGTCCTCTGTGTATTGCTTGATCATCTTTTTCGTCGCACGGATCCTCAGCGCATCAAATGTTCTGCTGCATCCACTGTAGGGCTTCACAAACAAACCTCAGCAAACTGCTTGCTGTGAAAGCAAGGGGTGAACAATGCCATGCTTGCTTTGACGGTGGCATTACATATTCAGCTGACCCGGTCGAAGCTCTGATCTTTGCAGTCTTTGACGGTGGCCGGATTTGTTCCACGCATGCTGAGCATGAGCTCGACCTTGGACAAAAAAAACCTAATCCGGATGAGGTACGCAATACGTCGGCTACGTGGGTCCAGCCAAGGGCTAGCTTAACAACTTGTAACTTGAGCTCTCCATGACATGTGTGCTATCCGCCGAGGCCCCAGGCCTCAGGAGCTTGGGCACAGCCAGAAAAAGGATTCTGGGGGAGGACCCCCTATATGAACCCCCTATAAACTGGAACCTTCTATGGGCTTCCTGTATGGGTCTTTCATGTCTCTTCATTTGTCCACGGGACCTCCAGGCCCGAAAAATTCCGATTGCAATGTTTGAGAGTGGAAATTCCACGAACCTACGAACATCCACCCAGTTTGCCCCTACAGGGACCAATGTGCCTCTACGGACATTCCGAGTCCCCTTTCTTGAGGGTTCTTGGGCCTCCTTACGGACTTTGATGGAAATTTCTCGTTTGTTCTGGACCCTTCACAAACCTCTACAGCCTTCCAGAACCTATCTGCCAGAGACTTGACACCAACGCAGGCCAAGAAGCAATCTCTGGAAATGTGATGCCATGGTCACCTGCATCTAATGATTGCAACACGCGCAAGCATCATGGCACTCCTCATGACTGCAGGACACGGTGAAGTCTCGTGTTCAAGACTCGCTAAGTCTCGCTTCTGTCTGAAGCTCTACCACGCTGCAATCGAGTTGGGCTAAGCTTCTTGAACACGCCAACGGACGCGCGTTCTCCTTACTCTCTCATGCGCTACTATCTCCAGTGAGTGCCGCTGAGATGGTGAACAATGTGTGCAAGTTTCAGACTTCCCGCATCCTCCCGCTCCCCTGCCCAAGCACCACCGGACACCGCGATGACGCAGTGACTCAGCAACATGTCGGAGCCTTTGGAGAAGTCCTCGTAGACCACATCCTCGTTGACAAAACAACATCTACTGATACAGGACAAGCCGGAACCGATGCGAAAGAGGTTTCGACAACAATCACACAACAATCACGCACTCTTACATAGATAGCTTCAAACGGGCGGAGCCCTTCATTGACAACCTCAAGCCGCTCATCCCCACGTTCTTCCAGCAACCCCTGTGCTGTCATCAACGGGCACATGCCCTTCTTCTCTGAAACCTGTGCATAGCCTCCCGAATTGCCGCCCAGATTCCAGCATGTCAGCCATGGTCGCCACATCCACACCGGAGTCTTGAGCAACCCGCCGAACACCTCAACCAGTTTTCGCAGGACGCTTGCCTGCTGACCGCGAAAGTGAACCAAAACATACTTGCGCGCCTAAACTCTCTAAACTTTCCACAAACTTGCTCATCTGCTACTTGGGTAGTCATGGGTGGTCCAGGCATTCTCTCAACTGTCCATGCCTGGCTCCATCATGAACTGTCCAAATTCTTCTTGCGTGAAGCAAACGTCCTGCTGGAATGCGCTTGCAAGTTCGAAGCGGAAACAGACGGACCATACCACATCACAAGCCATGTGGTGGGAGATTTGTCCTGATGGCGGTTAGATTTGGCCAGCTCTTCCCTGCGAGATGTTTAGACTCCGCACTGCCAGTTTGCTGCGGACGGCCATGCAAGCGAGACGAAGTCACTCACGAAGGTGCATCCGTGCCTGAGCTCTCCCGCGATGAATGCCGCGGCGAGCCTTTCCTGGAGACAGACATCTAGCGAGAGAGTGAGAGAGAGAGAGAGCGAGAGAGCGAGAGAGCGAGAGAGCGAGAGAGCGAGAGAGCGAGAGAGCGAGAGAGCGAGAGAGCGAGAGAGCGAGAGAGCGAGAGAGCGAGAGAGCGAGAGAGAGAGAGAGAGAGACTTGACAACACTGCCGCCGGACAAGCGGCTGGGAGGATGGCAGACGGATGGACGTGGACAACCGTGCGTGTATGGACGGACGGACATATGCAGACGGATGTGGGCAAAGGTATGGAAAGTGCAGAACTGCCGCCTTGGCTCCTGCTGGTCCCAGAATGAGGACAGGGACTCATTTTGGGATTTTGCCTTGTCTTTTGCATACTCGGAACTCGTCAAAGTCAAAGGCTTTCCCATAGAGTAGTCTCACAATCAAGTTTTTCATGGTTTCGTAGGGATCATCGATGCCCGCGACTCGTTTTTCGATGTTCAGTCGCACGGCCCAATCCTGGCCCCACAACCCCCCACAGCAGTGTGAGCAGGTTGTCTAGCAACCCTCGAATAAACAAGGCCCGCGGTCAACTAATAACCGTACCGCTTGCACAATGCAGGGGGCACCTTCTCCGATGCAGAAACGGCACTCATCACCTCGCACCAATCAGTGAATCCTAGCTTCTAGGTACTGTCGCATATCTCTGTTTGATGTGCTTCAAGGCTGTCAGCACGCCACTCGCAAATACACATACTTGCACGACGTACAGCCAAGAACTCAGCTCGCAACATCCACCAGAACTCCCAAAAGCATGTACATGATGGTGAGAGATGCCTCGGCAAGGCAACCAGCTCCGGGACAGCCCTTCACGGTTTAGACATATTATGCCCTGCAACAACTTAATTAAGTACCTAGGGTTAGCGTCTGTGCGCTGTTGTGCTGCTCGTCAACTGCTATGGAACTTTCTGAAATATGCTTGGTAATCCCAAGAGGGGGTCCCCTTGCACAACTACCCCAACCAGTGTCCCCTTGGTAGAAGGCTCGTGCCTTATGGTGTAAACCTGCGCGTCTTTTTCTAGGCCGTTGCCATTGCAGCCTTCTTCTTCTCCAGGGCAGTAATAATGTACTGCCCTGTCGGCGACTTCTTGAGGTCCTGCGCCACCGCCTCTGGGCATGCGTTGGTTTCAGTAACCCGTCGGCCAATTGGAAAAGAAGCGCGATTTGTGTTTCTGGGGTCCCGGGGCTTTTCCCGGATGCCGCCTCGAGGCGTCGACACAGTTCCTCCCAGTCCTCGCCCCGGCTGTATTCGATGATTCGCTGGACTGTGTAGTTGCCGAACCGGTCCTGGACTGGAGCAACGAGCAATCAACAAAGCAGTCGGAAAATGTCCAAGTCGTTCTACACATCTACACCACAGATCGGCCTTCATGAGCTTTGCAATGGGTGCAGCTGGGTCCGAGGAAGATCCCAGCATTGCACGCATCAGCGCTGATCTCAGGCACACAGAATGCAAACTGAGAAGTTGGCTCCATCTAGCCGCATCAAGCCCGAGCAGTGCCCACCACTTTGAGGGAGCCCAACTTTTTGTTGCGGCCCAAAATGCCTCTCATCAGCTAGAACATCTGCGTGGACACCAATTGCAGTGATTTCGAAGCACTTCTCCACCACATTGCTCGAGACCTGTTGTTGATCAAAAGCTGGACGCTTGAAACAGACACAAAGCTGATCACGCCCGACCTTGTTCTTGGAAAAATCCAGCACGCTCCGTGTTATTGCCTGCTGCAACAGAAAAGGAAAAGTAAGATTCTCGTGGTTTGCTCTGGCCACGGCATGTCCAACCACGGTCAGCTCGCACCACTCTTGCACCTGAACAATTTGACGTTTGTCCTGCTCGCGACCTCGCTCCAAGACGCATTGGATGACCTGTCCCAGGGGACCCTTACAGAAAGACTCTGAGATGTTGTGTCACCTTCGGCAAGTTTTGTCGCCAAGGCACATAATTCGCATGGCTGTCCTTCAGAACACATGTGACATGATGGTCTTCGGATGCACTTCTGCTCAATCAGTAAGCTAAGATACCCTCTTCTGTTACGCTCACCGCCAACAGCGAAAACGGCCCGCCTTCGAAAGCTTGCCCGCCGAAGCGACGATGGGATCGAGAACCGCAGCGAGCTTTGCTGCATCGCAATTTTCCAGAAGTCTCTGAATAATGCGGCAGCCATACCTTAAGGGCCGGTTCAGAATAGTGAAGGAGCAAACATGTTGTCTCCAAGGCTATCAGTGGCCATCGTCGTCTTCGAGACTATATATATGCACAACATGCTGACTGCGTAGACTTCGCCAGGTTCAAGGCAATGAGAATCGACACCTAGCTACTGGAGGCGACTCTCCGTCAAGGGTCGCATCACCAGCTCCGAAACCAAGTTGCACCAGGTTACACGAATAACGGGGGATCGAAGGGCAAAGGAGCACCGAAAGCAGCCAGACCATGCTTCTGACAAAGCATGTGAATCTTAGGGCAAGCCCGAAAACGACGAAAGGGACGGAGAGAGAAAGAGTGAGAGAGAGAGAGAGCGGCAACGACGAAGGCAGCAGCGAACACGAGAAGACCAACGTGAGATGGGGCGCAGCAGACCCACGCCAGCGCACACAAGCTTCCCGAAAAAGCCCGCTACCGTACGAGATGCAAGAAGAGCAAAGGTGAGCAATGTTCGCATGAGAGGGTGTGCTCAGGCATGATCATCAGTCTTCAGACTGAAGGGGCAGGGCCATGTGCCGCATCGACAGGGCTGTATCGCCTTCGTTGGAAATCTAGGTATGCTCCGCAACTCTTAGTTTCTGGAGATGGTCAGCGTCTCTGGGTATGATTACTCAATGGTTGGGTGTACGTCGTCTCCATACTCGACAGGGTGTCATCAGGCCACAAATCTACTGGAGACAATCCCAAAGGACAGAAACGAAGCAGGGAGCATTCACGAGTAGTGAATCAGGGCAATTTGCCCATCACTGTCAGCAATTGGTCAGAATTACTGACGAGTACAACACTCGGACTCATTGCATGTGCTGCATTCTCCTCTGCTCACATGAAGGCCCTTTTGGGCAAACACGTTTGGAACTCCAGGCGCCATACCACCAACCACGATGTGCAGCTTGACTAAGCATCACTGCCAGCATCACTGCCAACTCCGTTTCGGAACAGGAGGGTTTCACACACACACACACACACAGTGTGTGTGTCTAGATATGTCTGTTCGCAGGCAACTGTCAATCGAAGAGGCTGACGGTTCGTTACGGGACGGTGGAAGTGCTGTGGGCATGGTGCGAATAGCACAGAGAAGTGAGCGTTCGGATTCGTAAGGTACGTGCCACAAAAATATGGTGGGCAAGCTGTTTCTTTCATTTGCGCTTCATCAAAAAAAAACCTCCCGAGCTTGTCCACAAGCAGTTCTCTCATGATGCTTGCTGGAAGATACCTGCCATGCCCACCCACACCCTCCTTCCTCCCTCTCTTCCTTCCATCAACTGCTAACAGCAAACCTCCAGGTTCAGGCTGCAAGCCGTGCATCTGCCACAACCCAAGGAAAAGCATACAATTCGACTTGGGCGCATGTGCGCTGCCATTTCTGCTGCCTTGGCAGAAATAGCACGGATGACAAACTCAATGTCGTCCGCGCTCAAGTTTTCCACGATCTTCTGGACAACATGATTGCCTCGAGTGTGCTGTCTGGAGAAAAAGTCATAAAGATCAACCTTCAACGTTACCTATTGATACATATAAGAAGATGCAAGGGCTTGTGTGGACTCGCTCTCTGGCCCTCCCCTCGATCCGTAAATGGCCCTGATCCGATTGAACACCAACTCCATATGGCACCCAAGCTGTTGCTATCTGTTGCCGCTAATTTCATTCCAATCTTTGGGCTGGGACCAACCCTTCTGTGATCTGGGGCCCAGGCCATGCATATCGTACACACACTGGACGACCTTGTCCATGAGCTCGGCCGTAATGGCCGACTTCTTGGGCGAAGGCAGCACCTCGAGCATCTTCTGAATCACCCGGCAGCCGAACTTATGCTCGGAGAGCTCGAGAACCTGGGCATGGAGCAAAGCAACTGCAGCCAAAATAGCATGGATTTTGCGCAGAAGAAGTGAGTCCCACACACAACTGCCTCCAAGAAGCATGACCCTTGACCTTTGAAAGCATGACCTGGGAAGGTGGTTCCCAGAGAAAGACGAGATGCACTAGCCACCTTGACATGTCGCGACCCTCTGCTCTGGCTTGCTGCCGATGGCCTGAACAAAAAACGACCGTGATAAGAAACCCCATATCTCTGACTCTAAGAATCCATACTGTGAGGCGGAAGTCACCTCCAGCTGTTCAGTCGTGCCGTGCTCAAGGAGCTTCTGCACAACGAAGTTGCCAAAGGCGTCGGTGGCCAGTTTTACCTCTGACCACAGGCATTGTCAGGATCCCCATGCAGAGTCCACAGCCGCTGAGTGTACCCCCCCCCTGCGAGTCGCCCGGCCGTGTCAGGCATCGCCAAGTCGTAGATTTTGGCCTTGTCTTCTGCACTGCAGTTACCAGCCAGCTTCCATTGCAAGAAGCGGCTGCCCTCCTGCTCCTGCACAAGTTCATTCAGAAGCACGGACGTGATCAACACAAGGCTCATAGCCAAAATCTCAGGAGGTGATCGCATCTGCTCATACTTGGTCCTTCGCCGCTTTTGCAAGCCGCGGGAAAACCTTGGACAGGCAGCGCGGCAGTTTCCACTGAACAGGTGGCAGCCCAGCACCCTGCTGCAGATCGCATCCGAAGCGCAAGAATCAACAGCACATCCATTCAATCCACTGCCTCTGCCAACGTGAGGTTGATATCTGCACCGCTTATTGCGGCGCCGGAGTCGTCAGGGGACTCCTCGCGCTTCCGCTTTCCTCGGCCCTGGTCCTGCACAGAGCAGCTGGCAGCTCCCTGATGATCTCTTCTCCCAAGCTGGAGCTGTCAGCTTTCACATCTACAAGGCCATAGGGCGACATGGCATGTCATGGCGATATGGCGTCCTTGCCCTTCCTCGAGCCCTTTCCCCTTCTTGGTGAACGGCTCCTCCCAGCGCGGAGCTGGCATGATGGTGCCCCAGGCTGACCCGCACTATCCCACACTTGCATTCGTCAACATTGGGCATATCAACATCCTTCTAGCTGTATTCACTCATTTGAGAAAAGTACGTGCGTATATACTTATATACATATATATATATACACATATATACATATACATAGATATGAGCACCTACCCTGAACCTGCAACATGACAGACATGAGTTCGACAGCTTCACAATTTGAAGGAGCTGATGCACTGGGCAAGTCAGCAAGAACGTAGAAACTTGAAGTCGATGAATCCAAGTCTTGCTGAGTGGAAAGCAACCTCAGGAAACGGAAACCTCTTGGGCCCTTTGGCAAAGCAAACTGCGACACCAGCTTACGAAACACCGGCCAAGCAAACACCAGTGCCCACTTCCCAGAAATTGCATCCGGCTTCGCCTGTGTGAAGGCTCCCTGGGGTCCCTTTCCCTGCCATCGAGGCGAATCACCAACAGTACGGACTTGCGTAGAGTGGACCCACAGCACTTACTGTCACCGCAGAAGGATGGCCTGTCAGCCGGCGCAGTGTGCGGATAACCCGGCGGCGGGTAGGCCGGCGGTGGGTAGCCCGGTGGCGGATAGCCTGGCGGCGGATAGCCTGACAGCTTATGTTGAATACTGCTGCGCCCGCTTTCTGATCTCATGTGCTCAGCCGACAGCTTCCTTTCATTGCACAACGGCTCCAACGTCAACCCCCTGAAAGAATGCCTGGTGGGGGATATCCAGGAGGAGCACCATATGAGGGCGGATAGCCGTAGCCAGGCGGCGGAGGCGCGTAATATCCTGATGAATACCCCGGCGGTGGGTAGTGGTGCCTTGCATACGGATCGTACGCAGGGTAGCCCGCATAAGGCCCATACGGGTCCCTGTAGTAGTCATCATACGGTCGACGCCCATATGGATCGTATCCACCGGCAGGTGGAACGCCCGCATAAGGATCTTGCTCGGAAGCTCTGTGACCATTGGAACCATCTCCCCAAGGCGCAGGGTCGCGCCTTGAGCGCTTCGAGTCCGGCTCAGTCATTTTGGTCCATGCTTCGTGCAAAAGGTGGTCCTACACCAGAGCTACTGGAGGTCTATGTCTCGGCTTGGCTGAGGCGGCTGGGTCGTGGGTGAGTCTTGAGGATGTGGCCTACTCTAGATATCGGATATCTAGTCGGGTAAGGAGCTCGGTGAGAGCATCGGTAAGTCCAGCATCGTTGACGATTGATTAGGGGATGTGCTCACAGCTGCCTTGATGCTGCTAACGCAATGCTAACGCAGGAAGGCGTTAGCAATGGAAGCGAAGTGCAATACAGCCACTGAGAAAAAGTGAACAAGAAGCACACAGAGGATCCGGGCTCTGGATCCAATACTTCCTGCTAGTTGTTGTACAGCAAGCGACACATGCCCCCCGTCTTCCCCTACGGCGTATGCAGAAATGCAGAAATATCTTTCCAAAGTACATCCTGAATTGATTTACCTCGATGCTTTTGCGAACTCATTTTTCGAGCTTCGTTGCCCAGGGCAATTCCTTCTGCACCCTACTTGGACTACTGTTCTGCGCACTTCTCACGAAACTTGGTTGTCTCACTTGGCACCAGAGAGGTTGGACTTCGCTTCGAGGAGAGCTTCTACCTCGAACGTCCCACGCTTCATCTGATGATGTCTGACGTGATGTGAAGTGAGGAGAAGTGACGTGACCGTCGTGCAGAAGGAACTCGGAAGACCCAACCCCCACTCACCAACTGCAAAAGGATCTAAGTCCTTCTCTAAGCTGGAACCGATCTTCTCTGTTTCCACAGCCGGCTAGGGTTTCCGAATTTCATCCAGTGTTCCGAGCGTCTCAAGCTGTGACACTGCACATGACGACACAGAATGTGGCAGAATCCGGCCTCGTCGTTTCGGGCCTTCTGCCGCGCGTCGAAGTTTTGCACCGTGAAATCGCAGGACTCGTGGAGGTCTCCTTCGAGTCCGGCCAGGTTTGCGACTTCGGCCTCAGCACCTCCACGAAGCGAATGCCAAGGATTTTGAGGTGGGGGTTTCCCAACGCAAACCTCCGCCCCAATTTTGTTCGCACGCGCGCGTGTTGGAACCCAAGTATCAAAGGGACTTAGAATTCTACCACAGTGCCGGAGGCACTGCTGAGACCAGCAGGAACCAAGCAGTGCATCTGCAAAAAGATCAAGTTTGTGATGCTTAGTTTGCATGTGATGGTCCTGCTGCACAATGCCAGCATATACGTCTGGTGTTCAGTGTCTTTCGGGCACGGCCCGTCATGGCGCCATCACCTGACCTGCGAGCCCCGAACTTTTGAGTTTCCATTCGGGGATCTGCCCGAGATGGCTTCAGAACGAGTCTCTTGAGCGAAAAACATGCCCGAACCACGATCAAGTGACCAGCAGTGAGTGGCCAGGAGTGTTCAGAACATACCAGAACCTGACATCGAGTAACCGGGACTGTGCCGACATGCCTCAGCACAGCCTGACTTCTATGTTTTGCCGTATCACTTGTTGCCGTCTCGTTTGATGTGGTAGCCTGAGGTCACCCCCCGCCTCCACCCGTGGCAACTCTTTTTTAGTTGGTTTAAGCTATGCCTACTCGGCAGTAACTTTTGCTTGCTCGAATGATCGCAGACCCTTTCTTCTTCCATCTCCTGTGCTCAACACTCAGTGCAACCACTTAAGCCCTAATTCTGATCTCACCTCATCAAGGGCATGTCTCGGGGCCTTTTTTGGACTGGCGAGCTTGAACCATCCTTTCGGTCAGCTTTGCCTTCTGCTCCGCCTTTGGTGCTACAAACTCTTCGCACTTGTCCGGCTAGCAGTCACAGGCGTTGTCCCACCTGGTCTTCAAGCTCCTTGTCCTTCGTGGCCAAGGATGCAATGGTCTCCTGCGCTCAGTAGAGTGCCCACAGTTCAGTTACTGCATACTTCTCTTTCGTTTGTGATGCCGCTCTTCTAGTTCGAAACAACCTCGACATTCCGTCTCCTTGCCGAAGTCTTCATAGTCTTTCTGCGCCTCACGTTCAGCGGCGGTGGATTCCGCCTCCATCTCCTACCAAACGACACAGAACCGTGAGGTGCGATCTTATGCGATCTTCATGTCAAAGGTGACACTTCCCCGGCTGCGGCAATCATGGATGGCGCTGCTGACTTCTCCTGCGCGTCTGCGATCAGCTGCTGAAGCATCATCATCACCTTAGGCCGGGGCAGGCCAATGAGTCTACACCACATCCTGGGCCCACCACGTTAGGACCCGCAAGGATGGCAACTGCTTTTGAGTCATGTCACACCGTTGTTGGCCGAGCTCTTCTTGTAGCCACCAAAGGTGTCGGGCTCCTTTGGGTGAGCCTTGGTCCAGGAGTTGCAGGTGGAACTCGAGCTGCCACACTGGCCTAGCACAGGCTGAGCACCTTCTGGAGGAAGGACCCCTCCCCCTTTGTGTTGTAGAAAGCCGCTAGCACACCGAGGGCCTTCTTGAGCAGGACCTTCCGAACTCCAAAGAGACAACTGCGCAAGCAACTGGGCTGACTTGACTGTCTCTCAAACCATCAGAACGGCGCATGGACCTGTGTTTGCCGCTGTTCCTGCACAGTCTTCTGGAACTCAGCATTCTCTTTCTCCCTGTTTTGCGCGGCCAGTTTCCTTGGTCAACGGCACATCCATCAGTGCACTGTAGCTTCGGCCGCTGTCCGCCAGATCACAGCTCTCATCACACCGATCACACGCTTTCTCTGCTCAGTGGCTGCTGCTTCTTCAGCCCCGCCACTTGGGCCTAGAATCAAGGCGGTACCCGTCCGGTGCTGCAAAATGGTTTCGTTCTCGCCTGGCCTGGACTTCTGCAGTCTGTAAATCCAGAGCCTTGACTTTCTGCTTCAAGTCCTGCTACGGCACAACTGCATGGCACATTGCACGATATTTCATGTGGACAGGCAGCTACCATGAGCCTCCGCTGCTGCTGAGAACTCTTCACCTTCCCGTGTCTTGTCGGCAGCAGCAAGCCTGACACAAGATGAACTCCTAGAAACCCCCTCCCCATCCCCTGTGCGACGTTCTACGAGCGGCCTGTTCTTTTGGAGCTCTTCGATGCAATAGTCCTTCTTCTTCACTTCGGCTGCCTGCTCCTCCTTGAGCGCGGCGACCATGGCATCGATCTGTTTTCGCACCTTCAAGGGGAAAAAATCTCTCCAAGTCTGAACTATGAGTGGCAGCTTTCAGATCACGCGCCACCGTTCTTCCTGGGCACCCCTCCTTTTTCCAACCGAACATGCGAGACAATGGCTGCAGAAGCCGCCAAGATCTCTTGGCAGTCTTCCGTTCCCACTGAGCGAATTCACCCAACTTGGCCAACAATGTCTCACAGCGGTTGCCTCGGTTGATCAGCTTCATCGCTTTGGATGAGCCACACCTTCTGAGGCGAGTCGTTTGATCATCTGCGCGGAGTCCGAGGCTCTCAGGAACAGGAGAACCATCAGGCCACAGAAGCTCCCCGCTCTCCGAGATGCAAGGGTAGTGCGAATACCTCACTGGATCCTCCGCATTCAGCTTGCAAAGGCGCGCTAAATTGGAAGCATTCACGTCCTTGGCCCAAACCAGCAAGGTGCTCATGCAGCGTTCTCACGCCGAATCCGTTAGGGAAGAATCTTACGGTGTCGTACTTGCTTGAAGCCAGGTTGGGTTCCAAGAATCCTGGCCGACTCGCAGGTGCCCAGATCGAGAGATCAACCGCTTTTCAAGTGCAATCTTCGAAGCATCCAGGTAGCCATGGAAGTAGCGAATGCGCGGGTGATCCACTGCCTCAGGCGAGTCGGGCTCACCCGATGGTGCTGGGCTCGCTTCAGCAGAAGGAAACATAGAACCCACTCCCCTCGTGTTCAACACTGAGGCCTTCTTCTCTGCGACTCGGTGAATGAAGGCTGCCACAAAAGGTGGGCCAAACTGGACCATGTCGCAGGCCGCCTGCACTCAGGGCTCGTCTGGGGGCACAGGACATGTCACGATCAGACAAGAGAAGTTACATGACTTACATGGGCATGGGGTTGAAGCCTGGACGTCACCCTGGCCATTGTCTCCCAAAAACACGGCCTCTTGGGGCACACACGAACACGAAGTTGTGACTCAAGGCAGTGCCGAGATCATTGATCTGCCGGCACTAGCCCAAATACAAGACCAATGGCCTTTTGCTGGCCCACGTCTTCTCCCAAAACTTCCTCGCGCAACACCAGCAGTGATCAAAGCCACCACATGTCTGAAAAGAGAAATGTCACAGTTCTAATTGTGCTCGGTGGCTGTGTCAAGCCATGGATTGATACAGCAGGAGTGATGTCCGAAAGCTGATTCCCATGGGCAAGGGGGGCAGTGTCAAATAGCCCTAGCATGACGCACTTCGGCCTCCCAGTTGCGCAGCTTTGTGCGCCCGAATGGGCGGAAGTTGCCCACCAGCGCGGGCAGCACGTCCCGGAGGCGACCGTACTTGGAGCCTGACACGTGCATCAGGTTTGACAGCTCGCACAGCCTCAAAAGCTGCAGAGTCTACAGCCGAGTGTGAACACGTCACTGCCAAAGGCCGGCAATGCCCTCTGTCTGCTTCTGGCCTTCGAAATCGATGCCCCAGCTTGGCAGCTCGTTCGATTCGGCGACGCGGCAGAATTCCTGTGCCACCTGCAACGCATGGGGAGGACATTGTGCTGCAAGACGCGAGTATGCCAAGCACCCCTTCAGGACTTCACTGAACCCCTGCGAACACCTTGCTGGTGGGCTTCATACGCAAAAAGCCAAGCCTCACAGGATTTGAAACGGCAAGAAAAGCAGCATCTGCTGGCACAAAATCAACAAAAAAAACTACTGACGGGTTGCACCAGGCAGCTTCTTTGGTCGTGCTGAAAGAAGCCGAACACTAGGAGGAGGCCTGTTGCACATGAATGCAGCTGACAGCTATGCACGCGTTCCTTCTATGTGGCTTGGGAGTAAAGTCTGTCCTGTCTTTGCTGAAGGTGCCCTCTCCGCGACCCCGTGAGATCTCGAGCATAAACTGCACGGCGCCCGGGTAGATCTCTTTCCTAGGCGCGTTTGTCAGAAGGAAGTCGGCGCAGCATGTGAGCGAGCATCATAGGCAGAATGGGGATCTCAAGATGAAGAGAAAACCTTGAAAAGGTAGGTTCGCCGGACTTCGACACTTATGCTGGCATCATGAGGCGGGCGATACTCCATACTAGGTTCGGGTGAAAAGTGGGACACAAGAGACACATACCAGGCAGAGCAAACAGGACTTTAGGAGCAGTTAGCACGCATCACTCACATCTCTCGCGCGCAATCGGTCGTAAGTTAAGACTCGGATCTAAGGTTGCTCAGGCAGTGAGATACGTATACTCGATTCAGCAATGCACTTTTGGCACACAAACAGGAACCAGAAACAGACGTGCAAGAGTTTGAGGCTCACCGCGCGGCCTAAGGCCGTGAAGCGGGAACCCGACGATCGGTGGGTCAAGAGGGGTGGTTTACCCTTTTGGAACGCCTAATCCTGGCCCTCGAGTCTAAACACTTTAAACTGGCTGGGCCTAGCCCTGAGACATATATGAAAATGTGGGTGACCACGGCTTTGCCAAAATCGACCTGCGCAGCTGGGCGGTCGTCAACTGACGGTTCTACTGCGCTGGCGCCAAAGTGCATTGTCACATGCGGCAAAGCATCCGATAACCACACTCGTCAACCCCGCCGCCACGCGGTCCTCCGGAGCACTTGATCGTGTCATCCACATCTGACAAGATCCTCGAGGCAGGCACAGGTCTCGTGAGGCTTGGGCTCTGAGCCTGAGCTGTTCAGTGACATGATGAGTGGCTTTAGGGGGGGGTCGGAGTCGAGGAACTGCGCCCCCACGGAGCCACGCCACCAGCGAAGCAAGGCACCCTGAATGGTCCGAAGGTTTGCAGCAGTTTGCATAAGTGCCATGAGCCATGGGCTTTCATTTTCAAGCCTGTGCGTATCGCAGCTTCATCGCAGCAGGAGATGCACGACGGATAACACGTTGGCATCTGTGGCGTCCAGCGTGCCTGTGCATGGTGAGCCCTGAAATCATGCCTGCAACTAAAACAGCCCTGTCAACTCAAAGGGGCGCAAAGCTCATGCCACCTCACTGGCACTCCAACACAGTCTGGTAGCCACTCGCATCGTGGTGGGACGAAAGTCTGTGCCTGCCAGCTGCGTCCTAGTTCGAAGCCTGCTGCATATCTCCAATTCAATGGAGGCCTGTCCCAGTGGCGATGAAACCTCCAAGTGCAACCACACCGTCAGCGAGCTGAACACAAGGAGCCACGCAAGGCGCATGGCCGAAAGGATATTGAACGATATTGGACGATATTGAATTGCTGGCGCAAAAGAACTTGGAAGACACACTGGAAGGGCATGGGTGGTCTCTGTGGGGGCAAGCGACGATGAAGGAGCATGGGTGGTTGTACTGAGTTACAACTGAAGCCGCATGAGACCACCCATGCCTGAAGGACATGTGCTGCAGCACGAAATGCATCCTTAGCTATATACCTCTGCCCGCATGCTCTAAAATTAGACTGGAAAAGATGTGCGGAAGATGTGCTTTTTGGCCACCATACCGTTTATGTTGGCTGCGTTGCCCATTGTCGCTGCATGGCTCTTTTGCTCGCATCCAAGATACGTCTCTGGTTAGGCAAATGTTATTTGTGTAGAACTAGTTCAGAAGTGGCGTTCATTCCGAACTCAAAGACCGCTGCCCGCACCCGAGTAGGAGCCGTAGAAGAAGACGGCCAGAAGGCCAACGGCAGCCGTGCCCGCCAACAGGCCCAAAAACACCAGCGGAAACCTCGTGGGCTCGCCGCCCGTTGCAGCCATGCTCACTTGCACTGAGCGGCCCTCTGCCTGGAATGCTGGAGCCTGGGCGAATGCTCCAGCCTCAGCCTGCGGAGTGGAGCCGCGAAGCGACTGCGGGGCGACGAAGCTCTCGGCCGGCAGCAGGACGTACACGGCGCAGGCCACCAGGGCCGCCACCAGCAGGTTGGCACTGCGCTTTGCCATGGTCGAGTGGTTTCAGAAGCACTGCTGCTTTTTCACGGAGCTTAGACCAGTGGCTGTGATCACAGACAACATCGAAAACAAGACCCCTGGCAGAACAAGGGGAGGGCGGTCGCAACTTGCCGGGGTTTCGATTGAGCTCCACATCCATATAAAACTTCCAACTCGTTGTGCTTCGTTGCTGCTGTTCAACACGACATATGCCTTTTCTTCGTCTTTTTCAAGGCTTGGCTCCTCCCCCTTTCCGCTCTACGACTCATTCCTCGAAGGATCTGAGCGTTAGCAACCGTGCATCATTCACGCGAGATGGTATTTTCGTTCTGTAAATTAGGCACAAACCTAGGAAGTGTTTTTGCTATCTGCTATGACCGACAAACAACATCCCCTCTTCCTGAATCCCCATCTCTCCCATTGCCCCTTCTTAGGTCTGCAGCACCATTTCGGGCACGACCTCCCCCCATCTGTGTGGGTTGTGGGTTAGCCCTGTTCTTGCTTGCCAATGGCTCTGTGCTATCGTCCGTGCTCTTCCATCTGCTGCCACTGCGAGGCTTGCCGGTACGGACTCTGCACTCGGTGTTCCACCCAGAGTCAGCCACGCACCCCAGTGCGGAGTAGAACCACTCTGTCTCTCTTTCTTTCTTGCTTGCTCGGTTTCTTTCTTTCTTTCGTTCTTTCTTTCTTTTCCTGTATTTCTTTCTTTTCTTTCTTTATTTGTTTCCTTCTTTCTATCTTGCGTAGGGCGCGGGGATCTCTCTCTGTCGCACTCTCACTGCCTCTCCCCCTTGTTTGTGTTTCTTTTCAAATGTAGAGCTGTCTCGCTGCAGAAAAGCAGGTGGCTCACTTGCCGAGCCAATCACAATCCGCTGCCTGCACCCGAGTAGGAGCCGTAGAAGAAGACGGCCAGAAGGCCAACGGCGGCCGTGCCCGCCAACAGGCCCAAGAACACCAGCGGAAACCTCGTGGGCTCACCACCCGTTGCAGCCATGCTCACTTGCACCGAGCGGCCCTCTGCCTGGAATGCTGGAGCCTGGGCGAATGCTCCAGCCTCAGCTTGCGGAGTGGAGCCGCGAAGCGACTGCGGGGCAACGAAGCTCTCTGCCGGCAGCAGGACGTACACGGCGCAGGCCACCAGGGCCGCCACCAGCAGGTTGGCACTGCGCTTTGCCATGGTCGAGTGGTTCAGGAGTGCTGCTGCTATTTGCAAGGAGCTTGGGCCAACTCATGATGCCGCACAACACGCTTGTCACTGCATGCATGTCACTCAGCTTTCCCCTAGGCTTCGGCCCTGTTCACTGAAACATGTGCACATGTTTGGGGCTTAGCGCTGAATCGGCGCAGCAGCGTGCGACTACCTCTGATCAACAACGCACTGCCTGTGATCACTTTTTGCTCACTGCCCTTGGTACTTTGGAGCCGATCCGCCCTTGCACAAAAACGGGTGGCTCACTTGCCGAGCCAATCACAGGCCGCTGCCTGCACCAGAGTAGGAGCCGTAGAAGAAGACGGCCAGAAGGCCAACGGCAGCCGTGCCCGCCAACAGGCCCAAGAAAACCAGCGGAAACCTCGTGGGCTCGCCGCCAGTTGCAGCCATGCTCACTTGCACTGAGCGGCCCTCTGCCTGGAATGCTGGAGCCTGGGCGAATGCTCCAGCCTCAGCCTGCGGAGTGGAGCCGCGAAGCGACTGCGGGGCAACGAAGCTCTCTGCCGGCAGCAGGACGTACATGGCGCAGGCCACCAGGGCCGCCACCAGCAGGTTGGCACTGCGCTTTGCCATGGTCGAGTGGTTCAGGAGCGCTGCTGCTATTTGCAAGGAGCTTGGGCCAACTCATGATGCCGCACAACACGCTTGTCACTGCATGCATGTCACTCAGCTTTCCCCTAGGCTTCGGCCCTGTTCACTGAAACATTTGCACATGTTTGGGGCTTAGCGCTGAATCGGCGCAGCAGCGTGCGACTACCTCTGATCAACAACGCACTGCCTGTGATCACTTTTTGCTCACTGCCCTTGGTACTTTGGAGCCGATCCGCCCTTGCACAAAAACGGGTGGCTCACTTGCCGAGCCAATCACAGGCCGCTGCCTGCACCAGAGTAGGAGCCGTAGAAGAAGACGGCCAGAAGGCCAACGGCAGCCGTGCCCGCCAACAGGCCCAAGAACACCAGCGGAAACCTCGTGGGCTCGCCGCCAGTTGCAGCCATGCTCACTTGCACTGAGCGGCCCTCTGCCTGGAATGCTGGAGCCTGGGCGAATGCTCCAGCCTCAGCCTGCGGAGTGGAGCCGCGAAGCGACTGTGGGGCAACGAAGCTCTCTGCCGGCAGCAGGACGTACATGGCGCAGGCCACCAGGGCCGCCACCAGCAGGTTGGCACTGCGCTTTGCCATGGTCGAGTGGTTCAGGAGTGCTGCTGCTATTTGCAAGGAGCTTGGGCCAACTCATGATGCCGCACAACACGCTTGTCAATGCATGCATGTCACTCAGCTTTCCCCAAGGCTTCGGCCCTGTTCACTGAAACATGTGCACGTGCTTGGGGTTTAGCGCTGAATCGGCGCAGCAGCGTGCGACTACCTCTGATCAACAACGCACTGCCTGTGATCACTTTTTGCTCACTGCCCTTGGTACTTTGGAGCCGATCCGCCCTTGCACAAAAACGGGTGGCTCACTTGCCGAGCCAATCACAGGCCGCTGCCTGCACCAGAGTAGGAGCCGTAGAAGAAGACGGCCAGAAGGCCAACGGCGGCCGTGCCCGCCAACAGGCCCAAGAACACCAGCGGAAACCTCGTGGGCTCGCCGCCAGTTGCAGCCATGCTCACTTGCACTGGGCGGCCCTCTGCCTGGAATGCTGGAGCCTGGGCGAATGCTCCAGCCTCAGCCTGCGGAGTGGAGCCGCGAAGCGACTGCGGGGCAACGAAGCTCTCTGCCGGCAGCAGGACGTACATGGCGCAGGCCACCAGGGCCGCCACCAGCAGGTTGGCACTGCGCTTTGCCATGGTCGAGTGGTTCAGGAGTGCTGCTGCTATTTGCAAGGAGCTTGGGCCAACTCATGATGCCGCACAACACGCTTGTCACTGCATGCATGTCACTCAGCTTTCCCCTAGGCTTCGGCCCTGTTCACTGAAACATGTGCACGTGCTTGGGGTTTAGCGCTGAATCGGCGCAGCAGCGTGCGACTACCTCTGATCAACAACGCACTGCCTGTGATCACTTTTTGCTCACTGCCCTTGGTACTTTGGAGCCGATCCGCCCTTGCACAAAAACGGGTGGCTCACTTGCCGAGCCAATCACAGGCCGCTGCCTGCACCAGAGTAGGAGCCGTAGAAGAAGACGGCCAGAAGGCCAACGGCAGCCGTGCCCGCCAACAGGCCCAAGAACACCAGCGGAAACCTCGTGGGCTCGCCGCCAGTTGCAGCCATGCTCACTTGCACTGAGCGGCCCTCTGCCTGGAATGCTGGAGCCTGGGCGAATGCTCCAGCCTCAGCCTGCGGAGTGGAGCCGCGAAGCGACTGCGGGGCAACGAAGCTCTCTGCCGGCAGCAGGACGTACACGGCGCAGGCCACCAGGGCCGCCACCAGCAGGTTGGCACTGCGCTTTGCCATGGTCGAGTGGTTCAGGAGCGCTGCTGCTATTTGCAAGGAGCTTGGGCCAACTCATGATGCCGCACAACACGCTTGTCACTGCATGCATGTCACTGCCACTCAGCTTTCCCCTAGGCTTCTGCCCTGCTCACTGAACATGTGCACATGTTTGGGATTAGCGCTGAGTCGGCGCTCAATGCTTTAGCAGCGTGCGACTACCTCTGATCAACAACACTGCCTATGATCATTTTGTGCTCACTGCCCTTGGTACTTTGGAGCCGATCCGCCCTTGCACAAAAACGGGTGGCTCACTTGCCGAGCCAATCACAGGCCGCTGCCTGCACCAGAGTAGGAGCCGTAGAAGAAGACGGCCAGAAGGCCAACGGCAGCCGTGCCCGCCAACAGGCCCAAGAACACCAGCGGAAACCTCGTGGGCTCGCCGCCAGTTGCAGCCATGCTCACTTGCACTGAGCGGCCCTCTGCCTGGAATGCTGGAGCCTGGGCGAATGCTCCAGCCTCAGCCTGCGGAGTGGAGCCGCGAAGCGACTGCGGGGCAACGAAGCTCTCTGCCGGCAGCAGGACGTACATGGCGCAGGCCACCAAGGCCGCCACGAGCAGGTTGGCACTGCGCTTTGCCATGGTCGAGTGGTTCAGGAGTACTGCCGCTATGCCACTGGGAGCTTGCACCAACTCATGGCGATGAACAACACTGCTCGCATGCAGAGTACATGCACCACTCAGCTCACCGCAAGATCCGCCAGGCCTCGGCCCTGTTGAATGAAACTCGGGTGCTTCTGGCTTGTTACTTGTTGCCATGCTTGCTGCAAACGGATTTCAATCTCTTCCGACATCTGTCAAACTTCCGCCTAGCATGCGACTACCTCTGATCAACACCGCCCTGCTTGTGATCACTTTTTGCTCACTGCCCTTTGTACTTTGGAGCCAATCTGCCTTTGTACAAAAACCTCGCCCAGCCACTCACAGGCCGCTGCCCGCACCAGAGTAGGAGCCGTAGAAGAAGACGGCCAGAAGGCCAACGGCAGCTGTGCCCGCCAACAGGCCCAAGAACACCAGCGGAAACCTCGTGGGCTCGCCGCCCGTTGCAGCCATGCTCACTTGCACTGAGCGGCCCTCTGCCTGGAACGTTGGAGCCTGGGCGAATGCTCCAGCCTCAGCCTGCGGAGTGGAGCCGCGAAGCGACTGCGGGGCAACGAAGCTCTCTGCCGGCAGCAGGACGTACACGGCGCAGGCCACCAAGGCCGCCACCAGCAGGTTGGCACTGCGCTTTGCCATGGTCGAGTGGTTCAGTCTGCCGCACTATATTACAGCCTTACAGCTATCAAACTGACCTGCTGACTTGGGCTGCAACACGTCACAGGTCTTGTGGCACTTGCTTCTCAAAACCACCCGACCAGTTGCATCGCAGAGTCATTCAACAAATTCAACAATTTCATGCTCGGAAGAAACACACCCTACTCCAAGGCACCTTTGCCAATCCATCCACCTTCGCTTGGAGGGAAAGGGTCACCAAGCGGGTATCCTTGCAAGCAAGCGAGTTGAAAGATCCACTAGGTCTGACTATGACGATGCTCGATGACAGCCTGCCCTTCAGCCTAGTTTCGTGCGACTTTCCCAGTGCCAAGAGCTTGTCGTAGATCTGCTCCGGCATAGCAGCTCCCTACGGAGCAAGGACAAACGTTGTTGCAAGAAACCAAAATTCGCAAACTGGCCGATGAACATCAGACTGCCTTCTTGGAAGTCATCTGCAGGAACGACGGGGTCATGGTCCTGCCTGCTGCGTTGCGCCATACTTGTGCAACAGAAGTGCGGCCAGAAGCCAATTCAAGTACTCTGCTCAGGTTCTTTTCGCGGTGTGCCAAGACTTGTACTTACACTTCCCTAGTGGCATCTCTCTTGGACACCCGCCGAAGAGGTCGAAGGACTCATCCGAGTCCAAGATCTCAATTGTCTTCGAGACCGCCTTCAATGATGATTTGGCACTTCAACGGCTCAAGGCGAGCCCTCCTGAAATTCAGTGGTTCGTTTTCTCCTCGGACTTCGGGCTAGTCACGACGAGTCAAATGATTTGGCTTCAACATGCTTCAACCACACACTGGCTGCCAGTGTCACCATCCCTCGGACTGAAATGGCCTGCATCTCGTTAGATCGGAGTTTCTGCCGTGCATCCCACTCTTTGCCCTTCGCGTCGCACTGCTCCTGCACCTGCGTTATAGCGTGGCTGTACTGGCCAGGACAACAGACCTAAGCAGCAAAACAAAGTCCACCTCGCTACTAACTCTTGTAGGCAAGAGGTTTCGCAGGTTCCAGACAAAACGCTACTACTAGGGCAGAGACATGCAGCCTATTCCTTGCACAAGAACTCATGCTAGGAGGAATGCCCCATCATTTTTGTCTTTGACCTTGATCCCTTCACCAAAACAAACCCACATGGAGAGGCTCGGCTGAACAAGGACACGCTTTGCATGCTTCTGCAGTCTCCTGGATCAACCTTCTCGCGAGCATGAGCAGGGTTCGGTCGAGATTTTTGTTGACTGGAGTTGGCTCTGTTATGTACACTTTTTGCCCCTTCTTTTGTGGGAGGGTGTTTGTTTTTAACATCTCCTTTTCAGGCTTAGGGCTTCTCACCCCCTGTCTCCTGCAACATGTCCCTTTCCACCGAACAGGGTTCAGACCCTCTCCTTTTGGGGGCTTCAAGCTTTCGAACCCGTAGAGCTGACAGCTTCCCACCCTGCAGCAATATCACGACCATTCACTACCGGCTATCGGCCTTCTTTGCGAAGGCGAGGTCTTCCTCCACAGAGCCTTTGGCATCCTTGACTGCCTGAGTACTGGCTTCAGACATTTTGTTCTTTGGTCGTTGCAGCGTTGCAATGGCTTTCCAATCAAGAAGAACTTGCCTGCTTCTTCTGAAGGCGCTCCTCATCAGCAGCAGTCTTCTCCTCCTCTTACAACACGGGCTGAGTTGCAACAGGTTTGGAACCTGGTTCTGGTAAGAAAGCATGCTTCTTGATGAGTGCTACACAAACACCAAGGACCATTCTGTACATCGACGGCCCCCTGATGTTCCAGTTGAAGCAACGGGTGTTCTGCACCCGGGGGTTACCATGTTTAGGGGGTCCAACCACCACATGGGCCCAAGGGCTTCCCACCTTCTTCGTTGCGATCTGCACTTTGGCAGAGTCGATTTCTTTTCCTCGGCTGGGGCTGACGGCAACACGGATCCCAGCTTTGCCTTCTTTCTTTTACTGGCAGGACTTGCACGTGCACAACAGCAACACACGACTCCAGCAACTACATGCTTCTGCTTTTCCTTTTTCAGTAGTGGACTGGTGAGAAGTGTTTCTGTGTTCGACGACTCATGGGAGCAAGGCTCGCTTGGCTGACACAAGCTTTTCGTAGGCAGCCTTGTTCTGAAGCTCCTCGTCGTGCAACTCCTGAAGGGGGGTTCATGCTATGCTTTCACTAAGTCCGACACCTGCCCCCAATCCAGCAACATGCATCATGCAAGAACCGGTCGCCGACAATCCATCCTTCCCCACTGAAACCCGGCCTTGAGGCTGGTGTCGAAGTCTGTCTCAAGTCCATCAATGACCCCTCGCACGGAGCCTTCATCTGGCTGCAGTTCAGCTAGCAAGCGACTTAGAAATGCGATCGCAATCTGTCCTAGCATGTGCCGTCACTGTTGGCTTATGTTGGCTTCTTTGCTTCTGGCGCCTGATGTCGGATCCTGCAGAAAGGCCATGAGCTGCTGACGACTCTCGGACTTGAGATAGTCTCCTTGCCTGCACATGGAGACACGCAAGCGCACACATCACGCAACAACACGCATCCCCGTATCTCCCCGGGGAGCTGGGGCCTCTCTGCCACGGCTCGGAGCTGGCGCACTGAAGCGTCTGGGGGCCTCTGCCTGGATCTGAGACACTTTGATTTCTGAGGGAAGTACCCTGAAGCCGAGTCATAAAGCATTCTTGTCATGACCAGGTGGCAGGAAGGATGGGAAGGACGAGGTGTTCAGGGCAACCTGGGCGGAGCGTACCTGATCTGAGATTCAAGAAGTGCGGGTGCATAGGCACTGCTTTGATCTGCATCGTGTGATCGTGCATGCATCTCGGGCCGAAACAGCGTTCAAGTTGTTGAACATCTCCCGCTCATCTTCCTGGAACTTGGCCACCTCGTGCCAGATCGTCCGTGGACAGATGGGTAGGAGCAAGCGAGACGAGCTTCCCAAGTTCATGCAATGCAAAGGTCACACGCCTGCTTCTTTCGCAGGGCCACCGACTCGTCCAAAGACGCCTCGTTCCTGTCAACCTCCTCCTGCCTTGCAGCTGGATAGCTTTCAGTTCATGAGATAGTGTGATGCGCAGAGGGCTGCAGCGAGGTTAGGCATTGCTATGCTACGGCTAATGGCCCTCCAGGTGCCAAAGGATGCCGAAGGATGCCGAGGGGCAAATTCTTGTACTCTGTGGCCAGGCTTGAGCTGATGGCGGTGAGCTCGGTGATGCGCGTCTCCCATTCCTAGCGTCATGAGGCGTCCTGTGGTCTACGACTTGTGCGTGGCCTGGGTTGCAGAACGTCCGCAACAACTCGCTATGCTATATCAGACAGAACTGTTGTCCTTGATGCTGGCCCGTGCCTCCAAGATAGCCTTGCGATGCTTTAGGAAAGACAGACTCAACGAACCAGGTGGTGCTTTGTCCTGCCTTCTCCTTTTCCTTTCCATTCTCCTGATTCATGTACCAGAGAATGTCGGTAGATTCACTGTGGATTCGTAGTGGATTCACAAATCTCCGGTGCACCTCTCAGCTCTCTCCCCGTCTCCTTGCACCAACAGTTGTACTTCTCCATGAGGTCAGCTTCCTCTTCCGCTTCGCTCTCCAGCTGCTCCTCTGGCAGAGTTGCGTGCCCGAAGCAGCTGAAGAGACATCCAACTTCATTCAACATCAGTCAACACCGCAAGATGTTGCGTCATGCATGTTGGGTCCTTCATACCTTGCAGGAGACTCACGACTTTGCCCACAGGCCGCGCCTGCCCGCGTTCACATTACTCACTCGGCTGACGTCTCACAGAAAGACTACGTGACTACGCCCTATGGACTCATATGGACTTCAAAAACTTGTGCGAATGGCGAAGGGTCATGTTGCTGCACATGGGTTCTTCCGGGGCAAGCCTTTCCATGAATCGAAGCTATCCTTTGTGCTTTCTGAGTGAAACGATAACGCGGTTCCCCTTCTCACGGATGCTCATAATGTACAACTCGCTCACTGGATTGGTCTCAGGTGATCATCCATGGGCATGGGCTGGTACCCCTGCTTCGGGTCTGCGGCGTAGAACCCATCCTGAAAGCAACGAGATCAACAATCGCATCTGAACTGTTGCCAGAGGTTCCACAGCAGACGGCCGAGATCAAAGAAGCTCCAAGATCAGTCATAGTTGCTGGCCGCAGACGGGTTTTGACAGCCCGACGCCGCAGGATCTCAATAACTGCCTTCAATGGCTTGAATGTGCAACAATCTGCAAACAACCCGCTCAACCCCAACACACCCCAACAACACGGCCTGAAAGGCATTGCGCGAGGAAGACAAGTTGGGACACACCCTTCTCTCCACCTCTTCAAGCTCGTTCCTGGGCAGGTGCGGCTTACAAAGTAGCAGCCGGACAGTTCTTTACCCCCCTTCTCAACAAAAACATATGCTTGAGGGGCTAGGCCAACAACAGCTAGCAGCCAGCTGTGTGAGTGCAGGCCAGCAGGCGTGGCCATCACAAGGAGAAAGGCGCGAGCGCAGTCGCACAGCAGACAAACGCACGGGCACGTGAAGTGCACGAGCCACACAAGGTACGGAAGATATGGATGATAAAATGCTATGACTTCCGGGTTCTGGCCTGTGCTTTGTGGCCCCGAATGCCCCCCCCCCCCCCCAAAAAAAAAAGAAAAGGGAAGATGATTTTCAGCGGAGGCTCCGCGCCGGCCAGTCTCCGATCCAGGACACCTCCGGCGGCGGGTACAAGTACCAGCCTCTGCAGCACAACAAACAGTCCTACGGAGTCCCAAAACATGCCTTGCCATGCCTTGCCCATCTGTGGGCGGAGCATGAACACATAACAGTGTCGAAAGTGCACAAGTGCCACGAGAAGTTGCTCTTTTCAGAGATTCCAAACAATGTCCCAGCCGAGCCACAGCGCACTCTCCGCGCTTCCTCGGCATAGCGCTCAGCCACCTCCTCTTCAAAATCAACTTGCGGTCTGATGGAAGACATGAGAGGGGGGCTCACTTATAGCTGCAAGCTGCAAACTGGCAATGTAGAAACAAAGCTTAGGTCAGGGGACTTGGTAGCTCTGCAACTGGCTGGCCAGATGGCGGGCGAATGCAAGAATTACTTGGTGGCCTCACCTCGCCCACTCTGACCACACAACAGCAACCCACTGCAAGTGGCCAGTCCAGAGGCAAGGACTGCAGGTAGGAGACCAACGAGTCATCGATTCTCGACACGGGCCATTTGATCACGAACCTGGCAAAAGAAGTGTATGGCACAAAACAAGCACAAAGCTGAGCACAAAGCTGAGCACAAAGCCCACAAAGCCCACAAAGCTGAGCACAAGCAGCTCAAAGAGTGCTGGCAACCGTTTGGCCCCACCTCGTCACATCGAAGAGCTGGTCAAACGAAGGCTGGTAGTGGTCCTGCGCTTCAAAGCAAGAGTGTTAGGCAGCACAGTGCCTTCCTCCAGACTTTCAATTTGACTGGCTAGGGTCCGACAGGAGCACTGGTACGCAGCCGGCCCAGAGTGCCTGTAGGGGCCACTCTGGAACTCTGAGAAGGGGGTACGATGGGGGTACCAAAGCGACCAATTCAACGGACAGGTCTTGGGGGGCAGCTTCCCGCACCCTGTGGCTGTTTGGCCCTGCCTCGAAGAAGCGAACCGACCAGGCTGCACGCCCTCGCGGCACCAGACAGAACACGGAATTCCCCATGAGCCTGGCACTCTGATGCTTTTGGTTTGGTGCGCTCAGTGCGCGAAGACTGCGCTTTTCTGAGCCCTTGGGCAAGACACGACATCCGCCTCTGCATACCATCCGGATTCAGCATGTCCCTGATTGTTGAAAATGCGTGAATCTTGAAGCCTGGAGCCGAAGACAAGGCGACAACTTTGCCGCGAACATCGGCAGCCTCTACGATGTCTGACCACAGCTTCCCTGCAAAGGTCGCGAGATGTTCGCGTTCTCTCATAGGCTTTGCATGGGTCTCGAAACCAAGGATGTCTTTCATGTTGATAAAGGGTGGAACAACAATATCCTTCAATGGGTTGAAGGGTGGAATGCGGCCTTGGTCGGGACCAAAGTCGTCAAGAGATCGCTCAAAACCAACCTCCGTCTCTGGAGTGAGGAACACACTCCGAGGTATGTGGCTTCGCCATGAAGGGAAGAGGTCGATGTAGTGAAAGGAGAAGATGTGATCTTGCCCCCTGCTCCGCTGGAAGTACGTGAGCTGCGAGACAAGTGTCGCATGATCAGCATCGAGCTCATCGAAATCTGAAATTCCTGCAACCTGATGGCAGCAGGCATAAGTAGGCACGAAAAAATAGTCGGCCTTGTCCGGGTCGAATGTCCGAACAGGAGATGTCCTGAAAAAATCATGAAAGCCAACGTCCATGCCCCACTGGCGATAATGGCAGAAAGCAGAAGAGCGCGTTAGCTTGCCAACCGGGCCCGCGTCCGCCTCCCCATAAACGTAGACACGAACCGGCGGAGCGACATCCGCGAACGGGATCAACGCAGCAGACGGGGCCAATTCCCATACGGGATGCCAACTCAGAGAGCTCTCCGTGCGGTCCGTGCGGTCCGTGCGGTCCGTGCGGTTCCTGCCTTGCCGACCTCCCAGTTCCTGCCGCAGTGCATGCGAGGCAAAACCTCCCAAGTTCTCCTGGTATGGCAGGGACGACCTTTGGAACACTCCACCCCGTCCCAAGAATAAAAAAGAAAGACTCAATTCCAGGTCGAGCGTCTCGCTCGACGTCATCGGGTATGAACTCCTCAGTAAAAGCTGCAGCTCCCAGATGCAGCGATCGCCCAACCAGCTCACGAAAGCGCCGAATCTGGTAGAGCAACCGATCCTTCCAATACCGCACATCCTGCCATGCCGTTTGTTCAACAGAACTTCAATGCTGCCTCCTGGCACGCTGCACCCTCACCTCCCCCCCCTCGGAATGTCATATCCAGATGAAGAGCTCCACCCTCCAACAACACTGCAAAGCCAACGCCACCAGTCCTGGTCTCCGACAGGCCAAGCACTGTGAAGAAAGAAACCAGGATGTGCTGCCGTCAGGAAGTGGTCGTGCAACACCGCCTCTGGCTGACGCTGCATGTGGTCATCACGAAAAGGGAATGCAAGGAGTTAAGGGATGATCAACCACGTAATTAGGCGCGACCGACAAATACCCTGTACCTACACGCCTTCACCCGCAAGGTAGGCCAACTCTGAGACGACGACAAAGGTGTGCAGCGCTGCCACGAAGCGCCCGCGGCGCCAGGAACCTGCAACCTGCACTGCTGGGTCGCTCGATGACAGGCCATGTTCACCGGCGAGGATTTAAGGCACAAGTGCTCAAGGTGCCTGAGCCAGAAGTAGGGTAGCCGCGCCCAGGAAGCAGCCAGGATCCGGCGACAGGCCAAGTGCTGCAGCTGCCTCCTGCAACGCAGTTCAAGGTCAAGGGGGCGATTCCGGAAGGCATGGGCCAAGATATGCAAGCATCCGACCCTGCATGCAGCCAGCAGCCTCTGCCTGCTGCGCCTGCTGCGCCTCACAGCCAAGTCCAAGCCAGGTCCAAGCCAGCTGAACTCAAACCTGTTGACTGCTGAAGTGCCTCAGGAAAACCCGGCTCAGCAGCACCAGCACCCAAAGTGAGGGTGCCAAGGCCAGCGAGCCAAGTAGCCCAGGCCGAGCTTTGGGTGCAGTTGGGGTCCGTGAAGAGGCCGTCCATGGCCAGCGGCACAGTTTGCGGGGATTCGAGGCCGCAGCTATTTGTGGATTGGAGGCCGGTGTTGCCGGCAGCATGGGTACTGAAGTACTGCCATATTGCCTCATGAAGCCTCCAGACGTATACTGAAACTCGTTGAAGGTACATTTGCATACGTTTCCGGAAGCCCAAGGCCCAAAGTTGATTGGTGGATGTAGCAGAGCCGCTTAGCTGACACAACTTCTGTTGCTCTGCTGCATCTGACGCCTGACAGCCGCGACGAGGCAAGGCAGCATGAAAGAATGAGAAACACCGAAATCGACACGATTGCATGCCGTTCTCCGACAATCACTTCTCCGCCAGAGAGCATAAGCCGGTACCCTTCTGACCTCTTCACTCAAAGAAGAACGAAAACAAGCAAAGGGCCCCCCCCCCCCCCCCGTCATGACGTTACGGGCCCCCACGGGGCGCCACCTCTGCAGCCATCTCATCGAGGCTGAGCGCTGCTGCTGCGCAGGGCAGCAAGAGGCGCAGGAGGCCGCGCATGGCTTCGCCGCGCATGGCTTCCTGCACGTTGAACATGTTGACATACGGTGGTGGATTCAATGCAAGAGATGAAAGACCCTACAGCCGAGAGCCCCATGGAGGACTCGCTCTTTTCGTCTTCTTCTTCTTCTTCTTCTTCTTCTTCTTCTTCTTCTTCTTCTTCTTCTTCTTCTTCTTCTTCTTCTTCTTCTTCTTCTTCTTCTTCTTCTCCTTCTTCTTCTTCTGCGCACTTTAGGGTGGGTTGAGTGAGCCTCTCTCTCATTGCCACACAACGGTTGGAAAAGAAAGAACAAGAGCAAAAGCAATGCCACTTGCTGCCATCAAGGAGCAATTGGGGAGCGGATCTCCAGCTCATGCAGCGGTAGCCACCGCTTGAGCTGGAATGGCTCCATACACCATGAAATATCACGTCCACACACACACACACACACACACACACACACACACACACACACGCACACACACACACACACACACACACACACACACACACGCACACACGCACACACGCACACACGCACACACGCACACACGCACACACGCACACACGCACACACGCACACACGCACACACGCACACACGCACACACGCACACACGCACACACGCACACACGCACACACGCACACACGCACACACGCACACACGCACACACGCACACACGCACACACGCACACACGCACCCTGATTACTCCCAAGCAAACGGCGAGGCATGATGAAAGATGCACACGAGAGCAGCCAAAGCTGAGCTGACAGCTTCCTATGCCTAACATTCTTACCCTCTCAGGTCTGTCGCAAGTCCCACTGATGTTGCACGAACAGGACTGTAGACACTGTAAAACGAAGCGTTGCACTGACATATGCAACCTGCAACCCAGCCACAATGGCCAAGAAGGGAACCAAGAAGCTCCACCTTGTCACAAAAGACGATCATGCGGTCTCGTTTGAAATTGTCAGACTATGTCACGCGGCGCGACAGTACTGAGCATCTGACATCCAGGGTTCAACAGACATAATGCCAATGATGAAGTCTGCGTTGTCACTGAAGATCCCTGCATGACTAGCATGCAGCTGAGTGCCATGCTTTGGCTCTCAAGAACAAGAAAGATGACAAAGAGCAGCTCAGACTTCTTAGATGGCATAAGGGGGCATAAGTAAGTAAACGGAGGCGTTGGAACGCGGTATGCATGAGCACTGACATAGTCGGAGCCGTCAGCCTCGCAAAAAGAGGGTATTCATGACTGACCTCAGCACATGCCATAAAGAAGAGAGCTCGTGTTTGACCATGCGTTGTTTTCCACGGGGCGAGCCACAACCCTTAACCCAACAAAAACCAGTCATGCTGCACGTTGCTGCGGCCAGAACACAAGACGGAATCGAAGTAAGTTGCGGCACCAATCTCGCTGCCATCCGCGAAGAGCCTTTGGCAGAAGCAATGGTCCCCAACTCATGTGACAGACTTAACAGCAGTGGCAACACGATGCTCAAGATCGATCTCTTCCTGTTGCCTGAACATGACGCTGCAGAAGTAGATGAGGATCCCCCAAACTCCAAAAAAGACACCTCGGACGCGCAGAGCAGCGAGCTGCGTAACTTGCACGAGCCGTGGCACAGTGACACTGCGTTCCATCGGGTGGAAATCTCAGGGCACACCATATGGCAGATGGCCCACCTACAACATATTTAAGGCCCAGCGGCTGACAGAGCGCATGGCGTAGGCGAGGCCCTTCAAAACGATCATGAGCTCGGGGCATGCCCGCAGAAGCTTCGTCATCCTCTTCAAAGGATGGGCGCACACACACACACACACATTCGGGTTGGGGAAGGAGGGTATCCGAGATTCTGTCTGGCGCATTCTGGTACAAGCCCCGAGTAGCACTGCAAGAGTGCCATGCAGTGAGTACTCTTGCAGCACGAGTCGTGCAAGCTAGGCCAAGTGTGAAGCTTCCTGAAAATTTCAGGCTCAGGAGGCTGTCGGCTCACAGCCCTCATACCTTTAGTGTTGCCCACTACTCCCCATTGCGCAGGCCTCGTCAGCCGAAGGACCCTGACACGCGCACCGCGCACCAGCATCATTTGGTAACAATTCATATCTCGACATGGACAACCCGACGCTGTGATCCAGACCCTTGCCCAAGCTTTTCATTTACCGTTTCGTCTAGATGTGTTGCTCTCGAAGAATGTCTCTCTGTCCATTGGAGATATGGGGCAAACTCTGGATGGCTCCTCAAGCAAGCACACGCACAGCCCAGCACAGCATTCCGGTTGAAACTAAGCCATGCCCCAGGCCCCACGCCTCACCAGCCGTAGCATCCGGAGAAGCCCCGTTCCTTGAATCATCGATGCTTGTTGTCCCGTAACCTCACAAGCTGGAATGGAAGTGACTTGAACACCTCTGCCCACATCGAGCCCCAGCTCTCGCACTGCTATGCTTCCCCCATCACACGCGTTGCGGTGGTTGCTGTGCGAAAGCATTTCTTCCATCAGATTGAAAGAGGCTCCAGCATGCGGTGGAGGCCTGAGGCAGCAAGCAAAAGACTTTCTGCAACCTGTACACATCAGTTTGTTTAGAAATTGGGCGACATTTCGCAATCTTGCTTTCTCTGTCAAATTTTCGGTTGGCTTGGCTTTGGCTTCCCTGCTGCGGGTTTCCCTGCTGCGGGGAGGTGGATTGTGCGAAGAATAATTACAGCCAAAACGGCTCTGTGAGATTATCATGTAGGTTGGAGGTTCAAAGCGACAATGCCATACACCTCGGAGTTGGACTCCTCCTCTGTCAGGGAGAATCTTCTGCATTCACGGCAGCCAAGGAACTGCTAGCACGAAGGTCAAGACCCACACCTCGCCAATGGTAAGCAGAACCAACGTCCTTGGAGGTTCGTCACATGTCCTCACATGTCTTCACATGTCTTCACCGTTCGCTGCAGTTTGAGGGGTTCGTTGAACGAAAAGAGCCGAGATGCAAGTCGAACACGAACCAAGCATCCTTGAGGGAGTTGCGCTTCCTGCGCCAGTTTAACACTCGCTTCCACTCTTCCTTTGAGCTTGACGGTACGTGTGCCCGAGTACTCCTCCTTTCAGTGTTCCTCTGTTACTGATTCCTAGCTCCTGTTATTCTGACTTAATTCTCTGACGTTCTCTGGCTCGGAGCTTTTCATCTCCTTACTCAGGGCGCCCTGAGCTGCGGGGGTCATGATGCTACGGGCATGTGACTTGCGTCATGACCAAGCAAAGACCACGATAGCGGCGCAAAATGTCATGTTGCAAGGGGAAAACCAGATCAGACTGCCTGTGAGTTTCAGACGGTATGATCTCCTATTCCTTACATTTCCTTACACTGTCTTCGTGACCCACCTGGCCTCTGGAATGCACAAAACCGCACCAGGATCTCCATGATGAAGTACACACCTTGACGTGTCTGGCAGAGCGGGGTAAAAGCTGAAACACGTACAACCCATATCGATGAGCCAACCGTGTCTTGATTGCTACATGTTCAAGCAGCCTTGGATGCGACACTAATTTGCCAAGCTGCAAAACAGATTCTCCATGATTTGGAAAATCGGGTCTGCATCGATGAGAGCGGCAGCATGATTGAGGTCCGCATCCACAGCAATCCAAAGGGCACTGAGGCACACCTTGCAAGAACATCAGGCTGGTTGGTGATTCCTTGCAGGCTGCGCCCAGACTTCAAGACCCGTTAACAACGAAGATCCTCAGGCGCACACGACAACCAAAGTAACGTTCTCGAACCTGGGGCTCTTGGCGATCCTTTGGGCCAGGCCCGTGTCATGGTAATACTCAAACCTGGGTTGCGACTTTCGGCTGGGCAGAAGTTTCATGGCACTTTCCTCTGCATCTGACAGTCAAGCGGCACGTTGTAAGGTGGCTTCACCGATGCTAGTTGCGCGTCTCGTTTGAGCTGCTCTGCACCGGCAAACCTTACGGGCAAGACCACACTCGCAGATCGCGTCGTGAACAGAACACTAGCTGAATGCGGACATGATGACGAGTCAACAGCCCATGTTATGACAAGTGCAGACACAGCAGCACAGAGGCCCTGCGGGCTTCGCTTTTGAACTTCTGCCTGCAATCATCCTGCACAGTCGGCTGTCGCCTGAACTGAAAACAGATGCGTCGCATCAACTTCAGCCTCAGGAAACTTCCTGCCTATTCTGGGATGGAAACATGACCGGGCTCACTGGTGCATTCAAGGTGCTTCTTCTTGTCCTTCTTTGCCTCGATGCTGATGGGATCGGTTTGCGCCTCGGCAAGCTTGGTAGGCAACCCTGAAACCTTGCGGAACCCATCATTGATGCTGAATCCTAATTCAGCCTACCGGGCCCTACGGAGGTCACGGGCACCTTGCATAACCGCATACACATTTGTCCTGGGGATGCTGCACCTCTGTCAACTGTGTTCGCTTCCTCCAGGGACAGACAGCCATTGGGCCATGAGCATGAGACATTCGAGTGGGGCAAGTGGCTCTTCATTATGCCAACTTTCCATGGGGCGCTTGCTTCCGCATGCTCTGCAAGCAACGAATGCTGCGACCACAGTTTTTGGAGAGAGAAGAAAGAAACCTTTGCAAGTCACACCTGAGTCACATTGGCTCTCCAGAACGGCCTCTAAGGCCCTAAGATCACCCCAATCCGCTCCGTCTGCAGGCCCAGGTCTCGCAGTCGCACAGGAGACCTAGCTAGTTCCCTTGCTCTTGATCTTGCACATTGTGTGGGGTTTCGCCATTGACAAGGTTGCCATGTCAAGTGTCAAGGAATGTCGGTTCCGAGGGCACGCTCCAAGCCAAAGAATACTAACCGTAATGCTCACTAAGCACTGTGCACAGGGGCCAGAAGGGCTTCGCCACGTTCCTGCGCCGGCCGGGGTCTCTTAAGGCTGCGACGCTTGATGAGTTTCGTGGTTTTTTTCGGCAAAGCCTCTGCAAATTCACTGCGGCCCGTCTTCTGCGTGACCTGTCGACCGTGTTCCACAGGCTTGCTGGCCGTTGTGCCAGATCATGCCGTATCACATCATCCTGCCACAGGCAGGTCTGCAATCAGCAACCTGAGAGTGCGGCAGCTCGTGAGGGACGTCTTGTGTGCGTAGTCTCCTACACAGAGCTAGCAGGCAGCTTTATGCTGGTATCGTACGGGTCAGGGCTTGGATGCTGTAGATGCGCATCTTGCTCTTATCAGGACATTCGGCTGCATCAGATCACGTGGCGCCTGGGGCTGTTCCAGGCTGGTAGCGTCGAGCGTGTCAGTACTGGTCGAGGGCACAAGCCTCGCCTCAGCATATTGCGATCCAAGAGCACGAGGTCAGCAACCACGAGCTAAGCCAATCATAGGCAGGAAGGCTACTGAAAGGAAAGCTGGAAGGAAAAGGATCTGCAAGAAGCTGACGGAGGATGCACGGGGGAAGCAAATAAGCAGGAAGGCCACCGCACGTCTTTTTTGAGTCGAGGCTGCAAAGAAACCAATAGCTTTCAATAGCTGCTCTCGGAACTGTCAAGAGGAAATGTCGCAGCCTGCCTCTTTAAATGAGACCGTTCCCGACATCGTAAGCTTCGGCCTGGCCGAGCACAAGCCGAAGCTTAATGGGACAAATTGACATCTTAAGAATGCGCATATTGAACCCTCTCGCCTCATGGTAGAAGCAGCTGGACCTGACTTCATGACCGGTGCATATTGGTCCTCCCTGCGTGCTCTTTTGGGTCTCTTGGGCTTCCAAATTTCAGTCAGGCAGCCATCCAATTCCAAATCCACGAGAGACTTCAGCGACAGGTAGTCAACCCCCATGAACTGCAGGCAAAAAGAGCGTGTAAATTCAAAGTCAAAGAGGGGGCTTCCTGTACTCAGCTGTTCGTGCGGCCCTGACCCTCCCTATGCTTATGATCTGACAGCCACCTCACACGATCGGCACCACAGAAGTCGCCCTGCACTGGCCTTCTGGATGCGTGCCATCTCACCGAGCACGAGCCGCACTTCCTGAGAAGACTGCTTCTTCCAGCTTGCCTCAGCGTGAAAAGAAACGAAGACAGCGCTTGCTAATCGCGTGCTTTGGGATCCTCTGGGCCTTTGCCACACCTATATTGCACATGCACAAGCAGCCCTCCACACAGACCCACAGAATCCCACAAAATCCCAGAGACCCCCACACGAAATCGAACAAGGGGCCACATCCACCTGCAGGCTCGAAAACCCTGACTCAATGTTGTTCTTCACCAGGTCGACCTTCGGACCTGTAAGAACTTGAAAGGAACGTGCATCATGCTCCAACTTGCTCCAACTTCAATGTACGTATATAAGAGTTATATAAGCTTGCTCTGCGCTTCCACTGTACAACTTTCAAGTTGCCTTGGTCAGCCGCGGTGAACTCAACAAGCTCCTGCATCAGAGGCTCGATTCAGGGCAAAACATGGTGCATGCCCACGCAGTCCCATGCCGTCCCATGCAGTCCCGCGTCTCACCGAGGCACTCGTTCATCTGCTGGCGCAGGCCTTAGCGCATCCTTTAGCGCTTCACGGGCTGAGTCCATCTCTCATGAAGATGTCGTCTTTCGACAGTACTCCGAACAAAAGAAGCCTTTGCTCTCGGATTGTCGAGCAGCTTTGCAACTCCGCTAGCAGAGAGTGCATAACCGCCTGGGAACCACACAAGGGAAACAAATGAGTGTCTGGGCTTCGCATGTGGATTCACATTGATGTGGCACAAGGACTTAAAAAGCCGTATGCCTCCAGCCTCACATCTGCAGTCCTTCAACTATGGCACATGTCGGCATCCGCTGAAAATCCTCACCTACCTAAGCTTGCGCCTAGGCATGAGCAACTTCGTAAAGTCAAGCCATCCCAGTCCTGGCTCGCAGCTCGACTCGATCCCGAAGCTCTTGAAGTTCGCTTCTGACAATGCAATACGAGGCAGCTTGCAACATACAGAGGGCGCACACACCCACAGACCTTTCTGCAGGCACAGTCCAATAGCTGCAGCATTTTTGGTGTCTCCACGTAGCGCTTCCGAAATCATGTCCCCTCGTTCTAAACCTGAAATGAGCCGACATGCTTCCAGTTGCTGGCCCTGTTCAGCAGCTGCCGCGGCTGTGGATAGTGTAAGAGCTGATGCCCGAATGCTATCTTGCTCCATCTGCGCCAGCAGTTTCAAAACATGCTGCCACTGGCCAGATGTCATGCATGCAGCCATAGCAGAATTACATACAGGGGTGTCAAGTTGAAGGTCGTGAAGCTTGGAAAAAACGGCCAAGGCGATCTGCCAGCAGAATTTGCTCTCACACGCACTCAGAGCAGCACTGTAGGTCATGATGTCAGCTTGCAGCTCCCTCTCTTCGAGTGCACCGAGGAGCGCAGTTGCATGCTTCCAGCGCTTGCCCTTTTCGCAAGCACTCATGGCGGCATTTGCTGCTATTATATTTGCCTGAACCAGATGGCTTCGCATTTGGCTGACAAGTGCCAGTGCACGATGCCACTGGTCGCCACGTTCGCACGCATGGATGCATGCGCAAAATGTCACAGAAGTTGCTCGGAGCCTCTGAAGCATGCAATGTGCCAGCAGCCGCAGTGCGTGCTGCCACTGTTCGCCACGGCCACATGCGGATGCTGCCGCAGTGTAGGAAATCAAATTCGACACATTCTTCGGAATCATGGACAGAAGCTGTAAAGCCTCTGGCCACTTTGCACACCTCCCACATGCACTGATGGCCGAGTTGTACGAAATCAAGTCTGGCTCCAGATTCACGTGTGCAAGGTTGTGAAGGATTGCAAGCGCTCGTTGCCACTCTTCTCCTCCGGCGCATGCTGTGATGGCAGCATTCATCGTTATCAAGTTTACCTGGTCCAGCTCACGTGCGATGCTTGAACTTGGGGTTGATGCTGTATCACACTTTATCAAACGTGTTGTTCGCAGAAAGCATCTGATAGGCTGATTCGCACAACTAACCAAGCGTGGTAACTTGGTGACTTATCTTCAACTGGTGTTTTGCGGCCCGCTTCAGGCGCCGTTTGCGTGCCATTACATTCCACTTGCGTGCTCTCGCTCGAAGCACAGGCCTACAGCCTACGATCACTCCTGGCCCAGGTCACACAGAGGTCACGACATCTTTGCAACCATAACCTCTCCATCTGGAGAGGTCTCTGGGTCGGAACTCAGACGTCAGACATCATTTTCAAACGCACTTCCATGCACTTCATGGGCCCAATCTTCCCGAACATGCGCAGGACATCATCCCAAGAACCTGGACGAACAACAGCTCAAAGACAACACGGTAGTTTTCAGTTTCAAGCCGCATGGCGCACGGGACTTTGACGAGGGCATGTCCCCCAGCCATTAAAAGGCACCGCCACACACACACACTGCGACCAATGTGCAGATGTCCACAAAAGCACACTCTAGCGCATCAAGCAATAAAGCAACATAAAGCCGTACAAGCGCAAGCACCATTCTACTAAAAGCACCTTCCTCTTAAATCTCCAGGTGCACACCGGAGGAAAGAAGGCAGATGAAGGATACATGATACCGCACACAAGGCCAGAAACAACATCCACCATCAGGGCAGCATCAACAGCAAGCATATCAAAAAAGAACAACCCATCTTACGACAAACCTCACTCAAACAAGCAAATCTGTGTGTCGTTGAAGGCGAAGATGCTTGGAGTCTGAGCTCTGCTGCCAACGAAAGGCCATGCAGTGCCTGCTGCCAGTTGCCCTTTGCACACGAGCTCATCCTTAGTTTTGGGTGCAGCGTGTGGTGCCTCTGCATCCGTCACTCACAAAGCTGAGAAAGATCCTCGTGCAAACAGCTGCTGGGACAAGCATCATGGCATTGAGGGAGATGACATCCACGCACACGTTTCGATTCAGCATCTCTGAAAGCAGCTTCAAGCCGAACTGCCTCAACCACAATCAGACATCATGTCTGAGACAGGCAGGACATGCCCTAGACCTGGTCATGAGCGCAACAGGCTTGGACACGTATCCCTGCTATTTCATGTTCGGAAGGTCGGCAACTGAGCTGAGGTCCACTCACTGTACTTCTCACAGGCGCTGATTGCAGAATTGAAAGTAATTGTGGTGGATTGCTGGAGGCTGAGGCGAATCTGCCCCATCCAGACCAGAGCGAGCTCCCACTTGGCAGCCTTCCTGACGAACACAGGCGCAGAGATGCAAAGGAACGAGAAATGAATTTGCCTATTGAAAACTGTCTTGAACAAGTACTTACTACTTACTACTCGAACTTGCTAGGGGCAAGCTGCTCACAGGCACTGATGGCAGAGTTGAAAGAAACCACGTTTGGACGCAGATACCCTGCCGCCATCGTCAGCATTTCCAAGGCTTCTCCCCACCGATTCGCCTGCCTGATTCTTGACGGCGGACATACTCCCACACTGAACTTTCGGCAGTGCAAACAAGCAGCCCGATGTGCCGAGCTACCCACATGCAAAAACCATGGCATTGCAACCAACGATGTTTGGCACCAGCGCCGCAAGCGGCATTGCTGCAAAAAGGTCGCCGGCAGTCTGCCATTGCACCTGCTTGCCTCGGGTAGCAAATAGCAGACAAAGCCATGGGATACAGGGCTCACACTACGTATTCATAAATCTTTACCAAGGTGCCGCAAACAGACACGACCGAGATTTCTGTGATGATCTCCTTGGCCACCTCGGGAGGAATATCTGCCCGCAACTGGAGCGCAAGTTCCCAACCTCAGGCACACTGCACGGCACAACTCCACCAGACGATATATTGCATTAATTGACAGTGGCACTTAATGCAGCCGTGCACTTCGCGCAGCATCACGGTCGCAGGCTGCCACGGCTGTGTTGAACGTAACCCTTGGCTTTCAGGGCTCACTTTTCCCGTGCTGCTTGCGCTACGTTTTCAGTTTTTCGAGAGAGGGCGGGGAGGGGGTGGGTGGAGAGGGGGTCGGTGGGGAGGGGGTGGGTGGGGAGGGAATAAGTATGTCACAGATGTCCGTTCATGATGACCAAAACACCAAAACATTGGTGTATTTACTTCAAAAAACTGTTTTTGTACACTCTTCGGCCCAACGCGGCTTGACGCTTCTGGGGCGCAAGACTGGCTGCATCCATTCTTCTACAATGCTATAATGTTACAGCCTGATTTGATACTTGGTTATTTGGTGTTTACCTGCCTGGGGCTGCAGGCACAGTCACAACTCGACGCCCTTGACCCAACAACCCTACAGACATGCTCCAGCACCTATGGTAACCTTCGTGGATGCGTACCCGGGCAGAAGTAACTTGCGACTTAGCTTAACATTCAAAAAACACGGCAGCCGGACGCTCCAGCGGGGGCTGGGGGAACATATATGACCCGCAAATCGAGTAGTTAGAGCACACCGTATGTCTGTGAATCTGCATTTTCTTTCTCTCTTTTCTTTCTTTATTATTTAAGGCTTGGAGCCCTCCTCTTCTGCTTCTTCTGCCCGGCATGGGAGGGACGGATTCCCCCCTTACCGCGCGCTCTCGCTCTCGCTCCCGCTCCCGCTCCCGCTTCCGCTCCCGCTCCCGTTCCCGCTCCCGCTCCCGCCCCCACTCCCACTCCCACTCCCACTCCCACTCCCACTCCCACTCCCACTCCCACTCCCACTCCCACTCCCACTCCCACTCCCACTCCCGCTCGCGCCCGCGCTGCCGCTCCCACTCCCACTCCCGCTCGCACTTGCGCTGCCGCTGGCACTGCCGCTCCCGCTCCCGCTCGCGCTCCCGCTCTCGCTCCCGCTCTCGCTCTCGCTCTCTTTTCTTTATTCCTTTCTTTCTTTCTTTATTTCTTTCTTTCTTTCTTTCTTTCTTGCTTTCTTTCTCTCTTTCATATTCATTTATTTCTTACTTTGCTTTCTTTCACTTTCTTTCATTTTCTTTCCTTTGCTTTCATTTTATTTCATTTTCTTTCATGTTCTTTCTTATTTTTCTTTGATGTTCTTATCTTTTCTGTTATTTTATTTTCTTTTATGTCATTTTGTTCTCTTTCTTTTAATTCTGCTATTTTATATTCTTTTCCTTTCTTTTCTATTTTTTCCTGTTCTTTCATTTTCTGTTCTTTTCCTTTTCTTCCTGTTCTTTTCTGTTCTTCTCTTTTCTTTCTTTCTTTCTTGCTTTCTTTTTCTCCGCACTTGACCTTCCCCATTGGGAGGGGCCGCGAAGGCGTGGGCTACCGGGTTAGTCGGTCTTTGCTAACTATATCCCAGGCGATCCCAGGCGGAGCCCAGTCCAGTCGTGTTCTCTTTGCGGTACTTCAAGCTGCGGATAAACATACGTGCTACTCTGGCATTGTCCGGCCTGCAGCTTTCCCAACGCGTGACAATTTTGTTTGATGTGCTCGCGGCATTCTGCTCGCACACGGTACGTGTGGCTGCATGGCGTGCCATTCTTGGCGCTGAGGTCACCATCCCGCCTTCTTGCAGGTTGATCTGTTGCTAGTCCACTGTTTGTGCATCAAGTTCTGCTCTTCTCGCCTTGTGGAGGTTCCCCTTTTGCATGGCCTTGGCTGAGGTCCTGTCTGCTTGCTGGAAGTGGACTCACTGGGTTCCTTCCGACCTCATCAAACCCACCGCTTTGGCCCGAACCGTTCGCGGCGAGGCATCCATTCGAAGTTTGATCGTCAAGTCAGGAAGCAGTCCATGCACCGAATTCACCTTCGTTTCCGCAAGTAAGTCTCCAACCGATGCTCTTCAACAAACGATTCTAGATGCCGAGCGGTTATGGCGAAACTGAAATTCATTGTGACTTTGACATACCACAATTGCTCTCCTTTTGCCTTCAGTGTTGAGCCGGCTGAGAAAAGCTTTTGCGTCGTCAATGCCTTGCCTATGCAAGGCGTGCGCGAGCTTGATATTCATGAAAGTTTATGGGCGTGGATGCATGTCGTCATTCAGTCTTGGTAATTCATCGTGGAGTTACTGACCACAGCTTTGGGTTTAGGCATGTTTAGGCAAATTTTCAGTCCTCACAATGCCTCGACTTGACACACACCCGAAAAACGCACAAACCGAGAACGATCACAGACCGAGTTTGGTCTTGGTTGCTACTACTTCGAGAGATTGCCGACATGTTCAACATTTCTTTCGTGAGTTCCCCACTTGCCCTCCCCTTTAGATGAGCGGCAAAGCAGAAGCAGTGTTATGGATCTGTTTGAAGCCGAGGTCTAAGCCATTTGAGCCTCTTGAGTTGCCCCTCTGTGTGCGTGTGTTCACATCCGGCCGAGTCACATGCTGTTCTTTTTGTTCGATTGTTTCAGAGCAAGAGGTCATACTTGATGGCTTTTAAATCTAGAATCCCCAGGAGTCCTCTGCGGCTTCACCCTGGCATCTTGCATCCAAGCATCACATTCGGCTGCAGGCCCAGGCCTCGCGATGCTTCCAAAGAATGACTCGACAGAAACAACGCTCAGAAACAACGCTTTCAGGAGAGCAAAAGCAACGAGACCACACGGGTGGCTTTGTGCCAACACGGAGACTGGTTCTTCACTGCTCCCATCACCATCATAACTTTCCCAAGTCCAACATTGTGCCGGGCCGCGGCCGACCACTGAAATTGCCGGCTGCCAGGAGCCCTGGCAGCATTGCATTCTCCAGCCACAGCGCAGCGATCTTGGTTTCGACATGAAACTTACATTGGTTGCCCCTGCCTTGGACACTGCTCTGAAGATGGAGTTCCAAGTCGTACAGTCGGCCTGCTCTAAGAACAGCTTGACAAGCTAGGCAAGAAAAAATGGAGCAAACTAGAGCAAAGTAGAGCCAAGTAAAGCAGAGCAAAGCAAAGCAAAAGCAAAAGCAGAAGCAAAAGCACAAGCAGAAGCAGAAGCACAAGCAAAAGCAAAGCATACAAAGCAAAGCAGTGCAACACAAAGCAAAGCAATGTCAACCAAAGCAAAGCAAATTCAAGCAACCTTCCGTGCGATCGGCTTGGTGCTGCGCCCGGCAGGAGCCAAACTAATTTCGCCCTGACCGGGGACACCATGGATGATTCGTCATATGTTGCCAAAAGTTGGAGCTGCAGTCATACTCGGATGCAAACGAGCTTATGGTAGACATCTTCTGCGCTGAAGAACTGGAGCCACAGAAGCAATACAAACAGCAGCAGTGTTAGCAGCAGCAGCAGTGCTGGCAGCAGCAGCAGCAGCAGCTGAAAGTCAGAAGCAAGGACAAGCAGCAGAAATAGCAGGTGCTGAAAAAATCCAAGGCTATGGAGTCTTCTTTACCTTCTTTACAAATCGTTCCAACTCAATCGGACCCAGGGGCCCCGCACCTCTATGCCACAGTACTGGAACCTGTCCAAAATCAACCAGGCTTGGGACCACTGCTCCTCTCTGTCGCAGGTGCTGATAGCAGTGTTGCAGGTGATGGTATCTGCTTGGGTATGGCCCGAAAACATGACATCAAGTACCTGGAAGCTCCAGAACCAGGAGCGGGGAAGAGCAACTCCCCGACTCAAGGCATTCAGAGATACAACACTCGGCTCCAAAATTTTGCGCTTCATGAATCCCAGAAGCAGCATGCCATGGCACCAACTGGTCGGGTTTCGGAGTGTTCCGAGGACAGTGTTGCAGCGGAGCACAGATGTCTGCACCATGTCTGTGGAAAGCCCGTGAAGAACCTGCAGGCATTCTTGCCAATTCTGCTGAGCCTGAAATCTGGCGGAGGCCTTCATATCAAAAGGCCTTTGGTGACCACTCCCACTCGAACACGACATGCAGAAGATTCGTCGCAGAACACCATGTTCACAATGTAAGGCTTTGCCGTCCATATCCATTTGCGCATGATTGTGCCAAATCGCTTTGTTGAATGCAAGGAGACCATGCACCCATCGCGGGCTCCCTGACGGCCACCATTCTCCGATGATGACAGTCTGAGAAATTCCCCCATCAATACATTGAACCGCCGAGGCAGCCAGCTTCTGCCCACGATGAAGGTCAAAGCATGGCGATAAATGTCTGGATTGTGAGCTGAGAGTCTGCGGACGGCAAGTCACACATATCGGTGGCTTTCATGGAGCACATGAGCGCCTACATTCCCCGCTACTAAATTGAAGGCACCGCTCTTGACACTTTCACTGTGTACGCTTAAAGGTGGATTACCACGACTTCTGCAGCACCACGAACAGCAAACTCGCGGCTACTTGCTGACACGTGTTCCTGGCTCCCTGCTTGCCTCAACTCTTCGTGCCACGACTTCTGCGCTTCATGCACCTGCTGCGTCCCCATGTGGTTCGTTGCGACTGCTTCCACGTGAACTCGCGCTTCGGACACTTGTTCGCTGGTTGGAAAAAAACGTTAAACAGGCTTTGCATCCCGAGCGAACATGCACCCGATGGACCACCTCGAGCAAGATCGCCTTCCAAACGGATCAGCAAACAGTCAAACACGTCGAAAGATATGCATAAACATATGTATATATATATATATATGTATATATGTTTTTTGTTGTGTATGTATGTATGTATGTATGTATGTATGTAGGTAGGTAGGTATGTATGTATGTATGTATGTGTGTGTGCATGCATATGTCCCACAATCGAACTGCAACTGCAACATCATCTGTCACGCCCGCCCTTGGCCTTGTGATCATCTGCACGGTCTGAGGACCTGTGCAACTATGGTCGAAGTATGGACATTGCAGGCTAAGCCGTGCAAGATGCAACCGCCTGAGATGGGAAATCATAGCGAGCGGTCGTTAAGCATCGTGGTTGATGGGATGTATAATAATAAACCCAGGCCCATCTTGGGGGCGGGGCAAACAAGTCCTTGAATGGGTTTTGGGTGGGTTTTGGGTGAAGTGGGTTTGAGGGTTTAACCCACAGTTTCTCGACAGTTT